AGCCTGGTGTATAAATCACCATTAACTTGACGGGAAGGTCAAGGCCTACATCAGGCTTCCCTGAAATACACTCCCAAACAAACTTAGTTATACAATGCGTAATACACGAGACACTTATATAAAACTGTATCAAGGTTTTTCCGAACTATTACTTCTTCCTCAGGAATAGAAAGACAATGTGAAAGAGACTTCACAGTACCCTTTCTCTTTGAGGAAAATATACAAGATATTGAAATTATAGTACTTGTATACATGTTTTATAATGGAAATGCCAGGATCTACATTTCTAGGTATGTATATATTTAGTATTATAATAATATCATCAGTATCTCCACTATGTTTTATATTTTCTGTGTCCTTACATTTTCTTGTTGATTTTGCCTTTCATCTTATAATTTTTAGAAAACAACTTTACACCATTTACATTTTGTAAAATTCTACAATTGAAATCGTGCTACATTGACTTCATCAAACCTGCTAAAACAAAAATTTAACATCTTATCTAACATCCTACAGCCATAACCTTGTTTATTTATCATCTTATCTGACACCCTACAGCCATAACCTTGTTAGTTCTACATCTTATCTAACATCTTACAGTCATAACCTTGTTAATTCTACATCTTATCTAACATCTTAAAGTCATAACCTTGTTAGTTCTACATCTTATCTAACATCTTACAGTCATAACCTTGTTAGTTCTACATCTTATCTGACACCCTACAGTCATAACCTTGTTTATTCTACATCATATCTAACATCCTACAGTCATAACCTTGTTAATTCTACATCTTATCTAACATCTTAAAGTCATAACCTTGTTAGTTCTACATCTTATCTAACATCTTACAGTCATAACCTTGTTAGTTCTACATCTTATCTGACACCCTACAGTCATAACCTTGTTTATTCTACATCATATCTAACATCATACAGCCATAACCTTGTTAATTCTTCATGTTATCTAACATCCTACAGTCATAACCTTGTTAGTTCTACATCTTATCTGACATCCTACAGCCATAACCTTGTTAATTCTACATCTTATCTAACATCCTACAGTCATAATCTTGTTAGTTCTACATCTTATCTGACACCCTACAGCCATAACCTTGTTTATTCTACATCTTATCTGACATCCTACAGCCATAACCTTGTTAATTCTACATCTTATCTAACATCCTACAGTCATAACCTTGTTAATTCTACATCATATCTAACATCTTACAGTCATAACCTTGTTAGTTCTACATCTTATCTAACATCCTACAGTCATAACCTTGTTAATTCTACATCATATCTAACATCCTACAGCCATAACCTTGTTAGTTCTACATCTTATCTAACATCCTACAGTCATAACCTTGTTAGTTCTACATCTTATCTACCATCTTACAGTCATAACCTTGTTAGTTCTACATCTTATCTGACACCCTACAGTCATAACCTTGTTTATTCTACATCATATCTAACATCCTACAGCCATAACCTTGTTAGTTCTACATCTTATCTAACATCCTACAGTCATAACCTTGTTAATTCTACATCATATCTAACATCCTACAGCCATAACCTTGTTAATTCTACATCTTATCTAACATCCTACAGCCATAACCTTGTTTATTCTACATCATATCTAACATCCTACAGTCATAACCTTGTTAATTTATCATCTTATCTGACATCCTACAGCCATAACCTTGTTTATTCTACATCATATCTAACATCCTACAGCCATAACCTTGTTTATTCTACATCATATCTAACATCTTAAAGTCATAACCTTGTTAGTTCTACATCTTATCTAACATCCTACAGTCATAACCTTGTTAATTCTACATCATATCTAACATCTTACAGTCATAACCTTGTTAGTTCTACATCTTATCTGACATCCTACAGCCATAACCTTGTTAAATCAACATCTTATCTAACATCATACAGCCATAACCTTGTTAGTTCTACATCTTATCTAACATCCTACAGTCATAACCTTGTTAATTCTACATCATATCTAACATTTTACAGTCATAACCTTGTTAATTCTACATCTTATCTGACATCCAACAGTCATAACCTTGTTAATTCTACATCTTATCTGACATCCAACAGTCATAACCTTGTTCATTGTTAATCTTTTTTGCTTGTTTTGACAAACATGCACTATTTTTTGTTTTGTTTGTTTGATATTTTTTTAACGGAATTGAAAACGAATGGGATTATGTTCGGAATTATCTTCTTGTCGCATTTTATTTATTAGTCTCCTAAACAGATAACTTTTTCACATTTTATATGAATTGATAAATGTTAGTTTTTACTTCTGAAATACATAACATAACTGGGTTATATACATCTTTAGTTATTTATCTATTCATCATTATCTGTTTATTTATTTGATTTGAATTCCTGACCTAACCAATACCTGGTTAATCCTTACTATCACAGTTACTTTTAACATCTTTACCTGAATTACATTTCCAGACATATATAATTAGAATAGTCTTTTGAGAGGTATAATAGAAAAACCCAGAACGACCTTTCGTGGTTAAGACATGTTTGGGATTTCCCCATCTATACACACATAGGCGTAATTACTGTAGGTGTAACGGAGACTGCCACATAGCTGTTGTATAACATCATCTGTGTACATAGATATGTATTATTCAAATGCTAACATAACAGAAGCAAAAGGGATTTTCTGTGGCTATCATCCATGTTCATGAATACACGTTTCACACCTTTATAGTTCAGATATAGGTTAAGGTCGGTAAGGACAAGCCTGTACGTAGAAATAATGGCGACATTGAGTACAAAGTTATTTGTCTTACCATCAGGGCGAGCATTACATTAATCATGGCGAAAATTATACATGACGCAAAACTTGCAATGAGGTTTCTGAACAAACAATATTAGTGGTTAGATAAAATACCGTGTATTATATTTTGTATTTTATATGGAAGTATGGCTAGACTGAAAATCTGCATGTATTCTTCAGATGTTCAATTATAATCGGACATCTTTTTTGTAATATGGAAAAGGATAATTTCATGAAATAATAGCATAAGGATTATAGACACACATCAGTATTATATAATTAAAACAGCATCCCACGATCCCGTATGTACATCGTCAGGACAATAACCTAATGTACATATATTCGTGATCAGATATCATGTGAACATTGAAGTTTGTTTACGTATCGTTAGCTTAAGCAAAACAAACGTTATATTATAGTGCGAAAATTGTGCTTTACATTATAGCCGTGCGAAAATTGTGCTTAACATTATAGCCGTGCGAAAATTGTGCTTTATATTATAGAAGTGCGAAAATTGTGCTCCACATTATAGCCGTGCGAAAATTGTGCTTTATATTATATCAGTGTGAAAATTGTGGTTTATATTTCATCAGTGCGAAAATTGTGGTTTATATTTCATCAGTGCGAAAATTGTGGTTTATATTTTATCAGTGCGAAAATTGTGGTTTATATATTATCAGTGCTAAAATTGTGCTTTATATTACAGCAATGCGATAATTGTACTTTATATCATATCAGTGCGAAAATTGTGCTTTATATTTCATCAGTGCTAAAATTGTGCTTTATATTATAGCAATGCGATAATTGTGCTTTATATCATATCAGTGCGAAAATTGCGCTTTATATTATAGAAATGTGAAAATTGTGCTTTATATTATAGCAGTGCGAAAATTGTGCTTTATATCATATCAGTGCGAAAATTGTGCTTTATATTTCATCAGTGCTAAAATTGTGCTTTATATTATAGCAGTGCGAAAATTGTGCTTTATATTTCATCAGTGCGAAAATTGTGGTTTATATTTTATATCAGTGCGACAATTGTGCTTTATAGTTTATATCAGTGCGAAAATTGTGGTTTATATTTCATCAGTGCGAAAATTGTACTTTATATTATAGCAGTGCGAAAATTGTGCTTTATATTATAGCAGTGCGAAAATTGTGGTTTATATTTCATCAGTTCTAAATTTGTGCTTTATATTATAGCAGTGCGAAAATTGTGCTTTATATTATAGCAGTGCGAAAATTGTGCTTTATATTATAGCAGTGCGAAAATTGTGGTTTATATTTCATCAGTGCTAAAATTGTGCTTTATATTATAGCAGTGCGAAAATTGTGCTCTGTATTTCATCAGTGCGAAAATTGTGTTTTATATTTTATATCAGTGCGAAAATTGTGGTTTATATTTTATATCAGTGCGAAAATTGTGGTTTATATTTTATATCAGTGCGAAAATTGTGGTTTATATTATATATTAGTGCGACAATTGTGCTTTATATTATAGAAGTGCGACAATTGTGCTTTATATTATAGAAGTGCGACAATTGTGCTTTACATTATATATTAGTGCGACAATTGTGCTTTATATTTTATATCAGTGCGACAATTGTGCTTTATAGTTTATATCAGCGTGAAAATTGTACAGCTTTTAAATAATAACATTTTAGAATTGTGTTTTTTAGTATTTTAAATCTGATACGTTGTTGGTCTTCTAACGTAGATAATTTCAGGCATAGATTATAACTCCTGCATATAATGAATAGAACTGTATCCTGCTGTCAACTCAACGCATTTTAGAGTTGTGTCTTTTACCTATTTTTAGTTATTATTTTTGTAGTGTTTTGCACTGGTGAACACCAACCTACTAATTTGTTAGTAACGACCTTGCAACATAGATATATCATCTAAAAGTTCAAACCACATATTACTCATGCAAATATCCGAGTTCATATGAAATTAATATCAATATATATGTATATTATCCATAATTCAGGTTAAGTTGACAATACTCTGCCTTCCTTGCCCACATTTTTAACCTTGAGCAGCTGTTGCTTCCTCTGGTAATATTACTGCATTAATATGGTCTGTAGTGGTACGGGACAGGTAAGTCGATGTACAGGTGAGTTAGTGTGGAGGTGTGTCACGCCAGATACCGGACCTAACGGTTCATACTGACAACATGTCTTAAATGGAGGAATTTGTTTCAAATTTTGGATTCTTTTCCGCAGGTAAACAAGTTAATTCAATTTTTTTTTTTAATATTTCAATTTCAAACCACAACAATATACAAGAAGGTAGGAGAACATACAGTAATGAATAGACATTGATCATATCAATGATTCCAATCTTTACATTGACTTAATCCAGAATGAGCTTTTAAACGTATGTAACTAACAACTGGGCGAACACAGTGAAGAGCAAGGAATCGACTTTTTAAAGTTTTTCACGACTGCATGTTACTTTTTATGTTAGTGAGATAGTAGTATATTTACGTCGATTTTCGTATAGTTCGACCAGTGAACAAGACTTTGCATAACGTTGTGGAGATATGCATTTTGTCACCTTCATAGATAGATATGTCATGACGAGAATTACTAAATCGAGATAAGGGGTCCATACACATAATATACATAGACAGACATGACACTTTCATTCCATACAATAATGAACACATAAGTTAGCATATGTTTAAAGTACATCCAATTTTTTGCTTTAAATTAATTTCGAATGATGTTAACAGTGGACAAAAGTAAATATTCACAGAGTTAATGATCATCGAAACGTCACACAAACTTATCGACGTGTTTTGTTAAAGGTAACGTTATATACATGTTCCAGTTTGAACAAGATTTAATTGTATTTTAATCGTCAACATAAAATCAAAATAAGCTACACAATATCAAAATACTGTTGAGTGCGGTGAAATCTCAGACTATGAGACGCCAGTGTAATTAAACCTGCCTACTGATAGCAAAAAGCAATGACAATTAAACAAGATCAGGATTTATCATAACTATGTTTCACTCTTAAAATAATAGCGTTCTGTCAAGTGAATATATTATAAATCAGAAAGGTTTTGTCCTATTTTACATATATAATGTTGCAATGTTCAACCTCATAAATCAATACATATTCAAATTATCTTCCAACGAATTACATACCTGATGTTAAGACTATAGAAAGACAATACATCTGTAGTAATATTAGTCGGAGGTAATTAAAGTCCACGAAAACTGATACAAAATACAACTGACATCGTCACTGATCATTCAAAATTTTTATCATTTAGTATTTTACGCATCTTATTTTCAAAAAAGCGTCTGCCAGAGGCGTTATATGTTCTATCATATTCTTTTCATTGTTTATCAGGTTGTAAATGTTCTACGGGTTTTTTTAAAATCTGATTTAACATAATAAAATATGTAACAGACCATATAAATTGTATAATACTGTATACTCTGTACTTATGACTTATTTTTCTTTTTAAATATTCATGTCCTTTAATAGATTAAAGAGAAACATTTTGCTATGAGCACGGTTATGGCGACTGTAATCCTTATAGAACCCTAGAGTACAGCTTGCTGTATTGCGTGGCCATATATCCTTTAGCCATCGGTAACTTGTGCATCAGCGTGATGCCCTACAGTTACTTTACCAAGTGCTATAGGCATATATGTATTTATTTAACGGGATTGACGCCTTCTACCATGTCCTTTCAGATGAGAAGATAGGAAATGAGTAGAATAATTAAAGGAAGCAGTGAAAATGAATTAATGGATAGAGGGGTCCACTGTGCCTAGATTCTTATGACATAATACTATATTTTAAAAGTCGGTTGCGTGGCCTAAAATTTTCCTCACTTAAAAGAATTGTCACGCCATTATAGGTGTAATATTTAAAACTTTATTTTATTTAAAATAATAAAATCATGCTTAACTTAAAGATACTTAACTTATTCCTTGGAATTGAAAGTATGAAATTCAGGTTTGCTGAAAGGTAGAAAAAGGATTAAACCATTGATTCTAATTTTGTAAAATCTGTAGTTAGTGACATATTGTTGGACAGCACAGGATAAGCAGTAAAACGCACTCGGATGTCAAATAAGTTAAATAAACAAATAAATGTTCTCTTTACAAAAGCTCAAGAACAGATTTTAAAGCTATTTGGTTCAGCATTCCATTCCGTAGTAGTGGCTTTGCATGTTGGCGTTGTGGTGTGTTTGAATATGTCTTCAACAAATAGTTTTAGGTTGACCCTATTCTTACAAACAGGCAGTCTGTGTGGGAAAAAAACAGTGGATTTGTACGTATTAAACCACACTCCGTGATATATGTGAAAGAATCCATAATTTTCATTTTCCAAATACGCTGGCAATTGAAATATAGGTGACACTTCTGTTGTTTTAATCACTGCGATGTGTATTAAACGATATATTTTGAAACGGCTTATCTTTAAATGTTTCGTCATTATTGATGACATTTAACTGAGAGAAGTTACGTTGTTGTAGTTACTTAACTACTCTTTCGCTCTATTTAGTAACTTTTCACTGAAGTTATATTTATCCCATTCTTTATAGCTTTAACGTTGATTGACATTTTAATCATTTATCAATCTATTTTATTGTCGTTGTTTTTCAGACGGTAGAAACTCTCTTAACCCGGAGAACCGATAGGGGCGAAAATATAAAGATCAACGTACATTGAGCTTTTTAACATCAATATCAATGCTTGTAAACCAGTTAAGTCCTATACTTTGTTTAGAACCCATCTGTTGCACTTTAGAATGTCCATGATACCCCGCCGTCTACACGCAGTTTTCTGTACTGAATTTAAAAGTTTGAAGTTTTTAAAATGGAATTCGTCTTTTCATCAGAACACAATACCGAAGAAGAAAAATATATGTTAGATACGTCTATGTAGGATACTTCAAATAACCGTGCGTTAAGTTTTTATTTCATTCCTTGGTTTAATATTTATCATAGCGGGTTGAATGGTGAAAAGCATGTGCGAAAGAGCACCAAAGCTACACGTTCTTTGTAGATTGAAGCTGAGAAGAAGACTCCGTGTTAGAGATTACCTACTGAGCAATCACTGGCAAAGCATAAATAATCTTTGTTTTTATTTGGATTCCAACTCTGGAGAAAAGCCAGGGTTAGAGGTCAATTGCCAATCATTCAAAAGGAAAACGATATGATTTCTTGATATTTTAGAGTTAAGACTCAGGAGAATCCATTGTGTTAAAGGTTAATTGCCGAGCAGTCAAATCGTGGAAGGGGTTACATATTCGTTTTGTTGATATTTTAGACTCAGTTGAAGCTCCTCTGTCCAGCATTCGGACTGGAAATGGCTAAATATTCTTTGTTTTTATATTACGCTCCAACTCAGAATCAATCCATGTGTTGAAGGTTAATTGCCGAGCACTCGGAGGGGAAAAGCTACATATTATTTGGTTTTGTTTTAGATTCGACGTCAAGAGCAACCTCTATGTTAGAGGGTAACTGCTGATCAGTCAGAGGGAAAAAACCTATATGTTGTTTGTTTCTGTTTCAGACTCGAACTCAGGAGAAGCACCTGTGTTAGAGGTTAACTGCAACAAAGACCACGGTGACACTGAAACTACCCATGTACCTTACTGGATGAGAGCTTTAACACCTGATATGAGTTATTTATTGAGTGACAAGAAAGGTTATTCCCGAACATCAATATTGTCAGAATATTCCTTACTGCGAGAGTCCGACTCTTCGTCGGACGAGGAGGAGGACTTATGGACAGAGAGGTCACCGATAATGAAAGAGGGGGGAGGTGACTCCGAGGTCGTGGAAGTTCACATAGTAAATGTAAGTATTTATAACGTATGCGATGTATGTCGGCATTAAGACAAGGACTAAAATTCCAATATAAACCTTAACCGAGTTGATGTAAGTGTTACTTACGGTCCAAGAATCTTAAACAAAACCCATTACGTGTTGTAAGCGGCGGCAAGTTAGGCAGACCATCATTTGGCGGATTTTCTATTACCTCCTCTGTCGGTAACACTGTAAATGACCACACATCTCTGTAACAGCCATTTTGGACCTGTTTGTTGTGTCTTCTCTGGATAGATTAGTTTTATAATATATTTCAGTTCGCTTGATGCTTGATGTTTGACTTTCGTCCATGTTAGAAAGAAAACTATCACGCAATTTTATGTGTAATATTTAAAATAAAGCTTTATCAAATTTTATTTCATTTTAAAGAATGAAATTAGAATCAAATCGAAATACTAAATTTTATTCCTGGGAATTGAATTTAAGTAAGGATTCAGGTTTGCTGAAAGGTAGAAGACATATCAAACCTTAATCCTGATTTTGTAAAAAAAAATTGCTGTAATTGAAAGAGTATTGTAGAATATCTTTGGTACAAATTTGTGACATAATGTTGGACCAGTTTTCGGACAAGGTAAAAGTAAAACTCATTAAAATGTTTCCTAGTTATTCCATGTCCAATAAAAATCATTATTTTATCAAAGATTTGATTATCGGGATTATTGCGCAGTCAGCATGTCACAATCTCCTCTACACGTGTTCATTACGTATATTCTAGCACACCACAATATTAACACACAAAACATTTCAAAGTCTTTTAACAATAATTCACTAATCCGGAAGGGAATACTGAACCAAATGGCTGTAAAATCAATTATTGAGCTTTTGTATAGAAAACATTTGTCAGACTTTTAACTGCGTTTAACTAGTTATCCTGTGGAAAACAAAAAATAATAAAACTTTACTTCATTTAAAAGAAATAAATTAGAATTAAATAAGGAAAGTTATATCAAGCTTTGCTTTTAAAAAATAACATTTAAAACGGTGTGATACAACTATTGCTTTCTGTTCCAGAGCGAAAATAAACTCGAGTTGATAAGACACGCCACTAAGTAGCACTTTTGACTACCAATTTAGAATTAGATACAGTAGTGCCAAAAATGTACTATATTCATCATACAGCTGTTTCGTCTTTTTATGACTCGTCAGTGATGTTAAGGGAGAGTGTGGTAAAGCATTTTTTCTTGTAATTCAACCAAGGGAGTTTAACGTGAGGGGTCTGAAGCCTACTCATTTCTTGTAGACATCATTTTCATATGACGTGAACTGTTGTAATACGCAAAGCCTTCGTACAATCACGTTTTCTCGATAATTGTAAGATAGATTATGATTGGTAGATGAAACACTTATGTTCCTTTTACCTGTCAGTTTTCTATATGTCATTAAACTACATGATCTAAAACAGGTATCTTTTGTCACAAATAGCTACACATTGTAGAAATCTGATAAAGATCCTTCCAGGAGGACAAATGTGATGAATTGTTTATCAAAACCCCCTGACTCCTATTGTAGTATTGTCTTATGATATGATGCTGTTTTTATCGATTGCTTATCAGTCCTTCTTTAAACATTATGAAATTTGATTACATACAGGACGATGAGGAGATCCACACAGAAACTATACAGAAAGTGAAAGACGATAACCTGGTGAACATCCCACCCGTGTGGAGATTTATCCAGGGACTTCTTATCGTCCTTATCATTGGACTAGTCAGCTTTCTACTCATTCGGTTCGTCAAGCGGCCCTGGGAAAACTCGGCACCAGTCACGCATCACGACATCCATGTCACGTGAAAAACGTTGATAATTATTTTATGATATATCAGTTATTCTTTACAAGTGCATTTACCAAAGCGTTTCAAGCGCTGTCTTTCTTTTTTATCCTTTATGTAGTGCAAGGGAACTCAGTAATTCTAAATCTCTTATGTATCAGATGATATACATGTCAGCCTCTTTGTATGTATAATATTATTTGATAAGTTTGTTAAATATTATGAGAATGTGAAATCAAAATTCACTGGTGTTGGTACAATACATGTGTATGTATGTTCACAAGTCATTGTCTTCACTAAAATATAGTGTACCAAGTATTCTTTATGATGATTTTAACATTTTTTCTTTATGTTTTTTGAGTCGCAACCCTAGTCATATTCTAGTCATATTAGCTAAAGTAGAAATCCACAGACAAATTTCTTACCGACCTGTGGGTGACACTGTCTCAAAGCGATGCCAGTTAAATGAGCAAATGATGTTAAATGATGTTGACAGGCATCATTGGTGAGAACAGACCTGTTTTCTCTGGCCAGGCATCAAGTAAATGAACAAGTGTCAGTTGTGTGAGGTATAATATGTGTGAAAGAAGTTGCGTAAGCTGGCTAATTTGTTTTAACAGGTTTAAGTTGTGCGAATGGGTATTCTGTAAACAGGCGAGTTATTTGTGTGAATGAAAATGAAAGTCGAGTAAACACGTATTATGTACAATCTCAGAATCTTCAAATTGTCACCTACTTGAGTTGTGTAATGCTGGATGTTTTATGGAAAAATATCGGAGAACTTCACTCCAAACTTTCTTCAACATTTGTTTAAACATTTAACATTTATATGTAACTTATACTAGATTTATGAGAGTAAAAATGTAGCTTTTCATCAGCTGGTAAAATTAATTATTTCCAATTTCCACAAAGATAATTTATTGTATACAGTAATTTTTATTCATAGTATGTAATTATTACACGAGCTTTATACAGAATCCATTAATTTATAATACACAGTTCCTGCAGTTACCTGTTGATAACCATATTTGGGATGTAAGGAGAATATAGTGATTATGTGTTTTATTTGTACAGAAATTTTACAATAGTTCTATTCAGAAACCTTTAATGGTCATGAGTCTAACTCGAGAAATAAAATCACGCTGATGTTATGATAGCTTTGGAATCGGTACCTGCCGATGATTTTATTGTTACCAGTATTGTATAATGGTGTTTGTTCAACTGTTTCATGGATTACGTTTGTTTTTTTTATTAAACAATATTTTAATGAATACGTGTTTCGATTTAATTGATCTATTCAATATCTAATAATTTAATATAAGTTTCACACCAAGACTAGCTCCCTGAACATAATGTAAAGATCTTGCATGATATTGTGTATTACGACTGTTCGTGGTTACAATAGTAGTTTAAAACGGCCAAACTCAATGTTATAAGCCATCGTTTTACACAAATGATCTCAAGTCAAACAGAAATTTGACACAAACGTCCATGGTTGAAATATCATCTACAATTTTTTATTTGCAAAACCAAGAAGATCGAAAATCTGGGCGTGTTATTACATAAAGTAGGGTATTTCAGCATTTTCTACCAATTATTTCACCTGATAAAGAAATTCAGCAATAGCAGAATGAAAACGTTTCTCACATACATTGTGGTTTAATATGGAAAGCTGTCCAGGGTAAAACGTGAACGGGAGTCCAGGATTTCCAATTATGATGGGGTGTACTGTGGACAAGGTCAATAAATTCCCTACTATTTTAAAACACTGAAAATTAAAAGTCATAAAAGAGGAGTTGAATGATAAATTCATGACAAGTGAAATATTCCAATGTCACATTAGCCGCTTATCTCAACCTTTTACTACAAAAAAACCAACACGGAGAGCTTTCCGCCGAATTGTATGATAAGCAGAATGATTCTTATTTCCATGGTCGTCAACTGAAGGACAAACACGTAACACAAGATTACAACAGATGCATGTTGATGAAGATTATAGGGGAAGTTTTATGGCCTTCATAGTGATCTTATTGAGAATAATTCGATTTCTTTGTGCGATATGAAGCCGGGCGTTTTTGAAGCTCGTTATTTACCTGTTGGTTTCATTGCTGTATACCTTGTTCTTATTTGAGAACGTGACTTTACTTCTTGGATTGACAAAGATTTACATGGCGGGTGTCGTCGATGAAGCAGAAGACGCTTATACTGCCATGAGTGCATTTTCATGTTGTATTGTACATGGTAGATCGATTTTATTGACGATGCACTTAGACTCTTCAGTTTGCTAAAGTTAAAACCAGGGAAAATAAATCACGCATCCAGACCGAGCATCGACATCATGGATTTGATAGTAACCGAGACGAGACTTTTGACTATCAATATTCCATGTTTCAGTGACGCTTTGGCAGATCTATGGGTAATTCTCTTTATTTCATCATGGCGAATTTATCGAACACTAAAGAATAGAGCAAAATTAGATTCTGTCTCTTTCCACTGAGTGTTGACAAAGCCTGTGGATACAATTTTCGAGCACATGTAAGGTTTGTAAAACACACATCAACAGCATCGTTTTACAATCATTCCAACAAAGGACGCACAAGTGAATAGTACCTTTCAACACGAATCAAGTTCGCGTGTGAAAAACGATAAACAGTATTATATCATTCCGAGAAGCATCCCTATTATGATGGACTTTCCTGTATTTTAAACTACATACTTGATGTGCAACATTCTCAGAAATCAAGTTCTAGGGGTTTTCCATGCCACATCCAGACTCAATGTCTTCACTCTAACAACATTTCTAGTGAATGATCAAACTTAATACAAGGTTCAGTTATAGAAATACTTCAGATGAGTTTTCCATTATTTCAATGTCGAGGTGATTGCCAAGCTTACAAAAGTAAACACAGTTTATGTGCTGGTTTTGGGTCCATGGTGCTGTATTTAGGATGGTACTAAAAATATCAGGGGTTTCTGAAGAAGTAAGCTGACTTTGCTATCTCACAATCAACTATGGAAACTTTCTTTAGTATTTGTCAGTACTGGATTTTAATTTTGTCACTTAACTAAAACTTTCTTTTTGTTTCCAAAATATTTTCTGGAAAATGTCTCAGAATGAAGGACAGAACTCGCTTGTTTCCTGGTAATATTCTTTGGGTGGTGGAATGTTCTAATATATAGGACAATCATCACAAAGTAAATAACACAAGCACAGTAAGATTTACAATTACTTTATTACACACATAACAAAAAATCTTCCTTACAATGAGTAAATTCATGAAATCTTTCTTACAATACATTCATCAACCAAGCTCTTTTTCACACGTTCTCTCACTCTGGCATTCTAACCACAAACAGACACAATCATTTTGCAGAAATACAGACCAACTTTGACACTAGTTTCTAAACTCCAATGATAAAAAGACCACTTATGCCAGATCATTGAAATAAGCAGTAATTTATGATATTACAAATTTCTGCTTTCAGTAAGATTTACAATTACTTTATTACACACATGAGTAAATTCATGAAATCTTTCTTACAATACATTCATCAACCAAGCTCTTTTTCACACGTTCTCTCACTCTGGCATTCTAACCACAAACAGACACAATCATTTTGCAGAAATACAGACCAACTTTGACACTAGTTTCTAAACTCCAATGATAAAAAGACCACTTATGCCAGATCATTGAAATAAGCAGTAATTTATGATATTACAAATTTCTGCTGTAACTTCAAGCTGTAAGTCATGGCAAACCACCATCATCAAAAATGTCTTGAAACTCTAGAAACAAAGACAATTCTCTACTTCTTCATGAATGATCATTCCTGTAAGTTCTTTCTCCCAAATGAGTTTGATAAAGTGGATGTTTATTTTCGTGGCGGCCCCTGAATTAAGGGTCCCGGTCGGATGGCCATGCCCATAGGATGCATTGGAGGTCCCATCATTGGTCCCATGGGTGGTCGCATACCTACAAAACAAAATACATACCATTATACACACAACAAAAGTCAGTTTTTTTCCAACTTGGTTCAGCTGTAATGGTTATGTCCCCATCCTCACTTTTTTCCATACATAACGAGGAACCTCATAAATTAGCTAATATCTTGATACGGAGATAATAATGGATGTCATCATTACAACGCCAAGAGAGATACCTTTATAAAATAGCGTGTATGTGTTACAGATTTAGACTAATTAGGCACAACGGATATACATCTTACAATAAAGACCTGGAATCAGAACCAGATAAAACTTTTCTTAACACTTGTCTCAACAAGCTTTATCCATTTCTTTGTAACCAATAGTTCTATCACAATGCATGATAATGTCACATTGTGTTTTCTTTCATGTTGGAGGTTCTTCTCTACAAGTCAAACCCCATCTGCATACCTACCTTATGCCAATCCCAACACCCCGTAAATGTGGCTACTTACTTCATTCACTTTACTAATGAGAAGTAACAATTCAGCTATGAGTCAGGTTTATAAGTGGAATATGACAATAGCTTCAAATCTCTCAACACATTTTTACCATTCATGTGGCTATTATATCACTGATCTTTGAAAAATTTGTTTCTGTAGCCCAATTTTTTTTACTAAAACAAAGAGAATTATTTCAAGACCATACCTGGCATCATAGGAGGCATAGGACCTCCGTGAGGGGGCCCCATAAGGGGAACTGGACCACCCATGGGGCCTCCCATAGGGCTTGCCATTGGGGGTCCAGCAGCAGCTGGAGCATTCTGTGGTTTGGATGTTTTGTTACCTGAAATTACAATAAGGTTTCATTAAGAAAAGGAACAATAAAGTTCTATACATACATAAACATTTGAGTATTATATTGTTCAACACTCTACCAATACTAATGTCATTATTGTACTGAATCTTTTTTTCAGATCAATACTACGAAAACATTAAAAGTTTGTGAAAGTACATATTCAATATCACAATACTTTTTCCAGATAAATGACACAAGCATAAAAAGTCTTGATTGAAGCAAACCGTATTTTCCGGACTATAACCGCATTTCAATCAGACGTCTGCGGTTTCATTATATGTCCAATTTATTACGTTTCATATCATAACACTAGATCATGTAATTATGTTCTGAGTATGAGTGTTCAGTTAATATGTATGTTTAAATTTTTTCATTTGAAATGAGAAATTAATGACAAACAAAATAACTGAGTAGAAAAGAAGTGACAACTTGAAAGTTTAAATAAGGAAATCAATATAAAAAATAAACAAGGTAAAGAAAAAGATAATAATAGATTTATTCACCTTTGTAGATGTTTCCACTGTAACTGGGCTGGCAAAAATGAAATCTGTTTAACTCAATTTTTTTTAGTTCTTACAGTCTCATATAACACTGCCACTGTACCAGGTAAGCTGCACTAGGTATACATGGCAGGTTGTCACGATGTGGAACCAAATACAAAGTCAACAGTGTCATATAGATACAAAGTCAATCAAAATATTTACCTGACTTTTGTCTACCTGGTACCTTTAATTGTGAAAAATAAAAGAAACCATGTTACCTGTCCGACATCAGTCGGGGGAGGGCTTGAGGGCAAAATGGATATTGTAGGGGTCAAGAGAGTACACCAACGCGCGTTTATATTTGATTCAGTTTTACAAAAAAATTGTCCAAAGAAATTGACACGACAGTAAGCGAGTTATAGCCCGGATAATACGGTGTTCAGTGGGAGATATACCAGATGGGGGTGGGGCCATGGCTCCTCCTGCACCTCCCCCTCCCGACTGGAATGGGTTGGACGCTATCTTACCAGCTTTGAACGCAGCAGCTGAAACAGAGAATTAAAGTCCATTAAAAAGATCTGAATGATTAGTGCTTTCTGGAAAAATCAATAACTTGAAAAAGAAAAATGTAAAATTTACATATCTACCATTAAAAAATGCAAAGTATACTATCTTCCTTTGAAAATGAAGAAAATAATTTCATTCAAAATGTAACAAATCACTAGAAAACTATTAAAAAAGAACTTAGGTTTTGCCATTTCAATTTGAAGTTGGATATAATATACAGTAGATTAAAGAAGTCTTTATTTATAAATAGATAGCCAACCACACTTTATATCAAAAGCCATACTTTCTAACTATATGTAATTTACATAACTAATAAATAAGATTGTCACTTAAAGTCAGATTTCACCATAATATAATTATTCAGGACTAATCCTTTAAATGATATACAAATTTAAAGTTAGATATTTTTTATCTTTACAATATCGGAATGGACAATCCCTAAACTTCAAACTGAACTTCCTCTTTATACCTCCAGTTGATCTTTATTTAACCTCAACACAATAATTACATATCAAAATGTTCATTGAACAACCCAAGTATATGCTTGCTTTGCTGTACCCTTCCTTTGACACCTTATCATATTTTTCACATACTTTTTTTCAAGATCCTCCAGGTAAATATTTCCTTTGTTTTTATTTTGTCCTTGTTCAATTTTTTTTTAGAGTTTGAATTACTATGAAATCCTTCATTTCTGAAGGGATTTATTTTATTTGATTTTGAGAGTAATCTAAATACACAAACTTATATGTCTGTTAAAATTACTATAAAACTTAATGATTTTTAATAATCCACAAGATAAGTGTCCACAAAACTATATTTTTTTAAAAATCAGCAAATTGAGTTTAACAAAAATATAGGATTTGGCAGTCCATGATCTACTGGTATCTCTAGTTATAATTTCAAAACTTAAAACTCTGACAACTTCAACTGGATGAAACTCTAACATTTTCACTAACACAGAAGTAGATGACTTACTTGTATCGTCCACCAGCTTTTGTACCTGCTCCTCTAACCACTTCTGGTAGAATAACCTCACATTTTCTTTGTGTTTTCTTCCATTGCAATGTGTTTTTCTTACTGAAGGCTGTATGAACAGAATTCAGGTAATCAATATTCGAGCAAATATTTAGCTTTAAAATCACAATGTAAATTTAATCATTTTAATTCACCTACAATGATACAACATTCATAGGGTTGGAATTGTGCAACATACATATTGGATCTCAAATGAAATTATAGAATTTACTCACTGGATAATGTATATATCCTGTCACTTATATAGTAAAATAGGCCGATTCATTTGTCTAATGGACCTATATTAAAACATGTACATTCTTTATACTTACTGAGTCATGGGTCAGATATGTATCACAATAATCACAGTAGTATCTGGAAAAAAAGAAAATATGGTATGATAGCTGTAATTAAAGAAACACAAAGCTTTCTTTGTTTTGCCCAGGGTTCAATTTCAAAATTTTGGGGAGTCCCATTACTTATTTGTATAATATATTGTAAATACCAAGCAAAGACTGGGGTTGCAAAAAGATGGATAGTCCAGAAATATCCAGAGTTTCACAATGCTTACTGTCATCACTTTTTTTAAAATTAAGATTATTGGATTTATTGCCCCATGAACAGCCATAATGATTTTGATATGGGGTCTCCTTTAAGTAGCTTCTGGCTCACTGAACAACATGCAACAAGCCATTCAGAGCAATATGAGTAGAGTGTCTTGCCCAAGGACACAGTCATGTCAGCATGGGCCAGTCCATTTCTCACAAGCTTCTTATGAAACACAACTACTATGGGTAGACAACATATAACCCCCCACCTCAGATCTTCATGTGATGCGATGTAAGCAAACACTCTGACAGAGCTATTGTGTCCCCCTCTTACATTAAGAAGCATAGGCCTTTGTCACTTTTGCATTAGTCCAAGATTTCATATGTAAGAGAACTTTTTCAAAAATTTAACATTCAGGATGATTTTTTCTTGAACAACAACAGCACTAGTTCAAACTATTTAGGCATTCCATTAACCTTTTGTATTGGTTTGCAGTTCATGAACTCTGTCAAAACACAAATTTCCATACATATAACAGTACAAATCGAAATCATGCAATACCTCCTTATATTTCAAAGTATATAACTTGAGAACCATGCCTCTAATGTTTTCACTCATCTGTAATTACTAGAGTTAAATCTATGAACATAAAAATCAACAACTATGTATATTGAAATCAGTGTGGTTTCTTGCTATTTTGATAAAACAAAAGCAAAAATGTTTATATACATCATGAATGTCATGAAGAAAAGGAGGTAGTGGGACGGTCTTGCTCATTCAACATTTGGTAGACTGGAATCAAGGGCTAAAATACATTCATGGAGTTAAACTGTTATTCTTCCTAACTGCTTCAATTTTAACCATGCCCTCACTCAGCAGACAGGAGATTTTTAATTTCGAATGCTTCAGATGTCAGTACAGCAATTACTGACATTTTACTTTTGTCATAATAAAATATAAAAGAAGTTTATCAAATTGAATAACCTAATCTTGAACGAAAGCGAATTGATTTCAGTCACATGAACCATCTAACCAAAGCAATTAATGTTTTTAAATATGGGGCGAATCGTCCGACAAATGATATAAAAATTGGCTTTGTGATGTGATGGTCACATAAATGTCTCCATAAGTAGCAAAAAAAAAAAATAAATCAAAATAAAACAGAATTGCAACTTATTACTTGACTAAAAAACGCATATATGAATAAAACAAACTTCCACGACAACTAGGAAAAGAACAATCATAAAAGCTGGGACGAATAATCCTACATCGTCGGTCCTACGACTTTGTGCACGCGTCGACACAACTGTGGAAATGACAGAAATATGCTGGTATTTCTTTATGCAAGGAAACGTAAAATAAAGGATGAGAGTAAGATACTTACTTTGGCATTATAACTGTGCCAATGAGTAAAATATGAAATGCTTAAAAACAGCAAATTGTCACAGATATATTCCTTATTATCTCCATCCACGCCGCAAATGGTAACAGGAAGTCGTCGATAATATATCCTCGCACCAAAGTTTATTTTTATGTGTTTTTGGAAAATATGCTGTTTTAATGTCGTTGTTGTTATTTACCTCTGTCGATAAAATATATCTGAACTAGCTGCATAAAATACATATATCTTTGATGAAGAATAAAATAATTCATCTTCCGGTAGTTTGAGAGTTTGAAAAATGGCGGAAAGCATGAGTGGGAAGTCTTTCCGAGAAGTCGTTGTTCCCTCAAGCCCCTCGTCAAAATGGAAAGAAATTACGGTGAACACTGGTTGGTAACAGTTCATTTTCACGGTTTGATTTCGATCCATTTCTGTCATCAGTCATACTTTGGGAAGTTAAATCCTTCTTTAGATGTCGGGCACTAAAAGTTAAGAACACCGGCCCCTTTATTTACTGATGTTTTCATTCAAGGCATCCAATCGTTAGCATGCAATAGCATTCTATGTCATATTTCATCCTAAGAAAATTCAAGACACCGTCATTCATTGTTGTGTTTAAGTCATCATAACAAATGGTTTCAACAACATGCTGAATCGTTTGCTCTTGTTGGTTAACTAGCCATGACTAGTGAATCAAGGAGTGAAGAAAATTTGGCCTGCTATATCGAGGTATCAATCATTCAGTTATCGTGACGCTATTTCTTTGTGATGTAGTAAAACTGGTTGTTGTAAAGTAAATAAAATTTAAATCATGCCCATTTCATTGATGCAAAAACATCGTTATATTCAGTAAAACTCTTTAAAAAGTATGTCAAATAAATTCAGGAAAGCAGAAATTTTGTCAAAGTATTTTTCATTAGCATTAGCTTTGGGTAGTGCAGAGCACTTACCTTCCATGCATTTCTGCTTCCGAGAGAATCTTTAACCTCTGTTGCATCAATTTCTGTTGTTTAAACGAAATGTCTTGCACATTATAAATCGTTGACCAGGCACCATTGACTTACAATTTTAGGCAAAAACCATAAATGATCAGGATTATAAAGTGGCAACCAAAAATATATTCAGAAAAAAATGAAGAACCATGCATATATGTATAAAACCTAGATTGATGTTGTAACACTAGCTCAGATATGGAAACCCTATAGGTCCTCATAAAGCAGTTTCAATTATTGATTTTCTACAAAATTGTTCAAATAGTCACTGTCCTATCAGATATTCTTGTTCACCTCTCTACAGGAACTTGCTTCAGTCTTTATTCTTTACAGACAACAAAATCTCTTAAGAACACTCATACTGTGGATGAGTCCACATACTGTCAACTCTACCATGAATTAATATATAGGTCCATGAATCAACTCTGAATCATTTAATGTTGACTTTTTAAGGTGCTTCAGCCAGCACACTGCAAGATCTGAAGGTGCCAGACAGTTGTGGTGGCTTCTCTTATCAGGACAGTGGTCTTCCTCAGTCAGCAGTACGGAACCGTTTTATCTATTGGCAAGTATAATTTATTCATTATATAAAGGCAGGATGCCTAAGCCTGACAAAAAAATGTTGCCCTGTAAAATGTGTTAGTGGTATGTGTTTTCACTAAATGTTATGTATGAGGGACATTTTTATATTTCAACGGTAATATAAAAACATCTAAATCTGGCTTATATCTAGGGTTTTTGTTGTTATCATTATTCTTTTTTGTGGTATAATTTTTTTTCATAAAGTTAGTGCTTAAAAGCAAATATAAAGTTTATAAAAAATATTTATCTAAATACCGGTACTGGTGCCTTATTTTATTGAAATATAATGATAAGAAAAACAAAAAGCTAAGAAAAAATTGTTTGTAATTTATCTTAGGAAAACTAAGGTATAAAGTTGCTAACACATTTATCTGTTTTTTCAACAATGTATGAACTTGTTCAATTGTATACCATGAAAATTATTGTTTTTGATAATTTATGCATATGACATGTTTCACACTTTTTTAGGCGATTAAAAAATTATCAATAGCTTTATATAGGGAAAGAGCTGTTATTACAAGTCACATTATCATGATGTTATTTAAGTAATCACTGATAACATGGTCATTACTGGAAAAACTGTCTACTTCAGGAGAACAAGTAATGATGTGCTGGAGTTGGTGGAGCAGAGTCTGGACTTTAACCTCCTGGGGTCTCAAGTGAGATTCAAGTTCCAGGATACTCAGATCTTTGGTGGTGTGACAGTGTGGGAGTCACATGGCAATGTCATCATCCTGGTGTCAACCGTAGCCAGTGTTCACCGCCTCATCTTCCCTCACCCCTCACGTCTGCAGAGAATGGCAAGTCTGATAGAAGATAATTATTGTGTACATTTCAATAATAATCACAATCATTGTGCTGCTGGTCATTCAGTTGACCTTTGTCATTTGGCAATTTTAGCAGTCAAACTACAAATCTTAAGAATAAAAAAAGTTAGACATGTCCCATCAAACTCATGTCAAAACTAATTTTAGGGGGTCAAGAACATACGCTACTAGTTTACTGAATAACCAGGTTGTGTGATAAGAAAGAGAAAGGTTTTGCTGTTTGGAAACACAGTAAAATCATTCCCACTTTAAGGAATTCTTTTTAAATGCTTTGTTTTAAATGGAACTAAAATTACATTTTGGGCAAGGCTTCTATTTTCTTGGCATGTAGGTATGCAAGTAAGCCAAGTTAACAATGATAAAATATTGACCAAAGAACCATTTATTTTTTTCCAGTGAAGACAAAATATCTTTGAATTTTGACTTTGACTTTAACTCAGTATTGGTTTAAGGAGATATTGGTTTAAGGAGATATTTCAACAGAAGAGTTGTCTATATAAATAGTAGTGCCATGTTTTTACATAGCTGCAGGATTTAACATAGGTATTTAAAAAAACTGCATTGTTTGTATGTATAATCGATTAATGATTATTTGACATTTCAGATGGATTAATGAAACATGTCTGCTTTTATACAGATTTATTACATTACTAATAAGGATAGACAGGTAATTTATCATTTGTATATATTTACAGGATATTGGCTGTTCATCAGATCAGGTTGTACAGTCTATTTTCTTTGATGCCTCCCTGATGACTGCAGCTGACTCCAAAAACATGCATATGTTGAATCCAGGGGGCAGTGTGACTTCTCACCTTCATAGTGCTGCCACCTTCCTCAACAGTGATGGAGATGCATTGTTTTCATTTTCAAGTAACACAGGAAACATCCTCCTCATCAAAATGCCACCCCCTCAGGTCCAAGGTACAGTCCTGAAGAAATCATGTTGGTTTTCCCTTGTTGTTTGTAGGTTCTTTGAGAAAAGACTTAAATTTGTCTGGGTTATATGAGTTTCAAGGCTTACTATAAGATTTTGTATGGTATATTGCCATTAGAAGTAAAAATGAAGCTATTTGGGTCATCGATTCACCACTGTGCATGCCTGGTTATCGAAAGAGGAGAATAACAATACACTATTTCAGCAATTTATTCAAAAGTAATGTGTAGCTATGTGATATAATATTATACAAAATAAAGAAATAATACTATACCAGTTAGGAGCGAGTGTTAGCTCAAATCTTGTGTTAAACATATGGAAGATTCAGACTGAAAATAAAAGTATGTAAATGCACCAACCAAAACAAAAACCACTGTGTTGTCAATGTAGTTAAAGATATGTGTTAATCAGTTGTATATCTGAGTCTTTGGAAACATTTTTGATTTTATTTTTAAGTTTTAGAAAAAGAAGAATCACTTGTTTAGGTTCTGATTATCTTAACCATTTTTTTATGGAATGGATTGGTGGGATGAGGAGGAAATCAATTTACTGTATGATAAAGTACATATACTTTGTTTTGTTTGTCTTGAAGGTGTTGTTCAACAGTTTGATCTGCGACAGTCTTCCATGATGCAAAAGTTATTTAGTGGACTTATCAGGTAAATGAATAGTATGTCTATTGTAGAATGAAGTTTGGAAGACATGGGTGACATATATATGTCAACGGTCGTCCTTTACGGTTAAAAGTTAAACTTTTATCCCCTTTTCAGGTCAAAATGCTATGCCCAGGACTTTTCATGAACACTTCTCGAAAAGAATAAAGATTGAATTTGTATATACTTTTGTACTGTAGTTTAAGCAAGATTAAGTTTTACACTTAAAAATTTTAGGGTCATCATTCTAATTTAAATGGTCAAAAGTCAGGTTGGAACACGTTTTGAAAAGGATTTTGTATTTAAGATAAATAATATTGGTGGACACCCAAACCTGCTGTAGTTTGTGTCTGTATGAAGTGCCTTCCAATGTAATTTTCCTACAGGAGTGGACAGGAGGCTACAGATTCCGCTACCAGTATGGTCATACAAATGTTCCGAGGAGATGTCTACATCTTCGCTGTTTGTAGGGACCACAAATTGAGAATATGGTCAACCAAGGTATAAACTCACTATTACTTTATCTTATTATTATTGTGAAAAAATTGATGATTTAGAGATCAATTTTATTTCTTAATTGGTAATTACCACATATATTTTTGATTTTGTTTTATTAAGGATGTATGCCTGTGTATCTTAATACTTACTGACTAAAAGCTTCGTTACATGTATCAGGGTTCCAACTCTTGCTGTTTCAATATAATTTAAATTCAAAATACACAAAGTAATGTAAAGTCAAATATTTTCCAGGGTTAAAATTTCGTAGTTTTACAAAAATGTTCAATTTTTATTGGCACTTAACTGTGTAAATAAATGTAATGCACTAAGTCCACTTGTACTACGGTTGATGTCCTTTATTTTTCCTGTGGACAGACATTTGTGGATTAAAAGTAACCATAAATTCAGTGAAAGTAAAACCCCCACCAAAATTTATACTCTTATATTAACAGGGATTGTGTATATCAATGTTTTGGAAGGTAAATTTCACTTTTCACATTTTCATTGCTGGATCTGTAGCTACTACACATTTGATTAAGATGCATTCATTGCCTGTATCAAACTTGTGTTTTCCTAGACCAGAGAATGTATCCTTGCTTACAACCTGCTAGAATGTTGTCCAGACCTTCAACATGTTCAACCAGTCACAGGTAAGTCTAAGTTAGTGAAGTACCTTACAGGCAAGTCATAGTTAAAGTACCCTACCGGCAGGTCATAGATAGTAAAGTACCCTACAGGCAAGTCATAGTTAGTAAAGTACCCTACAGGCAGGTCATAGTTAGTAAAGTACCCTACAGGCAGGGCATAGTTAGTAAAGTACCCTACAGGCAGGTCATACTTAGTAAAGTACCTTACCACCAGGTCATAGTTAGTAAAGTACCTTACAGGCAGGTCATAGTTAGTAAAGTACCCTACAGGCAGGGCATACTTAGTAAAGTACCCTACAGGCAGGTCATAGTTAGTAAAGTACCCTACAGGCAGGGCATAGTTAGTAAAGTACCCTACAGGCAGGTCATAGTTAGTAAAGTACCCTACCACCAGGTCATTGTTAGTAAAGTACCTTACAGGCAGGCCATAGTTAGTAAAGTACCTTACAGGCAGGTCATAGTTAGTAAAGTACCCTACAGGCAGTTCATATTTAGTAAAGTACCCTACAGGCAGGTCATAGTTATTAATGTACCCTACAGGCAGGTCATAGTTAGTAAAGTACCTTACAGGCAGGTCATAGTTAGTAAAGTACCCTACAGGCAGGTCATAGTTAGTAAAGTATCCTACAGGCAGGTCATAGTTAGTAAAGTATCCTACAGGCAGGTCATAGTTAGTGAAGTACCTTACAGGCAGGTCATAGTTAGTAAAGTACCCTACAGGCAGGTCATAGTTAGTAAAGTATCCTACAGGCAAGTCATAGTTAGTGAAGTACCCTACAGGTAGGTCATAGTTAGTAAAGTACCCTACAGGCAGGTCATAGTTAGTAAAGTACCCTACAGGCAGGTCATAGTTAGTAAAGTATCCTACAGGCAGGTCATAGTTAGTGAAGTACCCTACAGGCAAGTCATAGTTAGTGAAGTACCCTACAGGCAAGTCATAGTTAGTAAAGTATCCTACAGGCAGGTCATAGTTAGTAAAGTACCCTACAGGCAGGTCATAGTTAGTAAAGTACCCTACAGGCAAGTCATAGTTAGTGAAGTACTCTACAGGCAGGTCATAGTTGGTAAAGTATCCTACAGGCAAGTCATAGTTAGTGAAGTACCCTACAGGCAAGTCATAGTTAGTAAAGTACCCTACAGGCAGGTCATAGTTAGTGAAGTACCCTACAGGCAGGTCATAGTTAGTGAAGTACCCTACAGGCAGGTCATAGTTAGTGAAGTACCCTACAGGCAGGTCATAGTTAGTGAAGTATCCTACAGGCAGGTCATAGTTAGTGAAGTACCCTACAGGCAGGTCATAGTTAGTAAAGTATCCTACAGGCAGGTCATAGTTAGTGAAGTACCCTACCGGCAAGTCATAGTTAGTAAAGTACCCTACAGGCAGGTCATAGTTAGTAAAGTACCCTACAGGCAGGTCATAGTTAGTAAAGTATCCTACAGGCAAGTCATAGTTTGTGAAGTACCCTACAGGCAAGTCATAGTTAGTAAAGTACCCTACAGGCAAGTCATAGTTAGTGAAGTACTCTACAGGCAGGTCATAGTTAGTAAAGTATCCTACAGGCAAGTCATAGTTAGTGAAGTACTCTACAGGCAGGTTATGGTAATGAGGCCATTATATTGAGAACATGCAATATTTATTGAGCAATAAGCCACTCCACACCTCCATCCCCTGCTGCGCCCATACTTATTTTTGTTGTATAAGATTTTACTACTGTGCTGCCTTGCAGTAAATACTTAACCCTGCTTTTTTAATCAGAATTTGTATGTTATCTCCTTATGGTTACTTTAGGAGAATACAGTAGTTTCAGAGCACCATGCTTTACAGTATATTAATATATGCATCATAATGATAAAATTCTTTTTCTGTCTTTTCAGGAAGTGGACATACAATAAAGAAAGTTTTGAGTGGTGATGCTATTGATTTAAAGCTTTGTGTGTACTTAAACTTCCCTGACAGAAATCAGGTAAACATTATTTAAACTTCCTTGCAATTAGGTAAACATCAATGATTTAAAGCTCTTTGCACACTTAAACTTCTCTGACAGAAATGAAATAAACATCAAGAATTGTTTTGAGGGAGGGTAAAAACTATTTGTATGTTTTCTATATTAGCACAAAGATAATTTTATCGTAGATATCTGTTGGCACTATATCCATTAATAAGCTTGCTCTTCAATGGATATAGTTGTACATGATAATATGCAAGTCAAGTTCAGATTTCTGTGAAGAAAAGAAATTCAGAGTTATGGCCGTTTAACTGTAAGAATCTTAGTTAGAATTTTCACAAAATGTTCAGACTAATTTTGGAGAGCCCTGCCTAATGCCAGTTGGTATTGATTGAAATATCTGTCGCCAGAAATTCAAGTTTATTTCATGAATCACGAGTTCCCCTTTTAACAAAGTCTCATACAATAAAATGTTTCAAACTTCTCCTTGGTTGCCAATGGGAGTTGCCAATGGGAACAATGTGGTCACTATTTCACATCTACTTTCATATTCATTTATGTGAAGAGAACATGCATATTAAGTGGGTTTTTCAAACACAAATTACGGATTTGTGCCAAGAGCTTGAAATTAATGGGATTTTGTTTATTTCAGTTTTGTTTTGTACAAATCCATATGGTGAATGGTCGCCTGGAGGTTTTCCACAATGCTACAGTGTTTGGCACACCAGTAAGTAGGACTGGATTGTCAGAAAGCAATCCAGAGCTGTGTTCTGCTAATCTGTCTGTAACCAGATAAATCTGTTTTCTGTATTTTATCAACTGAAAATTAAAGCTTGAAACAATTCCAAACACCTGATAACATAAAAAAAATTAGCAAACAAAAAACAGATCATTGAAAGAAAAGATTTCAAAGGGAAGACTTGACTTGGGTGACTTCTTATTGAAATTAATTTTTCAAGTAGATTTATTCTATTTTTGATATCGCATGTCTCCATTAACATGTCTCCATTTAGACATCATTCTAGGTTTTAGTTGCATGCACAGCCTGCAGGAATGTTTATTCATTTATTATGAATGATTACACTGATAAAAAGTGAGACATCTTGTAATAAACAACAATTTTAGAAAAATTTTCATTGAATGGGCTCAAAAATTTGTGAATTCTATATCAGATAATGATGATGACTTTCATGTATTATTAAGTCTCAGACAGATAATTTTTTACTTTAAATTATCACCAAAAGTGAGTTAGGTTATTACGGTATTGAATGCTGAGTGTCTGTTATCAGAAACTTCAAATTATCACCAAAATTGAGTTAGGTTATTACGGTATTGAATGCTGAGTGTCTGTTATCAGAAACTTCAAATTATGACCAAAAGTGAGTTAGGTTATTACGGTATTGAATGCTGAGTGTGCGTTATCAGAAACTTCAGATTATGACCAAAAGTGAGTTAGGTTATTACTGTATTGAATGCTGAGTGTGCGTTATCAGTTTTCTAACTAGCAAACAGTAACAGGAATGTATCAAATCATTTAGCAGGATTCTAGAGAGAAATATTTTATCTGTATTCGATGGAAAGTTGATCACATGTACAGAGTTGGGGATTGAAGTTTATGTTTGTTTTAGGAAGATTTGGTGGATTATTCTGTAACAGAAGAACACCTTTGGACCCTCTGGACCAATCAGACTGGAGAAAGTGTAGCCAGGGTTCGAAACATGACAGGGTAGGTAACTCAAGTAAGACCACTAGGTGACACTACATTGGATAACCTATATACTCATTCACTCATTCTTGTTAAAACATTCAGAATATACAATTAAAATTCAAACAGAAAATATAAGTGTTACCTTATACTATACATCTTTTATTTGGCTGCTAGCACAGGTAAGGCGGGTTCTATTGTTTACTGCCCCCACTGATCTCAAGTCATCCTTTGTGTATGATGTATACCTGGACAGGTGTGTGGATGACCTCAGGCACTAATTAGTGTCATAATGGGGACACTTACTTGAGATTTACTTGAGATTTTGGCTGATCAAAGTTTGATCTTGGCAGAAAAAATAACATAATAACCGATATCTCATGTTGTACTATATCATTATAAACATTTATTTTTATTTAATCTTCAGAGGAAATTTATTAAATGGATTAAACATTATGATAAGTGCACTCCACTGTACCTCTTTTGGCAGATTGTGTCTATAGGAATGCCAGGCAATTTTGCAGACAGTTCATGTCCATTGTTACAAGGCCATGCTGTCTCTGTAGGCAGATAACTCAATAGACAAGTTGTCAACGTTGAAAGTTGATCTCGGTACAGAAGTCATCTAAAAAAATATATACTAATTATACTTATTGAATGTCTTCTCACATAGCCAATTAAGGGGAGATAACTGGAGTGAGGTCATCCTTCAGCCTCAAGAGAATAGCGATATCCTTGTCCCTCGTCATGCTGATCCTCGAGAGGTTTACTTGGCTCGTATCTTCCATCCTCGCCGCTTCAACGTCCAGGACATTAAAAAGGCACTCAATGTAAGTTTTTAGTGATCCATATTAGGGTACCTGGTACTTGTGTTGTCCATCTGTCCCTCTCCAACAGTCACTTGTCATTACGCAAAATGGGTTATCTTTAGTCTTTATATTGATGAAACTTTTTACAGATATGAGGAACTAAAACATCTCTGACAAGTTTGCATTTTAGACAGGATATTTGTAGATCTCAAAGTCAGTCTGTTAACTGCTGTGGACGTTTTCTCTAAATCATTTTAAATTAGTTATTTCCATTCCATTTTAGTGAATGCATTTTTCCAAAAACAGAAAATGCTAAGGAAATTGTATAATACCGACTTTCTGTGTTGTAGGTTTACCGTCGATCAATGGACATGACTGTTACTGGGGAGATGACACTACAAGTGAACACACTCAAGGAGGAGGTCACTTTAGCTGTAGAAGATGCTGTAAGTAAACACATACCCACATACACTGTAGAGAAGTTTCACTGCACATTTCACTCATGTTTATTCATCTGATACAATTGCTGAGATTTGTAGTAAAATGTACACTGGATATCATGTTTTGTGCTGTTTTTTTCCCCAAATATTTTGTCGTTGTTGTTGTGTTTTTTTTTATCTTTTAAGCAAAGAAAGAAAAGCAGAAACCTTTGGCCAGTTATTCAATTTCATCTTGAAAGACTAACAGATCACTCACTTTTATTAAAACAAAACGAAAGCAAACTAGAAAAAAACTGAAAAAAAACACACACAAGAAGAGCAAAGGAAAAAGGAACGAAATAAAATACGGCAAAAAATATGATAAGTAGTCCCCTTCCACTTTTTTTCTTTTTGTGTTATAGATCAGAAATTCTGCAGCATCCAATGAACTTGCAGAAGAGGAATACTACCAGATCCAGCTTGACCAGTGGACAAAATTCCACTCCTGCTGTGTCCAATATCAGGAGGTAACAAAACAGGTTCACAGAGTCACAGTCTAACAGTGGCAAGGGCCAGGATTTTTTATCTGAATAACTTCAAGTGGGATTCTAGGTTTCGCAGATTTGAAAAAAAAAAAAAAGTATAGATATACATACAAATAAACACTGTACACTGTGTTATTTGGCTGTACAAAATATACACATGTTGATTATATAAAAGATACAGGTTGATTGCTCAAAATATATAGCTGAAATCTTCAAAATGCACACAGAAGAAATGTACAAAACACACAGAGAAGAATTATGCCAAAGCTTTGGGTTTGATTATAGTGATAGTGTAGATGCCAAATAGTTTATATAAAAGCAACAAGAAAATACTACCATGACAACAATATTATAATCCAAACTCAAATTCAATAAAACTAGGGCAAAATTTGAACAAAGAAAAGACTTCTGAAGAATATTAGGAGAATAAAATCAATCATTCCGGAAAAGTAAGCATTTTCTGCTTCATCGGCGACACATGCCTTGTAAAGCTAGATCAATCCATGCAGGTAATGTCCCATTCTCATATAAAGTATACAACAATGGAACCAACAGGTACACTAATGAGCATCAAACAGCTGCTTCATCCTTAATAAGGATTCTCCAGAATGGCAAGTAGTATGAATATATCACTCAGACTAAATTATATATCTATCATTTCATGTGTATTTACATGTTTGAATGTTTCCATGTGAAAGATATATTATTATTGATACTTTTCTTGAACTATTTTTCGTTATAGGTTGGAGCCAAGATGAAGGGACTACTAACTGATCCCATCACAGGCTTGGTTTGTCTTATCAAAAAGGTAAAGTAAGGGTCGGGGTTCACATATCTCAAGGGTCAAGGCCATCTTATGGTCTGGGTTAAGATTTCAAAATTTGCATGTTTTTTCCTGGTTGGAGTGCTGGTATAAAGATGTAGGGTTAAACATTTCATCAAGCCAAACATTAAAAATGCTCTTAATTGCATGTAGTATAAAAAATATTCATGAAAATAAATCTTAAAGTGCTCTAGCAAAATAAAAGGGCATTTTATACTATGCATATTGACTACAATTTCTGCTTATTCAAATTTTACCATCTTCATGCATGATTAAGTTCTGAATGATATGAGACAAACTGATGTTTTCAGTTCTTATTAACCTCTCATTGTTATTGAAATGGATGGTTTTATGTTTTAGGGCTGTGTGACCTACATTCGGCCCTGTGATAGAATTGAGGAGCTGTGTTATGGAAGTGGGGAGTGGACAGACCAACAGGAATTAGGTCTGTTTTTCAGCATGGTTAGGGTCTTGTTCTGAACACAATGATTTTATGTAAATATTGACTTTTACAGCCATTGCAAAATAAATCATTTCAACTGGTATTAATTACTTTTGAGGGGTAGGATTTAAGTGTGCACATGGTCTTACTGTGGAAGGAAACCAGTGAACTCATGGGAAACCAACTCGGTCAAGCAGGTGACCCCTACCTTTCCACATCTGTTCTGGGAATTCTCACTGTGCCATCCAACCACACCTAAAGTATTTTAATTGAAGAAATGAATATGTGTTGGAAATTGGATATAAGAGGTTTTTATATTTATATAGTTATGTGATTGAAGTTTAAATATCCTAACTTTTCCACAATATTTGGAAGGTTGTTTTCTAATGTAGATCATGCTCAAAAGTTTGATGTTGAGATGCTGGGTCGGTGTCTAGAGCTGATCAGGTCCAAGGTCACAGACGAGGCAGGGGCACAATTTGACTACTGTCCTACATCTCAGGAGGAGATCCGAACTCTAGCTAATCACATAGTAGAGGAACTCTTCACAGAAGAAGGGTAAGAAATTGCCACAACATTGTCACAGTACTGGAAACTACTGATTTTTCTTTATATACTCTTATGTTATAGCGTTAGCTTCACAAATAGGGCAGGTATATTTATGAATAAATACAACCTTCATAGATAAATACAAACCTCAGTCAATTGAATTTACTAGAATAAATACCCCAAGATATTCATCTTCAGTTATATCTGTTGTAGTGTTCATTATTCTAACATTCAGAAATTTGTATGGAAATTTTTCTGTTTTCTTTTTGTGTTACCTGCTTAACATCATGATAAGTGTTTGTCATAAAAAAACAAAATGGCATGTGATGCATAAAAATTGAACAAAATACAAGATATTTCCAAGGTTACTGCAAAATGTCTCTGTCTTATTGAATTTTTTATTCTTATGCATGCCGTTTTGTTATCTAAACGCCTTATAGCAGTTTGAGATAGTTATGATGAAGTTATGAATCTAATTATGACATTATTTTTAATCAGTTTGCTGAAAGGATCAACATCAATGATGTCACTTGGGGACCAAATCCAGAGAATCATTAACCTGCCGGACTGTATCCAGATTTTACTGGATTCCATGGACCTGACCACACAAGATGATGTAGAAGACACATCCATGGATGACGGTCAGTTGCTTTTCACTCAATATTTCCAATTTCCTTGCTGTGATAGAGAAAGGTTATAAAATGCTTGCTGTGGATATGTCTTACATTTTTTCATGTTCATAAACTACATTGATTTCGAAGTGAAGCTATTTACAAAGACCTACATTTGGTTAGATTTCATATGTAAGATACATTTTTACTGAAGCAGAAGTGGAGGATGCTTTGATTGAACCATAAAATCAGGCAGGAGACTTAAACTTAATCAGTTTAGATAGCATGCTGCAGGACTCCAACACATAGTACAGTAGACTTAAACTTAATCAGTTTAGATAACATGCTGCAGGACTCCAACACATAGTACAGTAGACTTAAACTTAATCAGTTTAGATAACATGCTGCAGGACTCCAACACATAGTACAGTAGACTTAAACTTAATCAGTTTAGATAACATGCTGCAGGACTCCAACACATAGTACAGTAGACTTAAACTTAATAAGTTTAGATAACATGCTACAGGACTCCAACATATAGTACAGTAGACTTAAACTTAATCAGTTTAGATAACATGCTGCAGGACTCCAACATATAGTACAGTAGACTTAAACTTAATCAGTTTAGATAACATGCTGCAGGACTCCAACATATAGTACAGTAGACTTAAACTTAATAAGTTTAGATAACATGCTGCAGGACTCCAACATATAGTACTTAAACTTAATCAGTTTAGATAACATGCTGCAGGACTCCAACATATAGTACAGTATAAACTTAATAAGTTTAGATAACATGCTGCAGGACTCCAACATATAGTACAGTAGACTTAAACTTAATAAGTTTAGATAACATGCTGCAGGACTCCAACATATAGTACACTAGACTTAAACTTAATAAGTTTAGATAGCATGCTGCAGGACTCCAACACATAGTACAGTAGACTTAAACTTAATCAGTTTAGATAGCATGCTGCAGGACTCCAACATATAGTACAGTGCAGGTCTCCAACATATAGTACAGTAGACTTAAACTAACACAATACATATAGTAGACTTAAACTTAATAAGTTTAGATAACATGCTGCAGGACTCCAACATATAGTACAGTAGACTTAAACTTAATCAGTTTAGATAACACAGTCCAACACATAGTACAGTAGACTTAAACTTAATCAGTTTAGATAGCATGCTGCAGGACTCCAACACATAGTACAGTAGACTTAAACTTAATCAGTTTAGATAACATGCTGCAGGACTCCAACACATAGTACAGTAGACTTAAACTTAATCAGTTTAGATAACATGCTGCAGGACTCCAACACATAGTACAGTAGACTTAAACTTAATCAGTTAAGATAGCATGCTGCAGGACTCCAACATATAGTACAGTAGACTTAAACTTAATCAGTTTAGATAACATGCTGCAGGACTCCAACACATAGTACAGTAGACTTGAACTTAATCAGTTTAGATAGCATGCTGCAGGACTCCAACATATAGTACAGTAGACTTGAACTTAATCAGTTTAGAATGCTGCAGGACTCCAACACCTAGACATTGCAACTTTTTGAACTTAATCAGTTTAGATAACATGCTGCAACAAATATAACACAACTTAATCAGTTTAGATAATTGCAATCATGCAGGACTCCAACATATAGTACATCATACATTAAAGTTGGAACAATAAACACAACAAACAATAATTGTACATAAGTGATAACATTTTACAACTGTAGCATATTTTCCTGATACAGGTGAAAGCACAAACCACCAGCTGGCATGTAGTCGGCTTTTCACTAGTGGCACTGCTGTGGAAATCCTCTCAGCCACTCTACAGCAGGTCTCTGTCACAAGGTTATCTGCCCTTAGAGATCTGTTGATCCTACAGGAGGCAGCATGTCAGCTTGGAGATCGGGTAAGTGAATCTTAAGATAGTCATTGTTCTAAGGTAACTCCTGATCCTTTTTTTTTTTTTTTTGAAAGAGAGATTATCTAGTTTCCAACCTATTAATCTGATATTCCTGCTGCTGTACAACTTACACGGGACTGTAATCCTATTTTGGAACATTTTCTTTGGTTGGTAATGTCAATAGAATAAAAGTGCTAATAATCTTTTTTTACTAGAAGGGTATCAAGGAATAAGACGGTGCCTTCGATTTCTTTCTTGAGTGAATATGGTGCTGCTATAATCTTTTTACCATCTCATACAGCCATAAAATTGTGTTTATTCTGTACAATCTCCAGCGCTCCGGACCAAGTCACTGCTAATATGCTTCACACTGGTCATTTGTCTGATGAATCTGTCAGTGGTGTTATCATAATGTCACACTGAAATATCTTCTACTGGTTGTGTTATAAGAACTTCTATCTTCAGGACTGTGATCCTGACTATTTAGATATAAGAGTTTCCTATATTCAGATTAATAACTTGGCTTGGAAAGTTGAATTATGTAGAATTATTTTTTTTTTTGTGTTGTGTTTTGTTTAGGATGGTATTACTCCTGATGTTACTGGCCGTCTACATCACGATTTAATCCCTCACACCCTAACCTTACTCCAGTCCTACATGCTGCTTAAGTGGGTGTCCGAGTCTGTAGCCACACCTAGTCAGACCAGTACCCTGTGAGTATAGACCTGTATATTGTCAGACCAGTACCCTGTAAGTATAGACCTGTATATAGTCAGACCAGTACCCTGTAAGTATAGACCTGTATATAGACAGACCAGTACCCTGTAAGTATAGACCTGTATATAGTCAGACCAGTACCCAGTAGACCTATATATTGTCCGACCAGAACCCTGTAAGTATAGACCTGTATATAGTCAGACCAGTACCCTGTAAGTATAGACCTGTATATAGTCCGACCAGTACCCTGTAAGTATAGACCTGTATATAGTCCGACCAGTACCCTGTAAGTATAGACCTGTATATAGTCAGACCAGTACCCTGGAAGTATAACAGAACCTGTATAAACTGAACTCTACATCAACAATAGACACACTTAGTCAGATGAGTAGCCAGTAACTATTTTGTACAGACATTGGTACCTGTCTTCACTTAACAGCATCAAGACTACCGATGTGGACAGGTGTCTTTTATCACAAGGCACTTGTATTTATATTTATCAATTAAATCCAGAATGAAGTGGGTTTTGTAAAGTTTTGAAATACATTTAAAGAATTTGTCTTTTGAGAAGGAAATCAGTGTTTTTTCATAAGTCCTATAAAGTGAAGTGGGATATGAAAGTGAATTTACAGTGTTGTTGCTAACTGATAACATTTTCTGCTGATTATTAGGATTTTGACCAAGAAATCAATGTGATTGTTGCTTTTTCTACAGAGAATTTAACGTGAGACAGCTAGCGTCTTTAGAGATCAATGATGGATCAGGACTGACAAGTCAGCAGAGAGCCAGTGAGTGATTAACTTGTGATAACATGTCTGTATTATACCTGTTATAGCTTTTACACAATGACCTTTAGCTCACCTTTCTTGATTATTTTATTTGAAGGGCCTTGTTGCCTGGGTATACAAGTAGTGATTGGTAGAAGCCTATCATACTATATTATGCCTTTAATAAATTGAGTGTTTGATAGCATTTCTGCAAGTAGAATTTTAAATTCATGAGGGGTCATTGGTACCAAGGACAAACATCTGTAGCACTTTTAAATTTCATTTAGATAGCAGAAACATCAGATAATAATACCCTAGGCAAGCTACATAATGAATAAGACTGTACCATACATTTTAATTTTCTGCTAGGAGTCCTTCATTGATGTACCAAAAGCATGTAAAACCAGAGGGAAAGTCATGTAACAAACTCTAAACTGAACTAAAGAAATAGAAACTCAAAGCTGTTAGTGTCGAGGGATTCTGTTTCTTAGGTTTTTTTTGAGGATGGATTGAAAACATGAAAAATGGATTTCTGAAAGAATAAAACTGAAAGGAAAAATAATAATCCATTAGATGACTTTCCCAAAAAATGAGTTCCATTTCCTTCAAAGTTTTGTTACACAGAGTTTGAACCTGAGTATTATTGGTGTTTGTTGATTATCATGTTGGTGTATTGGAGGCAAGCGTCATGTTTAACAACTTAATAATCTTCCCTCGGGTTGAGATCCTTCTGTCTCGCCCTAAAGGTGTGAAAGATTCTATTAGACTGTATGATGTTATTGTTTTATGAGAAGACAATAGAATGTTACTGTTTCTATGTTATAATTGCCAGGTCTACAGAATATAGGTTTGGCAGAGCTGTTTATACAGGCTGTGGGTGGCACACAGGCACGACAAATGTTGGCCCAGACCCGACTGATGGAGAATGAGCCCTGTGCTACCTGGACTTTGGGTATCCTAGGCCTCACCAAGTTTGTGTCTAGACTTGTGTATCCTTTCCACTCGCGAAACACTAGATAATTTCTCTGTAGTTTAGTATGTTACAAAAAACCCTGATGTTTCCAATTATTTGTCACAGAGATATTTCATCAAAGTTGCAAAATTTCTGGCTGTTCTTTACTTTAAGAACTCATTTAAATGACTTTAATAACTATTGTTAGCATTGAAATATCTCACCTGTGGTCAGTTTAGACAGGCAAAATTGGTGGGAATACTCCCAGCCAAGCCATCTAAATATAGCACATCATGAAATCCGGAACGGTAAGGTCACTGGCTCATAGATTTTTTACAGAATATTGGGTATATCTTTTCAGTAAAATTTCTGCTGATGTTACAATTTTTATTACTTCATTAGGCTTATTTTCTGGTGATTTTATAATTGTTTCTGTTTGATGGTCTGTTTAACATCTATATTAGACAAACAACATAATTGACTTGGTCATCTTCAAGACCATCATGTCAATTCACCAACTCTAATTTTTAATGAACTTCCTGTAGGTCAGATTTTGTGACTCATTTCCATTGGTCCTGTGCTGTGTTATGCTACTACAGAACAATGCCATATTTTCATAATCTCAACAGATTTCATTCTTATTTACACCCATAGCATCATAACATAAAGTTCTGGTTTACTGTTTACTTAGGAACGAGGGCCTTCATGTGTAATAGATTTCTTTGTGTTCAGCTCCTTCAATCAAAGAGAAAGAGACATAATCCATATTACAGATATTTAAGTCATATGAAGAAATGATAACATCGGATTGTAGAGTTTATATCAAATATGAGATGTGACCTATGATCCTTGACATTACATAAGCTGGCCAATGAGCCCCTACTTTGTGTTCCCAGAGTTCCTTGTAGGGAGTTGTCAATACCTCCAGCTTCAGGAATATGTTCGTCTGCTGAGCTCCTGGTGCGAGTGGCATGTTGCCTCACGCAGATTTATGTTGGGGCTGTGCTACCTACACTTTGAGTAAGTATTCAAGATAATGTTACAATGGATGTAAGTACATGGAGATTACAGACAAAGAGGGGTTCATGATTACAAACAGAGTTATTATTACTTGAGAAGCTTATTCCATTTTGTGTGTCAATTTAGGCAAGTTATATGGATCACTGAGCTTTATTTTTACAACACATGACAAATTTCATATCTTTGGACTAATGAAGTTCTAATTTTGAAAAGATTCCTTGTTAAACATTTTTGGGTGAGTTTGCAATTTAGTTTTTAAACCTAAAAGTCACTGCAACTTACTAGAAAACAAAGGCTAATCAATGACAAAATTCAGATGGTGGTTTCTAGGTACTATACTGAAAGTACTGTGTATTTTATTGTAAATATTTCCAAAACATAGCTTCAGCTCCTGTTGACTGTTAAAAATCAAACTCTATGTAGTGAATATGATTTATTAAAAAAACTTTGCAATTTACACACAAATGACCATGGTTATTTGCATGCCCATGTGTCATTCAAACATGATCCTCTATTTCTTTGCGCTGATTGGTATCATGTATTTTTTTGTTGTGATTAATATCAATAGAATTTTTTCTCTCATTGTCAGTGAACCACAAAAAGCTGGCCAGTGTTTTACTGCAGCAAAGGAAGGTGTGGCCACAGAAACATTCCTGAGACAAAAACTTCTCCAGACAGATGAAACGCACAACAAACGACTGGAGGTTCTTTACTATCTCAAGGTGATGGACACAAATTATTTCTAATAGCCAAAACAGACATGGAACAGATAATAACAATCTAGACAGATTTAATCAAGTTCAACAATTTTCATTTTCTTTATCACTTTTTATGAAGAATTTTAAAATTTTCATAGCTGAAAGCACTTTTTAATTATTGCCTATGTCCCTAGATATGAAAAAATAAAAATAAAAAGAACTTTGCAACCCATTGATTTACTATGAAAAGACAAAGAAATAGAAAAGTGTCTGAAATAGAGTACTATGAATATTTACATTATTTCATTTTTCCCCACTGGAGATCATATGGGTATCAGATATACAACAATATTATACATTTTTGTCTTCTGTACAACAGGTAATAAAGCAGTTTGAGGAATTTGGAGCTCCTGACATGGTTGTCTCCCTTGCCAAGACCGGTATCAGTATTGCAGAGGATGATGATCCAAATGTGGTAAGTAAATAACACAGATTATGACAAATGTTTATTTTTGAGATGGATTTCCAGCTATATTGTCAGACAAATTATGTTTAATGGTATTTATTTTGTTTATACTTAATTCTGTTAGAATTGAGAATATTTTAGGCAGTAACATTTACAAGGATAACACCACTTTACATTGCTTAGGTCTATAGTTAATTTTGAAATATCTGTATGTAATTATTTAAAGGATATGGTATAAAATGTTTAGATAATGAGATAAGGGATAAAACATTAACTCACAAAAATTGTTTAATGTGTTAAGATGTTGATGAAATGTTTTGTGTAAGGGTAAAATAATGTTACAATGTTGTAAAAATTGGCATTTATCCTCTTCATAATCTACTCTTGTAGCCCACTCTTTGGTCAAAGCTATTCAAGTACCAGCTTGAGTTAGGCCACAACATGGAGGCCTATTCAGCCATGATAGCAAACCCTGATCCATCCAGGTAACTTTACACATACATCATACAATCCAATACAAGTGTTTCACAAACCCTGATCCATCAAGCTAACCATTTCTTTACACATACATCATACAATCCAATACAAGTGTTTCACAAACAATTATCCATCCAGGTAACTTTACACATACATCATACAATCCAATACAAGTGTTTCACAAACCCTGATCCAGCCAGGTAACTTTACACAAACATCATACAATCCAATACAAGTGTTTCACAAACCTTGATCCATCCAGGTAACTTTACACATACATCATACAATCCAATACAAGTGTTTCACAAACCATGATCCATCCAGCTAACCATTTCTTTACACATACATCATACAATCCAATACCAGTGTTTCACAAACCATTATCCATCCAGGTAACTTTACACATACATCATACAATCCAATACAAATGTTTCACAAACCCTGATCCATCCAGGTAACTTTACACATACATCATACAATCCAATACAAGTGTTTCACAAACCCAGATCCATCCAGGTAGCTTTACACATACATCATTCAATCCAATACAAGTGTTTCACAAACCATGATCCATCCAGGTAACCATTTCTTTACACATACATCATACAATCCAATACAAGTGTTTCACAAAACCATGTGTATGAAATTCTTCTATCTTTAAAACACAGTAGTTTAACAGTAACAGTATTATGGTCATGTAGTGCAGATTGTATTTTTTTTTGAAAATTGTAACAAAACCAATCTATGATACATACTTTGAAAAAAAAACCCCATTAAAGTTTCATGCTCCAGATGTCATTATGTGAAGGTTGTTGAACATCAAAGCCAGGTTTTCACTATCAGATTGGTGATGTCAGAATAGTGGTCATTACTCTATTTAGGTTGAAAGATGCAGAGCACATGTTAACTTACTGGTAGAATTATGATCAATGCATAACCAGTGAATGTTAAATCCAGGGGAAGTATAGATGTTGATGCTTTGTTTTCTTTTGAACAGGAGAAAAGATTGTCTCAGACAGTTATTGGTGACGTTGTGTGAGAGGGGCGACCTTCAGGCATTGATAAGTTTCCCGTACATTGACCTAGAAGAAGAGGTAAATCTAGAACTTATTCTAATGAACAAAGTAGGACTCAAACAAATGTACAAACTAGGACTCAATCAATTTACAAACTAGGACTCAATCATATCTACAAACTAGGACTCAATCAAATCTACAAACTAGGACTCAATCAATCTAGAAACTAGGACTCAATCAATTTACAAACTAGGACTCAATCAATTTACAAACTAGGACTCAATCAATTTACAAACTAGGACTGAATCAAATCTACAAACTAGGACTCAATCAATTTACAAACTAGGACTCAATCATATCTACAAACTAGGACTCAATCAAATCTACAAACTAGGACTCAATCAATTTACAAACTAGGACTCAATCATATCTACAAACTAGGACTCAATCAAATCTACAAACTAGGACTCAATCAATTTACAAACTAGGACTCAATCATATCTACAAACTAGGACTCAATCAATTTACAAACTAGGACTCAATCAATTTACAAACTAGGACTCAATCATATCTACAAACTAGGACTCAATCAATTTACAAACTAGGACTCAATCAATTTACAAACTAGGACTCAATCATATCTACAAACTAGGACTCAATCAATTTACAAACTAGGACTCAATCAATTTACAAACTAGGACTCAATCAATTTACAAACTAGGACTGAATCAAATCTACAAACTAGGACTCAATCAATTTACAAACTAGGACTCAATCATATCTACAAACTAGGACTCAATCAATTTACAAACTAGGACTCAATCAATTTACAAACTAGGACTCAATCAATTTACAAACTAGGACTGAATCAAATCTACAAACTAGGACTCAATCAATTTACAAACTAGGACTCAAACAAATGTACAAACTAGGACTCAATCATATCTACAAACTAGGACTCAATCAATTTACAAACTAGGACTCAAACAAATGTACAAACTAGGACTCAATCAATTTACAAACTAGGGCTCAATCAAATCTACAAACTAGGACTGAATCAAATCTACAAACTAGGACTCAATCAATTTACAAACTAGGGCTCAATCAAATCTACAATCTACACTATTAATTCGTTGATGTTGGCTTGATTTTGTAGGTTGTGAATATCCTGGAGAGTCGTGCCCGATCTGTAGACCTGCTTACCCATAACTACTACGACCTTTTGTATGCATTCCACATCTTTAGGAACAACTTCAGGAAAGGTACAGCACACTGTAACTCTATATAATAATCTAAACTTGGTTAGTGATATAACCCAGGGGAACAAGATATTAAAATGACAAAAACCCTATTTTGGAGTTCATATCGATATCATTTTTTAAAAAAAATTGTCTAGATTGCCCTCTTAAGGTAGTGGTTTGTGTAAAAGGAATTTTTCAACAAATAAACGTATACTCCCGTAGCTTCTGGTTCATTGTATGCTAGTTGTTATATGCTTCAAGGCTACAAAGAAACCAGTCACAGCTTGTATAGAGTTGGAACTTTATAGATTGGGTGATATCATCAAAGTTATTATCACTGCAACGTCCATACCCTTAGATAAGCCTAGTTAAAATGCTAATACTCCCAATCATAAAACTTGCCCAGGAATAGCTTTCTTTCTTTGAGATTGTGTATCATGTGAGATGGCTATGTCATGATTATTTATCGTGTACCAGATCTGGGGTCTATATTAAGGTCAAGTCACAAAGTCAAAGGTTAAGTGGGTGTAATTTTTGCCCGTACAGTAAATTCTAGATGGCTGATAATTTGACAAAATTTATTGATTGGATATTTCAAGAATATACAATATGAGAAAGTCTTTTATACCTGTTCATACAGAACTGTTGTTTCTATGGAAGTCTTGATGGGACATGTTTGTTTTTCATAGCTGGTCGTGTCATGTATGAACATGGCACAAGACTTGGAAGGGAGGTACCAGGAAAGAGGGGTCTTGAGCGTCAGGCGCAGTGTTACCTAGCAACCATGAATGTGTTGAGGCTCGTAAAACCAGAGTATGCATGGATTGTGAAACCTGTACAGAAACTGAATAGGGTAAATTTGTTTCTCTTTTCTCTCTTCTTTAGGGCTTCTGGTGGAAAGACTTATTATTGTTATGTTTGTTCTTTTTATTATCTTTCTTCTTTCTAAATTTGTGTAGTCTAGATATTTTGTTAAGTAAGTCTAATTAGTATATTGTAGGCATGGATATGAAGATATGTGTGTAACATTTTTAAGTAGGTCATAAATCCAATATGGGCACCATGACATCGTACATTAAAATCTTTAATATAGCCAATTCTCAACAACCGTTGATTGTACAGAGTTTGTGAATTATATTATTTGTAGATAATTTCCATATCTAACTTTTGCCTATGACGTCTGAATACAAAGTATGCCAAAGAAAAAAGCTTGCTGTTAGGTCGAAGGTCACAAATTTAAAACTTTTTCTTTTTTTTTCTTTTGAAATTTTTTAGATCTATATCACTTACATATATTTCACTTAATTGTTATAAGAAATGTTTCCATAAATGTCCTCTTCCAGTTCGTGACACTTTCAACTTCTTCACAAAAACAAAATGGCTGCCATGATGTTATATCCAATTTTACCTCTAATTGCAATATCTCATTGAGTGCTGAATGTAATTCATGCATCTTTGGATATGTACTGTGAGATAAAAATAGTAAACATTTCTAATAAAATATTTTTTGTAAAATATCAACTTCTAGTTTTTGTAGGGGTCAAAAATTCTTCTCAAATTCTATAAGGCCTAGAAACAAGATGTTTCAAATTTGAAATGTTTAGGACATTGCCCGTCAAGTTTGTTAATATTTCAAAGTCACAGTATTCAGTTTTGTCAAAATGTTTGAAATAGTATTTTCTCAATAACCTAGACATGGTGATGAAATTTTGTCAGATGCATACTGTGATCAATTGCTATTGAATGTATTTATGAAATTTTTTTCTGAAAATTCAACTTCCAGTCCTCAATAGGGATCAAAATTGAAAATTCCTTTTTTGGATAAACATTGAAAAACTTCCACAAGGTCTGCAACCTTGATATTTCACATGTACGATGTCAAACTTGTTAGTTATAAGCTTGAATATTATAAGTAACCTTGATCCACTTTTAAGGTCACAGGGGTCAATTTTGTTAAAATCTTTAAATGCCTTTTTTTCAGTAGCTAAGAAGTATGGAGTGATGATGGTTATTTGCACATTACTTTAAATTGCTATTGATAGTAATAAGAAATGTTGTGTCAAATGTCAAATTGTGGTTTTAGGAACGAGTATAGAAAGTTCTTTTTCAGGTAACACAAATAAATAATCTGAAGATTTACAGTCTGTAGTTTAGATATGTGATATATAAATTGCTTGAACAGTTAGCTGTCATGTTTATGGAAACAATTGATCTTTCGGTAACATAATGTGTATCAGTGAAAAGCCATCAAATTATTGGCTGACAATTTCTAGGTTTTTTTTTCGGTTATTTTTTTAACCTTTGGAGAACAGGAGTTTTACTGGGTATTTGTGTGATGAGGGTAATAAAGTACATGGGTACAAATCACTTAAGTAGCATCCTTAAGCATTTCAATGGCTGTGTATGTGAACCTGTACCAACAGACCATAAGAATAATGGATTACAAATTCTGTTTGTTTGTACCCATTTCTTAGCCTTTATCAGATATCAACATGCTCTTATTCAAATCACAATGGTTGTTAGAAAATAATCATCTCTAACTCAAAAGTTCACCTGTCTGTCCCAGATTTTACTGAGAAAAACTGTTCAATTTGAAATGTTACTAACTGAAGCTTTTGTTTTCAGTCAAAATTAGATGACTCTGGAAGTTCACCAAAGCATTTCTTGGATGGTGAGGAAAAACTAGCAGGTATTCTTCACAGCCTTTTGGCCGATTTTATCTTTTTGTCAGATTTTAGTTAATATAAAGTGGATTTCCACATACTGTCAAATCCTGCTGTTTACTCTTAAGCTAGCTTTCATTTCTGTAAAGAGTGTTGTTTGAAAAATGTTTTCACCTGGCTGATTTCATTGCTGGATTTATTCACACTCACAAAAACATTTTTGATTCTTCAGTAACAATGAAGAAAAGTAACAGCTGTGAGGAATGTGTTAAGCTAAGCTATGATTTCTGTTAAATGAATATATGGATATAGTATTTTGATCATTGAGAGAACTAATCAGAGCCCTGTAAGAACAGACATTTGAACTAGAAATGATGATGATGGATGACAGCATAGTAAATTCAAAAAGTTCAGTTTTTTTCCTTTTTTTTAATAGAATAATTTTCAAGAATGTTCAATAATAGTTTAATTTGCCATGTGATGTATGGAGGGGATGGTGGATGTCTTTTCTCATAGAGGATGATACCGACTACTGATAAAACTGTTAAAGGGCCATAACACTGTATTTTATGATGCTTACGTTTCAGCATCCGACCAAAAGATGGAGATAATGGAGCTTAGTGATATAGAGAAGGAGTTCATGTTGGTGGATGCTCGGCTCAGACTCATACAGAAGGACACTGATCCAGCTCTCTCATCAGGTGCCATTAACTGGACTTTATTTAAACCTTCTGATGTCAGACCTCTGTAATGTTTTGATATGATCACCTTGGTTGAACTATTGAAAGACAAAAATGATCTTTGATCCTTTACTTATCAACAGATTTACAAGTTTATTAAAAAAAATGTTGAAAATATTAAATATTTTTCATTTAAGTAAAGATGAATGCTACTGTTAAACTTTAACGAGTAATTATTACCCCTTCATGTGGGGAGCCTAGTATTTTCCTGAAAATGCATCGCACATTGCTGCTGAATGACAATTATCTACAAATTTTATCAATATCTCAGCATTTAAACCTTCAACTTTGATAATTAAATTAAAAATTGCCATAACATGACTAGGAAAAGGTAGAATCACCTGTGATATTCTAACCTAGAACCTCCAGACTCACAAAATAACCAGATCTTGTTTATTTTCATAGAATTTTTGAAATGTAGAATTTTCTTCTTCAGGTCCAACTCCTGGACCAGATGAGATGGTAGGACTTTTGGTAAAGGCAGGAATGTATGACAGAGCAATCACTGTCTGTCAGGTGTTTGATATGAAACTAGTCACAGTCTTTGAAAGTCTTGCACTCAGGTCAGTGTTTATATCATTAGAATAAATTAGCTCACTATGAGTGTTTGAAACAGGTTATATTGGTCACTGTATTTTCCGTATTATAAGCTGCTCCTTTTTTCCTCATGAGTTGGGTGTGCAGCTAATATACCGGTGGACGAAAACAAAATCAGCAGGATGAAACAACAACAAAAAATCCAGGAAGCATACCAGTACAAGAATGTACTGAGCTTTTTTCTTATGAGAATCAACCCTTCGCATGTTTGTGGCTGAAACAGATCGTCTAGAACGGACATTTTCAATCGTATACAAGATGATTTGAAGATTGAGATAAAAATAACATTCTTGTGGTTTTAATTAATCATACCTCTTCATCTGAATCACAATAATATCTTGTGGATTTTTGCAGTCACTTTGAAGCCATAGTGTAAATGATACAGGACTATAAGAATTTGGTCAGCATGCATGTAAGGGCCTTCTTTATATTTAACTGTACAGATATTGATGGAGATATTGTTTAGTAAATTGCATGTGACGTCATGGTCCTATATCTGTTCATAGATAGTCTGTGACGGCATTTGTTTGACTTTCATGCTGTCACAGATTGTCTATAAACAGATATACGGTCATGACGTTACATACGGTTTACTATACAAACTACTAACTGAACAGTTATCACTTCATAAGAAGGGTGTGGCTTATATGTTGATGCGGCTTATAACCCGGAAAATGTGGTTTTCCATTTTAAAATTAATGGTGAGAGCTATAATGTTTACTTTTCCTGTCTACCTATTCATCCTACTGCAAGTCCCTCAGCCAGGACAAGCATTTGTAGTTTGAAAATCATTATGAAATCATGTCACTAGAGCAGTTGAAATATTCCAAATTCTCTCTTTAATATAAAATGAATGAGACTTAAATCCTGAAGGTAATTACTGTCTCTTCAATAAATTATCCATGTGCTTTGTGGAGATATTCTGAAATAAAGCATATGTTATGGCATAATGACCACAGTCAGCAGTCTGTATTTTAGTAAGATACAAGTATATTTTACATCCACTTAAATCAGACCTCATTAGTAATATTATATGTTAGAAAGCTATTTAAAAAGGTCACATGCTCTATAGAGAAGGGGAAAATAGCTCCTCTTATCTTCATCACCAGCTCCATAAATATTCTAATGTCAAAAAAGGATTTCAATTTCAATATGATGTAAACTGTGTGTCAGGTGTGTGAAGCTGTCCCGTAGCAGTTCCTGGGATAACTCTGTTGTGACAGTGACATGGGACTGGTTACAGGAGAACAACTTAGCTCTGTCAAACCTCACCAAGGATACCAGGTACAGTATATGGGTAATCAGTAATAGAATAATTATCCTTTAAGTGATCATCAGGATACATTTTGTCACTTAAATCAAGATATACTACAGTAGCTTGTCATTTTACCAGTAGTGAAGGGAAGATCTTCACCTTCTGTTTCCACAGTGCCACAGACTTAGCTTGGCTACTCCTACAGCACTACTTAGAGACATATGAGGACCACACAGGACAATACCATCGCTGTATAGCAATGAAATTGCTCTCGCAGGCCTTCCCTCTACCAACTTGGCTCATCAACTCTTACAAGGTGATTTATCCCAATGATATCTTAGTGGTAGTATCCTTCGAAATTTCAGCTTTTATTTTCATGGTTTTTAAGACTACAATGAAAGTCAGAAAAATAACTTCAAAACTAATGAAAAAGCAAAACATTATTGAAATATAGTATTTAAATGCATTTATAAAGCATGTGCTGTTGCTGTTGTAACGGACAGGTTTTGTACTGTGGTTTATTGTGCTTGTTATTACAGGGTTTGAACACATCAGAACTACTAAGGGTTTATATTGACTATGACATGCTGGAGGATGCCGTGATTTTAACCATGGAATATATTGATGCAGTCATGGACTCTTTCACCGGACACGGGAGTGAACTTTTTAATTTACGGGTGAGTACTCTTAAGTGAAAAAGTGATAGATATAAATTCAAACAACCTTGGATATAAAATCGTAATTTTTCTTCTTTTTGTGTTTCGCACCATTTTAGCTACAATATTGTTAAACCTACATTATTGTTGCTTTTGTTGACAGGGTTGTCTACAAAATCACACACAGACGGCCTGGTTGCCCTACACATGTATTGACCAGCTGCTAATTGCATTACAGGATCACAAACATGATATCACACATGGAAAGGTAAACGGCAAAAGTCTGCAAAGTTGTTTACAGAATCATTTTACCTGTCATGTCTTCTGATGTAATTGGTGAAAATGCTAGGATAAATTCAAAGCTGAAAGACATCATGCATTTGACAGCTGAATAAGTTTTCATGTGAAGCAATAAGCCCATGGCTAGTAATAAGCTTGTCCTTATTTTACATTTTCAATAAAAATGCCAACAGATGCTATATCATTGTCTTGTAATGAACTCATAAACCGTCTACACAGAATTAAAGGTGATTCTTAAACTCGGATCAGACATGAATCCAGAAGATTGATAGGATATTATAACTGAAGAATGTAACAATCTTATTTCCATCTTGTTTCAGCTGTATGAATCATTACAGAATAAAATGGATACCTACTATAACAAGTTGTCTGAACAAGATTACAATAGCTGACATCGACTCATCTGAATGTGTGTTTGTACTGTCCTAGCTGTCTTCTACAGTCTTCATGTCAAAACAGGACACATCCTCAGTGTCACCATGTGTCAAATTACTCTGAATTAACAGAAATTAATGATGCGGTTTTTGGAACTATCCGATTCACATAAACTAAACATCACAATATCACCGAGGGAAGGCTTCATGTTTTCATGATTAAATATTGAATAAAGGATTTGAAGAATTACACAATATGTCAACTTCAAAATTGATTGCTGCAGAAATTGTGCTGTTTAAGTATGTGTATCAATGCCAAGCAGAAATATTGAATAAATTATATACAATATTACAGCAAAGTTTTGTATGTCATCAATAAATCTGGTTAACAACTGATTTCCCATAGTGTATATTTATACTGAAAGGATAAAGAAACGCAGGGTAATATTTATTCCGATATTTTGAAAACGCGTTCTCCAAATAAAGTAAAACTTTGTGGATTGAGTGATTAGGTCATATTACACCTTGTCATGTATCGAAAATTTAGTCGCGGTACAGTGCGCAGATCTGGTAAATGGAGGAAGGAAACAACAAGAATCTCGTGCACCGTGTTGTTCTGGTCTCATGCAGCGTTGGTCAAGTCACTCTTCATTAGTCTTTATACAGACAAACTGCTTCCCTAAAATTAATTGAGAATTTGATTCGTTTTAAGAATGGCACGACTCACAGAAGTTCAGAGGGGTCAGGCCATTCAGATGCTGATGCAAGGACAGCTGCAAAATCAGGTTGCTAGGCACTTTGGTGTTAATGTTTCCACCATAGAACGTCTTGTAAGACGTCTTCGTGAAACTGGGCGATTGGCCGATCGACCTAGGTCAGGACGTCTGCGCATAATGTCAGGACCGCTATATCGTCGTCTCTAATGTGCGTAATCGCCGCCTTACTGCCGTTGAGAGTGCACTTAATGTTTGTGGAAATCATGGGCGCCCTATAAGTTAAAAAACTGTAAGGAATGGATTACGAGAAGTTGGTGTAAAAGCACGTCGTCCCTACGTAGGTCCACACCTTACCCCTGTTCGACGTCAGCGTCGTATGGCCTGCGTCGCTGCACATGCTCTACGACGGTTTCCACTGAGGCAGTGGAGACAAGTGTTCTTCACAGACGAGTCTCGATTCTGTCTTTATCGATCTGACGGCCGTCAACGTGTCTACCAACGTCAGGGCAAACATTTTATGGACACTTGCGTTGTAGACAGGGATAGGTTTGGGGGCGGTTCAGTAATGGTGTGGGGAGGAATCTCACATGGGTTAAAATCACAATTGGTTGTTATTGATGGCAATTTAACAGCAGCTAAGTATAGAGATGAGATCCTCTGACCCCATGTTATCCCTTTCTTACAGCAGCATAATCTAACCCTCCAGCAGGATAATGCTAGGCCCCACCTAGCAAGGATTTGCCAAGTCTTTCTGGCCAACAACAACATTCAACCACTAGATTAGTCGTCATATAGCCCCGATTTGTCCCCGATCGAGCATCTTTGGGACCAGTTGGATATACAGGTTCGAAAGCGCCAGCCACCCCCTGCTACTCGAGAGCAGTTGACCAGAGCTCTGATTGAAGAGTGGGACAACATCCCCACAAGATGGATTAACGCTCTCATGAACTCTATGACCAGAAGAATAAGGGCCGTGACCACAGCAAACGGCGGACACACGATATTGATGACTCAGTTCAATTTCAATTTCACAATCCTATGGGTCCATTCAATTTAATCGTTAGTACCTCTAAACCAATTGTCAGATGCAAAATACAGACTTTGGAAATTTTTAAGCTTTAATTTATCTGTAAGTATACAAAATTTCATTTTAAATGAAGCCCGATATCATACTTAATTTCTGGTTTAAAGTTCACCCTGCGTTTCTTTATCCTTTTAGTATAGATTACTATAACAACATTATTTATGGTCTCTCGTCATAATTGACATCAATTTTGAAACTTTAAGAAATTAATAAATATAAAAGAAATGTTGATAGAAGTGTGCAGGAAGCTGCCTTGGTGATTAACCCACTTTATTTATGTAAACACTTCCAGGTCCTGCTGATACCAAGAATTAGACAAGGATTTTTGCTGACACATTTTACAAATTTTCTGAGACAAAATTCAGCACTGCCTGATCATGTTTTTGACGAGAGTGTTTCAGATTATAGGTTTATGATAAGAATAAAGATTGGCCTCTTTCTTGCTCATAAAAATGTTTCTGCAAGTCTCTCCGAACTTGATGCAAACATACACGAACAGTACATGCAATGAAATCTTAACACCACAAGAATGACATGGTTATACTCTATTTTGGTTACCTGGTATATTTTGTGAGGGTTTTAGTTTCTCTGGATACGCATCTTCACTAAAATCAGCAAATTCTAAGCATTATCAAAGTACATCAAATATACTCAAGTGTTACCAGTAAGTGGATTTATTTGGTTGTCTTCTAGTATCACCTCAATCGCAGACACCTCATCAGGACTTGATGAAGCCTGTGTGATAAATGTAAACCAGTAGGCAATAGGTCAAAACAAGGTGAAGGGGTCAAAGTCGTATCATTCTTGGCACCAACATCAGAAAAACTTATATGTTTACCAATTTCTCTTTTTTGTGAAATCAATGGACGAATAGATGGGTTAAAGTTATGTCTAGAAATTCCTCTTCCCAACAAATGTTGGGTAGGGGATATAGGAATAGGAAACATGTCATATAGAGGTTTCATTTCTAGATGGATTTTCATGAAACCTCAGAAATTTGTAAAAGACTTATATATCTCAAGAGGTGTTTTAGGGTCAAGGTCACTAACTACTCCAAGAAAATCCATGTCAGCACTACTTCGTTTCTTGAGTGATTTTGATAAAACTTTCACAAACAAAAAGGACTATAATAGCTTGGGCAAGGTCATCATTACTATTTTTAGAAAATCTGTGTCAGCACCTTAGTGGATTCCTTCCTTGAATGATCCTGATCAAACTTCATGCAACTTGCCATCTTTATTGTGCTCAAGTCTAGGCGGAGCCACATGGGGATCTGTATCCTTTGTCATGCCTTCTGTTATTATTTGGCAATGACTTCTGAATAAACTCGTGGTATTTTTGTGAATTTGGATTGATCACAGCAGTGTGTACCAATCTGCTTGTGACTGACATGTCTTGTAAATAGTGTTCGTTGCCAATAACCTGAAATACTGGTAAGTCAAAGAAGGAAAATATAGAAACTAGAAAGCTTCCACACGATATAAAAACCTCTGGTCTTTGGCAGGCTAGGATGTGTTCAGGTGTAGAACCTGATGTTTATAATGATTCTTTGGGGTAAATATAAACCAAATATTTTGAGAAATTCTCAAGATATGACCAACCAGATGGCTGGACCAGGGTGATAACACTTTATGACCCCAGCACCCTTAAAAATGTGGCATGACAATTTTCTTATAATCACTGGAATTTTTCTTTTTACACATTGGCAGCCAAACAATATTTCACAATACTGATTACAGGAAATATATTGCATTGCTATACAATATAAGCTGTGATGGTGAATTTGGTAGTGAATTTACTAACATGCGGAGCTGTAAAACACAAGCGCACACCACATACACAATCCTGCAAAAATATAATCTTACAGATCAGAAATACAGCACTTCCTCATGATAATCTTTATATAATATTTATGGATCAACATACTCAGTATATTGGACAAACATGTATTTTACAAAAGTTATAATCTGAAAAAACATAAAAAGTAATTACTTTGAAATCAGTTACCAGGTATCATAAAATACCACAAATTCTGGAAATGATGCTCAATCCAGAATACCGCTGTGAAGGATTGAAACAGGATCAAGTCACTAAAAAACTTGACTTTTATAACCTTATTATTTTCATGTATCATGAAAATACCAAAATCTATATATTTACAGCTTCTTAGATTTGACACAATTACACAGAAACATTGATTCTTTATCATCTTCAACATTCAAAAACATGTACTCTGTACAATCTTCTGTTCTCACATAAAATTCTTGTTTCAAAACAGTTTGACACATTTTCATACAAAATAACACAGTATCTTCTTCCTTACTTACTGAATACCATGCACACTGGTACCATCATGTTACTTTAAAAATTCAATCAGTGTCTATGTTTTGGTGTCATTAATTTGTTACTTGAGATACTACATATTGTAGTTCGATGTCTTTTAATACACTTTTTGCTAGACACAAAACCAATGAAAAAAAACTGTCAGATATGACATTGGACAGGTATATATCTCAAATTTCAAAAGTATTAAAGCATAGCAAAACATAGCAGTTGTCAGACCAGCATTTTAAAATGTATTGAGTTTCACCAATCTGGACCTGACCAGAAAAATCCACTGATCCACAAATTAATCAATATGGACTGTACTTGATAAGAAATTCCTGCAAACAAAAGGAAAAAAGTGAAATCATTCTGTTCAAATCTGTCAAAAAAGATTTCAGTATTCATCTGATAGAGAAGAAAAACTGAATAAATGTTTAAAAGAATTATGGCCCTTTTATTGTTGATAATCAGAAATAAGAAAGGAAACCGCTTACAAGAGTGATCATCTTTCTGATATGGGATAAGGTTTGTAAAACAGAACAGTTAATGCTCTACCTAAGCTTCTAATACTTTCGCAAATGAGGGATAACGGATACAAAAAAATTGCTTAAAAGCACAGAGATATTATTTAAAGATTTTGCACTTCAACAGCACATGACGTATTTTGAAAGGTTTGGCAATGAAATTAATTCTGGTACCAGTAAGGATCACTTGTATAATCTAATGAGTGAAGTCACAAAAGTAAGCAAAATGCTTCAAGTTAACAACGACAACGGAAAAAACGCAATCATCCATCATAATATATCACATTTGCACTTTATCAGGAAACCTCTTTAAGAGAAGTTGTTGAATGGAACTTAATTCTGTTCACTAAAAGGACAAGTTCATTTACCATTAGCTGAGTATTCCATTGATAATTTACCTTGTCGTGCTTATTTCCAACAAATCCTTTTAAAAAATGGATGTATCTGGCTCCAAACTCAAACACTGTAGCTTTGTCCGTTTTGTCAGACATTCCAGGGACTAGTTTACGCATCACATCACAGGCATCCTTGATTCTTAGTCTACAAATGAAAACAGCAACATCAGTGCTCTTTATTCTTTATATATATAAATACATATTCTGAGAGGAAAAAGAAACGCAATCAGGAATTTCCAGGTCAACTACGGGAAATAGGAAAGGGTTTTAGAATGTAATTATGGTGTAACTGGAAGATAGTTGACCACTCTTTCATCTACGAGAATTTTATTCATGTACGTTAAGCAAACCTTTCAAATTTGACGTTGATTCAAGAGTACCCCACTCAAAATGAAGTGCGTTTTGGACCCATCAGTATCATGTGTGCCCCCTGCAAGCTGCAGTAACTGCACAAACTCTTTTGTGCATTGAATTGATCGGGGTTTTAACCCTCCTCATTGGTATAAGATTCTATTCCTCATCCAACGTCTTATCCTTCTGTCCAACTCGTCCCATTAATGTTCTATTGGGAGAGGTCAGGGCTGTATGGGGACCAGTCTAGGGTGGGAACATTGTTTGCTGCGAGATAACCACGGCAAACCCTCGCTACATGTGGCCGGGTGTTGTCCTGCTGAAACGTCAGTTGACGCTGCTGTACTAGAGGAACAACATGCTGCGCTAGGACTAGATCTCTATTGCGGACAACCGTGAGATTTCCCAGAATAATGACCAGAAGAGTCTTGATACCATGCGCAATCCCTCCCCATACCATGACCGATCATCCTCCAAAGTGGTCATTCTCTATCACGCAACCATCTGCATAGCGCTTGTGGGTACGTCTATAGACATGACGTCGGCCGTCTGCCCGGTAAAGTGAAAACCTGGACTCATTTGAGAACAGGACCCTTCTCCAACATTGCATTGGGAAGCCTCTCACGGAATGACCGTTCAGCCATTGCATTTGTCTGGCACGTCACGACGCATTAAGCTGTGGTCCAACATATGGCCGCCGCGGTCTTAGACCGAAGGCACGCAGTCGAGTACACACTGTCATTGGATCAATTGGAACAAAATGATGCCCAATTGTGTTCCTTGCTGTTTTCGTGGCCGTCAGAAAGCGATTGTGTAGGTGCGAAAGTCACATTGCCCTATCCTGTTGACGCGTCGTCAGACGATGGCGACCGCTTCGGGACGGTCTGCAACCCTTCCGGTGGCATGAAGTCTTTGGATGAGACAGCAAATGTTCGATGGATGGACTCCAAATTGATTAGCGACCTGATTTTGCGAGGTACCTTGCATAAGAAGTGCAATGGAGGCATTCGGACAGTTGTGGATGAAAAATGACCTCTGCAATTACATTAGAGAGAACTTCTCTTTAGCTCGATTGGTTGAGCCCATGATTCCTAGCGGAGGCATTGAGATGAAAAATGACCTCTGTTACATTGGCGCCCATGTAGGGACCCGGGATTAGTACTTAGCCATGCCCCATCGGCATTGCTGTAACCCCTGGAAACTCAAGGACGAGTTATTTCCTGGAGGGGGAGTATGTAACCCTGGTAAAATACTATCCGCAATATACCACTCGGCTAGAGAGAGCTCGAGAACTTCTCCTAGCGGAGGCATTGAGATGAAAAATGACCTCTGTTACATTGGCGCCAATGTAGGGACCCGGGATTAGTACTTAGCCATGCCCCATCGGCATCGCTGTAACCCCTGGAAACTCAAGGACGAGTTATTTCCTGGAGGGGGGGTAACCCTGGTAAAATACTATCCGCAATATACCACTCGGCTAGAGAGAACTTCTCTTTAGCTCGATTGGTTGAGCGTCAGACTAGTAAGCCAGGGGTCCCGAGTTCGATGCCTAGCGGAGGCATTGAGATGAAAAATGACCTCTGTTACATGCTTAAAATGTGGGAAATCAAGACAGATGTCTGAAGATTCGCACACACAGATTTTGAACCAATCCTTTATACTGGTTTCGAGATATTGTGCTTTTGTCTCTTATTCTTTTGTACAAGTGACGTGCGTAGTTTAGTTATGCATCAGTGATCTTAATCCGGTACCATAGGGACCTAACTCAAATGCACACATTTGTCAAGTTTCAAGGGTGTACGTCAAGGATTTAATTTACAATATTAACTTTCTGCTAATTGCGTTTCTTTTTCCTCTCTGTATATATCCAGAAGAAGTTTTTACATGTAATGAAAGGTCTTTTGTGCTTAGCATCTACAAAATTTCAGAAATACTCTGCATAATGGCAATGTAAGTATACAGCTAACAGAACGTGATTAGTATCTGTGATTTGAAAATAGAAATTAATACTGGTTATATACATGTTTAACCATTGATGACTTGAGTAGTATCAGTTAACATTTACAGTATAAATTACATAGCAAAACAAGAACATAATTCTCATTGCACCTCATTTAGTGTGGTCAAAAATCAGATTCAATTAGACTGACTTTTTAATGAGTTGATACTAAAATAGCATATGTACTGTAAATGTTTCACTAAGAAGGAGACTGAGGCAGAGATATAAATTTTCTAAAGAGTATTGTAAGCAGGTTAATAATTCTAGCTTGAACTATATATATATTTATTCATATTTAGTAAATGTTGGAAAGTTTTACTTCAGCTATAACATTAAAATCATTTAAAAATGTTCATCACACTGATGGAATTCTGGGTATAATAAGGACACTGTTATATGTTATATGAAAATCAGGATTCAAGTATTTAATAACAACTTTATTTATTTCTCTGCAAGGACAGCTGAACAAACTCAAAATTATTATCTCTGGACTAGTTACTTCTTTTCCCAATGTGCTCACCTTCTGCGTCTTTCCTTCATATTGTGTTGCTCCCTACTCTCCTCTCCAGGGTTGTTAAATAATGGCAGCTCAAATTGAATGCTGTCGCGGTCTGAGCTCGAGTCCAGAGGAGTTGGTGGACCGTCTGAAGAACAGTTGTTAGAACTGTCCTCATCTTCTCCACTGCTGTTTAATTTCATCACTGGTTTCTTACTGTGGTCCTACAACCATAATCATATATATTCAACCTTTGTCAAACGGTCCCAAAATTAGTACTCAAAATCAATTTTCTATTATTTTGCAAGGACTATGCCTTGTATGGTACATTACAAAATAAACAAATGAAATTGTATACAACTCAATTAACTGCAAGATGCCCAGAGTCTATATTTCAGCATTCATGTCAAACATTTTTGTTTACAACTGCTTTGTTTTACAGTGAAAAATACTTAAAAGGAGAGACTTTTAAAGTTTCCAATCAAACTTTATCAAAATATCATCATCCAAACAGAAGAATGATTTTAATCATTTACCTCCCTCCATTTCCCATATTTGGCCCCACCCTTTTGCCTCAGTGAGATTAAAAAGGTTAGGTTTTTTTGTTTTTTTTTGTAATTGTTTTATTTTCAAGATTTTAAGACATATAAACATATACAGTATTCATATACACACACTCACACCATTACACATCATCCATACTCACACACTCACACCATTACACATCATCCATACTCACACTCGCACCATTACACATCATCCATACTCACATACTTACACCATTACACATCATCCATACTCACACACTCACACCATTACACATTACACATCATCCATACTCACACTCACACCATTACACATTACACATCATCCATACTCACACCATTACACATCATCCATACTCACACACTCATTTTTCTTCTTTGCCTTCATCATCATCATCATCATCATCATCATCATCCAACAAGTAGCAGTTTACAATAATTGGTTATCAACATTTCATCCTCATTGCCAATCAATCATAATAACGTCATTATTCATTATCATCTGTAGATGACAAAGGATTTTAACAAATTTCCACTTGTTCGACCCGACCCATATATTTCCAAGGGGTTAGACCCACTCTTTATTACATCCTGGACATTTATAAGCAGTCTAGATTTTTTGTAAAAAGATGACAGATGGACGATATCAGGCATGATAAAAGTTCACTAGTCCTTGGGCCAAGGAGTTAGTAAATTACTCAAATTGACATTTATACATATAAGACTTACCACGGTTAGATGATCTATCTCTAGACTATTAGACAGATTTTCTGTTGTAGTGTATTGTGAGAAACATAAATATAAATATTTCTACTTACTCGAAGAGTTGGTGTCACAAAAGTAGAGTTGTTTGGGGTATTGACTGTAGGAGTAAGTTGCTGGAACAGTTGAGGTGATGAGCCATCAGGTGGTGCTAAATACAACAGCTGTCCAGTTTTGGGATGGGGTGTGAACAGGCAGTGGTCTGATCCAGTAACTGGGAGAGATTGTAAGGTTCTCTGACTGGTTACAGGAGTGCTTGTAACCAGACTTGTGCCATTCTGAAATCAAGAGCACATGGACAAAGATGAAATAAATTTTCTTTCAGTAAACTACAATGTAGATTTCCAGTGTAATGAAATAAATGTAGCATGAAATATCAAACTTAAATACATCATTGCTCTAAAAACGATATTTTTACCTTTAATTTGATAAACGATCATTTGGTTTCAATTCAAAGTCATTCTAATGACATAATTACATAATGGACTGGCAGTAAAGGAAATGAAGCATATTAAAATATGGCAGCATAAACATGATTGTGGGGTGCAATAAAAATGGCCTTGTCAATAATTTTGAAAAACAATTACACCTTGCAGAGGAATTTGCTAGTATCTGAGAAATAGAAAACTTTTTTAATACAAATCAAATGTAAAGCTATGTTTAAGATAGATTGGGGAAAATGCAAAATGCTTTCTATTTTTATATCTTGTTGAATATCCAGTAATGAAATTAACAACTAACTGTTCGTATTTGACAATATTAACCCCATGACTGATAGTGATTATAAGCCCACCTATGTTGGCTGTATTTTTAGTAAAAATACATAACAAACAAATGACTAAGGTTAAAATAAATCATTATCCTAATACATCTATCCCCTTTCACAAGTCATATGTTATGTGTTGGTTTCCTGGCTTATTGCAAAATGAACTATAGTGTACAATTTTGGGATATGGTTTTATTTTCATATGGGATGCAAAGCGTTAAATCCTTATGGTCTACAGACCACTGGCATACAAAGTTATCCCTTTCAGGATTGGAACATCTTATTTCTTCAGCTTAATTGACAGTTAAACCTTAAAGATTTGCAAACTGAACAATACTAACCTGTGGATGGAGAATTGAACCAGGCAGATGTACTGCAGCGTTTACTGGTGTAGACTGGAGGTTTGCAGTGGCAACTGTGGGCGTCAAACCTACTGACCTTTACCAATGGAAAACACAACTAAACACAGCATCATACCTGCTATCAGAAATGGAATCTTTCCCAAGTCACCTGACCACCTCATAGCATAGCCATATAATTACAGATATAATGATCTTCCAGAGGAAACAAATCAAGATTTTTTTTTAATTTCAATGGGCCTTTGGCAAGCTTAAATGAAAAATTTGTAGTGTTTCATCAATCACATTATGGAAAAAAAATTGGTATACTGTTTATCTTTGGGTGAATGTTACAGAAAATGAATATTTCCCAATCAAATTTGAAGTAATCATTTCTGCTCTATATCTATGATCCGCATTGATACATCACAATGCAGTTTGTGAAGTAATTTTAACATATAAACCTGAAGTCACACTAAGGTATATACATGAAAACGTTACTGTACATTGTACAAATGTATCTGTAATACAGAAAATTCTTTTTCCTTAACTATCAATCTGCAGCTGGGAAGGTAACTGGAAAATCGGATACTTTACCACAGTCCTGTTTCAAAGTAAAATGTTATTTCTGTCATCAAAATTCAAGGAACAACAATTCCAGTTCAACAACAACCATTAAGTTTACACAGACACACAATCAAGGGGCACTTTTATTCCTTACCAAGACATTGGGATATTTGGCTGATTGAGTAGATTGGGAAGTATTGTATAATGGTCATTCACACTGCTTGCACTCACTGGGTCTTCTCTGTCATCAATCTGGTACTGTGGCAAGCCCTTCTCGGTGAAACTGCCAATAAAATACTTCAATTTACTTATTTTATCAGGGAAATAAAATCAATCACTTTTTGGTCATGTTAAATTGTACAAAATATGTTCTGATAGTCACGATAAAATACAACAGATGGAGAAACACGTGGGAGGAAAATATTGAACAAAATATGATTATTTTCTAAACTGTATTTCTGACATAGTTTGCTATTTTTTGTCATGGTTAATCATATATATAAAGGATCTTGTTCTTAAGTTTAAGCCACTTTTTAGGTTTTTATTATCTAAATGTAAACATTTTGAAACATTATAAATTGTCACTATTGACAAAACGAACATGTTTGACTTACAGTGAAACTTTTATAGGTGTAACCTATGTCATACCTTTCTTGTAAGGTTCCATCCATAGCAGAACATAACAATTGTTGTTGTATACCAACTTGTCTGGAAATGTGAGCTAAAAGATTGTCATCGCCCAACGAACTATCCAAGCCTGTAGTGGCTTCTTCGTTCTGAACTGATCTTTTAAGTTTTTCAATGTCTGCTTCCGCCCCCGCTTTGTGGGTACTCCGTTTCTCCATCATCTGTAACTCTTCTTCTGTTACTCTTTTGATGGCGTTGTCGTTGATAATGACATAATATGGTGAATCACAGTCGCCATCTCCTGTTTCTTCATAAACTGTATTTGGAATATCCGCGGTATAAACTATTGGGACCGAAGTACAGCTTGGACTGACGGGCTTTGAACAAATCAAGCCCTGGTCGCCGTCTGGTGGGCAAGCAGACGACCCAAATTCGTCTGTGATTTTGCTACACATTATTACAGTATTACAGAATAAGGAACAGAAATACGAAAAAAAAACAAATATGTTTACTTGTCGTCAGTAGAGGTTACTGCAGTAATAATAACAGATTAAGTTAATAATTAAAGTTAAGCACGTTGATAAGCCTACTGAAGCTACCGACCTAGATGTATTTTTTCAAACTATCCTCCAACACAAGGAAGCCTAAAAATGAAAACGTTCAATTGTTTAAAAACGTACACTGTCACTGACCGTCAAATTGTTCGTGGTAACTTACAAACCGGAAGACAACCAACTGTACAACAGTTCCCTAGTCAGCGGGATTTGTCATCATATGAAGAACGTGAAACTGATTACGAGCTCAGCGCGTTCCGCTAAACTCGTTCAAAAAATCTATAATCTGACGTCATCGTACTGCTTGACGTCATAATTAGAAAATAAGACATGCGCAATATGTCTGATTCGCTAATTGATGTCCATTGATATTTAGCTCTAAAGTTTAAATGCCATTGTAAATTAAGAGGCCAGGAATATATGAATTTCGAAATTAACTATGGCAAATAAATACAATATATGAGTTTTAAGTTAAATAGATCTATCAGCATTTCAAATATTAGACATTTATCAATGTGAAAATGTAGGAATGACTGATTTATGGGTGAAAATAGAATTGTTGAAAACATTGTAATTGTTGATATTTCATGGAAATAGGTACCCGAGCGCAGGCAGCTATATGATCCTTAGAACAAAGGGTGGTAATCTCCAGTCTTTTATGTTTATCTTTCTTCCGAAGAGGTTTTCCCCCCATATTATTGCGAAGCTTACTCCTAATTATCTTTTAAATGGAAACATTCGTGTGTTGGTATCATAGAAATAAAGCACAACAACATTTAATTACTTTAAACCTGTCATGAAAGTTTTTTTCCTCTTTGATTGAGAGCTGTGTATTTTGTTCACTGTTTTGTCAATGTTTAATTTCCTTTTCACAGCTAAAGTAATGAAGAATGATGGTCAAATTAACACAAGGAGTAAAGAAGAGAAATGTCACGGCCTTTAGTTTCATTTTAGTTCATGAGCTTAGTCAACAAACCTTAACTCATTCATGCATACTTGTAAGCCAACATGCACCATCGCTTCCATGCGTAATTCACAATATCAGTACGAATTGTATACATTAAGCTAACTGTAAAAGATCTACGCCTTTACATTTTTCTTTCTTTAATAGATAGACACTTATGATGAACAAAAACAATTGTTCTTTAATGTATCACCCAACGAAAGTTTTTTTAAATCAATTTCCCATAGATGTTGTCAAATACAATGTTTATAAGGTGCATTTGCCCGCCTAGATTTTGACTTTTCTTTCGATCACTTTGGATTTTCCTCGGTCGCCTTCTAGACTTCAAAATTTATATCCTTATTATCCTTGAAGACCCTGCTGTATCTAACTCTGTCTTTCCACCTTTTATCAGTTTGTTGTAGATCATCTATAAACTTATATTCGCTTAAATGACATATTTTCCCTCCTCGTTCTCTCGCTCACACACACATAAAAATGTATATATGAAACCATGTCATCTTGTTTATACAAATTGTAAAATTTCTATTGGGGAATGGCTTCATATAAGTTTGAAAACTTATGGCCATTCCTTTTGTGTATATTGATACAAATAAAATATGTTTAAATCAAACTCTAAATGTAAGAGTTATCTGTCCCTAGCCTGTCTTTCCCCGAAAGACGGCAGTTTGCTTGGCAACAGAATGGTGTTATTCTATTGGTTAAAAACTATCACGTGATCACAAAGTTAGGTTGCGCGCGCCTATACAATCAGTCTTTTCCTGACAACGAAAGTTGTAAGTGACTGTGACTCTAGATCGTATCCATAAATATCAATACACGTCATCATGTTGCCGCAGCATTGCAAAATATTGCTGAGGCATGAAGTACAGAAGCATTTCGAATCTGGTAGAGAGTAAGTTTGAGCATTTAATGTATACAGATGATTTACAATCAGCTAATCGTAGTTTTTGCTGGCATAGATCATTGAAATGACTGGACCTTACACATTTCTCAAATGTTTTAATGTTTAAATTTCAATACTTTTTTATTTGTTAAGTGCACAATGAAATTGCCGTGCTTGTACTCTAAGATCATTTGAAGGAAATCAATTAGTTAAAGTACTTAAATATCCATCATAAAACAGCTGTTATTTGTGTTGTGTAGTCTGCGAAACGGACTTAATGTAAATGACTTGGCATTCAGATTTAGTATATCAACCGTAGTCCCCAAATTTTGACAGTTTTGATAGAACATCGTTATCAAAACAATTATTGATAGAGGATAATCATGGCATACACTACAAGTTTGTTTTCGGCGCCATGTTTACTAGGTTTTGCCCTATCCTATGTCACGTGACGGAGTGGGCGGAGCCATGCTATCATTTGTGAATCCATGTATGAGGGCTAATTGATAAGTTCTGAGAATCATATTTAAGGGTTTGACTCGACTCTATTTCAACATAATCTCCTTCAGTACCTATACACTTTTTCAAGCGATGTTTAAGAGCATTAAGCCACTGTTAAAGAAGTCCTTTTCTTTACTGTTCAGAAAGTCCTCCGCTGTTTTTAACGTTACCTGACAGAAAGTGGGTACTCGGAATGTTATTTTCAATTCGGGAAATAGATGAAAGTCTTCTAGAGTGAGATCAGGCGAATAAGGCAAATGCTCAATCAATTCAAAGCCTTAATCAGTAATGGAAGCCATGGCAATGGCAGACTTGTGAACGGGAGCATTGTCTGGTGGAATGATACATCTTTAATGACTTTTCTGCGATGCTTGAGTTTAAAATTTTCTCATAACTGCCTAAGAAGTGATGCATAATATGTGCATTGATTGTTTGTCCTTTTTGCTGATAATCTACTATCAGAATACTATCAGCATCCCTGAAAACCAAGGCCATAACCAGCTGGTAGTCTTTGCCTTCTTTGGCAGGCTGAACTAGAGAGCTTCCATTGCTTAAACTGTTATTTGGCCTCTGGGGTGAATGATGAACTAAAGTTTTATCTATAGTCACATAACATCTGCAGTTAGCAGAATGTGTCTCTTAAAGGTTCATATAAGCATGTGACAAAGTCTGCCTTGTGTGCTTCAGTCTTAATGGTATCCAATGGGTCTGCCATACTTAAATTCCACCATCCACCTTTTCACTGTAACATATGAATGGATATCATTCCCTAGTGTTTCTACCATATCAGTATGGATATCCTTGTTTAACCAAACCAAATGACACCAGTCTTTGGGTACACAGTCTTAAATAATCAGGGCATAGTAGAGCTGAAAATGGACACCCCTGCATAACTTCTTCAATACAAGGCTCACAACTTATTAAACAGCCCTCATATATATACATCTCTGGTATTATTGATCAAAGATATGTTAGTTACTGGTTAACACTTGTTGTTTTACTGTCTACAGAGTGATAGAGGTAGTAGTGAAGGTTCTTCAGATGCACATTAAGTCCCTTAAAATGCAATCAAAGGAAATGGCTGATGCAGATGGAAGGCTGAAAAGAGTTGGAGGTACTTCTGTTTTGTTTTTCTTAATTTTTTTTTTTGTGTGTGTTTTGTTTGATTGCTGTTGTTTGTTAAAATAAAATGTAATTAAATGTTTTCATGAAACTATGTAGCATCTTCTGTATAAAACACATTTATCTATATATTGATGATATAATTTAAATCATATTTGATCCCATTTGCAGTGTTGTGATAAGTTTGTTTGTAATTTTGTGAAAAGCCTCAGGAATCCTTATACTTTAACAGATTTAAAATAACATTAAAGTTGTCAATCTTATGTTGAGACTATAGTAATATGTGGTAACATGAAATATGGAATTTGTCACACTTCACTGAATCAATGTCGAAGCAGCATAACTAAATGACTTATACACTGCTATAAGATTGGTAAATGTATGGCACACATATTCTTCAAATCATATGATTTTTTCATCAGGTAAGAATGAGGATCTTGAGCAACTTTTGATGACACTAGCTTCTCTACATGGAGACAACAGTGTTTCATTAAAGGATCTCCATAAAAGGATGGATTCACAAATCACCTCGCTGAATAGGTACAAATCATTTCACTGAAAAGATCCTTAAATCAGTAAGTAGGGAAAGTATGATTACATGAGATATAATTATTCAATATATTTAAGGAGAGAGAGAAATTTGAAAAAAAATCAATTGGTGGAAAGTTATCATAAAAGTGATTCTTAAGTAATCCTAGCAAAGGTGGATCATAAAGATTGAATCATAAACTGATTCTTACGTAATCCTGGCAAAGGTGGATCATAAAGATTGAATCATAACCTGATTCTTAAGTAATCCTAGCAAAGGTTTATCATAAAGATTGAATCATAACCTGATTCTTAAGTAATCCTAGCAAAGGTGGATCATAAAGATTGAATCATAACCTGATTCTTAAGTAATCCCAGCAAAGGTGGATCATAAAGATTGAATCATAAACTGATTCTTAAGTAATCCTAGCAAAGGTTTATCATAAAGATTGAATCATAAACTGATTCTTAAGTAATCCTAGCAAAGGTGGATCATAAAGATTGAATCATAAACTGATTCTTAAGTAATCCTAGCAAAGGTTTATCATAAAGATTGAATCATAACCTGATTCTTAAGTAATCCTAGCAAAGGTTTATCATAAAGATTGAATCATAAGCCTTGTTTATCTTTGATCAGCTACCAGCATGTGATGTATGTGTAGTTTTACTGATAACTAAGAAGAGTTATTTTATGTGTTTCATTTGTTTTAAAAGGTTGCTGATTGATCCTTCAACAAAGCAATCAGAGTTGTTTATTTTGGACCAAATTGACAAACTAACAAATGAACATTCTCAAGCGATGGTCAAGTTCTCCAAACTACATAAGGTGCGTTTGAAAAGGATAATTTTCTATCACTGCTGTAAGAATAACAGAAAGTGGTTGATGGTCTTTTTTTCTCATTTTCAACTGTTTGACGTAATGTTGTGTATAAAGACATCCTCTCTACGGCAAACTATTTTCACAGCAACAGTTGCTTACCAGATGTTTTGCAGTCAGTAAATTACTGATAAATTTTAGTTATGATCTAGTTAAGATGACTATGAAACTTCAGCTACTATTCAGCATTTAAACTTTCATTTTTTTCATAGAATCATGGTATGCTAGGACTGCAGCACACAAGTTCACAGTGTTGAAATGACAAAAAAAAAGTTGTGCCACTTTGTGTTAAAACATTCAAAGCATTACTGTATTACAGGAAATATCCAGAATGATTAAAAATTTCATGGGTAGTGTATCATACAAAAATTATAATAGAACATGGTTGTGACTATTAGTGCTGATATAAAGAGCTGCTGACCTGTCATTCATACTTGTTTAATTTTTGTACCAATAGCTTGTTATAGGCAATACTTTATTGTGTTCAAGAATGTTGATGCATCAGACACTGGCATATTTTGAGCTACAGCTCATTTCTCAAACTTTTGGATCAACATTGACAAATGTGATTTGAGTTTATAATTAAACTGAATAAAATTGTGTCATTAATTTCATTATTCACAGATAAACAATGGTTATTATTGAAAATAGCTGTTGATTTTGGGAACTTATCTGTAGAGAATTTATTCTTGCTATAACAACATTTTAGGTGTTCAACAAGAAAAAACGTATGATGCATAAAGTCCAGCAACAAATTGATAGCTGTTCATACAACGGTTCAGAGAGTATGAGCATTTCTGAACTGGAAATGAAATTGGAGCACTTCAAGGCGGAGACTCAGGCTGCTGGACAAAAGTACCGCCATGCACTGGATACTGAACTCAAAACCAGAAAGGAGTTCATCAAGGTTAGATTAAGTATAATGAAAACATTACTTTTCAGTGACATTTTATGATAAAATCACAGCCTGATGTGTCACAGTGAGAGGCTACACAGCTAGTTTGTGTTAAAATGTTGAACAAAACCATCAAACTGCATACTACAATATCTGATAGCCTTATTTAAGAATAGATAGAGAACTTTCAACCTGTTAATTCATTAAAAAAGGTTTTGACGTACAAAATATATAGAAACATACTGAAAGTGATAAATAATTCAAATAAACTAAACAAAAATATGTATAAATGATTTTGAAACATGTTACCATAAACTTCTTGAAGTGGTAAAATTTTATCTAGTCAGGATAAGAGTACATCTGATTTACTGTTTACGTGATGTCTGGTCTAAGGCAATTAGGAATCTTCGTAACTTTCCACAAACCAGAAAATATCTTGTGTTTTACACATAAGGTGCTAAAGCTTCCCTGTAAGGTTTAAGGGCATGAAACATTTCTAATATGGAAATTAAAAAAAAAATCCCTATATACCGGCCCATTTTTCCAGGCAAAAACAGGAAACTTATGCTTATGAAAAATGGTGTGTAAACCACTTGAGAAAAGCCTTATAACACAGGTAGTTTAAAGTGATAGGCACATATATATCAATAAATGTATGTCATATATTTTTGATTGAAGTGTGGTTGTTTTCAGGAAGTGCCTTTTCAAAAGCCTGTTAAAAAAAATTTGACGAGATGTAACATGATATGTTGTTGTCCTTCCGTATGTTCATCATAATTTTTATTTGTCTGGAAATCTTCTCAACAGTTTTCAATTGGTCTTTTTCAAACTAGGTAGGCTTTATCACCATGGCAGTGTTTCCAGCTTGACATATTGACTTAATTCATGTTGCCGTTTCCTTGTTTCCTTTTCATGCCCGGAGTACACTTGTGCCTTTTCTTACAAATGTTGTTTCATGTTTGTTATTTGATAGAATGTGGAAGAATTAGAAAGCCTTTTTGTGAAACATGAAGAGAAGCGTCTGTTAACCCTCGTGGATTGCATTGGGAAGTATTCTACACTTCTGACGGCATACAACCCTAGGTAAGCTTCATTCTGTGATACCATCATCTTACCTTATTTTGAAGTACTGGATTTTTGGAAGATGGTGATTTCTGTAATGTTACTGATGTTCATTGACATAACTTTATCAAAATTCATTAATCTCTTTATAACACCCATATGTATGACATCCTGCCATTTCTTTGCTTTACCTACAACACACATAGAATTTTAGACTCCAGTTTCCTTTTTAATCATTTTACTTGTCAATTTAACTGCCTTTACAAATACCTTAACTTTCATATTGATCCTGCAATAATAAAATGGAACAACACACTGTTTCAAAGTTGGCAGGTTTACTTATTACAGAGTAATAATTGATCATATGTTGTCATTTCTGTTGATAGAACATTAAATGTGGGTAAAAACACCAGAAATGGATTTATTGCTGGATAAATAAACTATGTGTTCATGCACCCAACATAGAAGACTTTTGGAGGGAGGGGGCAAATTGTTTTTTATCTGTCTGTTTAAGGATTTCAAATGGATAAATTTTTATTTGAATCATCAAAATTTGGTATGTTGTTTTTATATGAATAAGATATCTGATGATTTTGATATTGGTAGAAATCTATGAAATTTGCCACTAACAGAACTTTAAAAAATAGATGATTTGTTTATTCCCATCTAATAACTTTAATTTTTACTATCAGAATTGAACCTTATTTTGTATTTCTATATGTCAGTGTGATCTCATATGAGTCACTGATTCAAATCCATCAATATTTGCCAGAACTTTGGGAATGAATCTTGTTTATATTCAATCTCTTTATCTAATTTGTTCTCTTTCTTTCTCTCCATCCTGTATCCTGTCACCATGCTTTTGTGTACCTGTCTGTGTTATGCCTGTTGTAACCTTCTACTGTCAATGCTGTTTACTATTGACTCCATCTGGCTTGTCTGACTGCAACCCTGTGTCACTGCTGTGTCTACAGAGATAAGACATATGCCATCCTGACAGACCTGACTCAACTGTGCATGGTTTATAGTCCAGATGAACAGATTCAGAAATTTCTGGCTCAAGGATGTATGGAACTCTCTTTCCCTGTTCCACAGGTGCTTTCCCTTACTTGCTTTTTTATCTCCTGTTCCCTCTAGTCTTCATTAATTTGTTTCTATTTTACTAGCTCATACCTTTTCCTTTTGTGATGTCTTCATTCCTTTTTACCACACATTGGTTTCTTATTTTGTAAGTCTGAGTTGAGTTGATTTTCTTTGTTAAATCTGATTGTAAAACATCCAAGTAATTGCAGAAATCTTTCATGCAGACTTTGAAGGAAATTGAGTCCAAAGAAGGTCTCCACTACATGGGACAAGTTAACATGAAATTGAACCTGGAACCTGATGGTTTTAGTGTTCCTCCTTCAGAACAGCTCACTAGGATTTCTGATACTTCAGGTATGTGCCTGCCATCTATATACTGTACTTAATAACAAAAGTGATGGTGTGTAGGTCTGAGCAATGTAAAGACCTAGTATAACATGACAACAGAGTTAAGATTAATTCTTAATTAAGTTTATACTTGAACCTTTCTGCCGATGCAGAAAGTTTGAAAATAAATATATCAATAACTCAAAAGTTTACTATTTTTTTAGTTGAAATATGAATTTACATTATGCATTATTCTATTTGGTAAAAGAAACCAACAAAATGCTTCTATTTGACTTCATCTTTTATAACAACTAATACAGGAATCACTTTTCCACACCCATAAGAAAACTAATATTGAAATGAAAATATTTCAAAACTGTACCAAGGGCCATAACTATGTATATAATGAGGCATGACACTATGCCTTCACAAGATATGAAGCATAAGAAGTCAGTTGTATTTGGTACAATAGAAAAGGAGATAAAAATTTAAATCACAGAAACAATTCCATACCATATGATGTGATAGAAGACTCATGTATCATTATCAACAAATTTACATAATTTTCATCAAATGAAATGTTGAAATTCATTCTGAATACTCTTTTAATTCAGGCAATGCCAACAGAAGTCTGAATGAGAGTAATGGTGACAGAAACAGGGGTAGATACAGCCAGGACATTGATAGAAAGGTTTCAGGTCTTCCTGTGAATACTTTCTATGGGAATGACACTGTTAAGAATGGTGAATCAACCATACATCCCAATAAATATATTCCAAATGATATGGTTCCAGAAGAGTTCAGCAGAATGACACCAAGGAATGCCCCAGATTTACCTTTGATACCAAAGCCACACTTGTGTGCAGACACTCCCATCAAAACATCCCCAAGAAATACAAATAACTTGGAGGGACTTCCCCGTATTGCATGTCCAGAAGCTGCAATGCAAAGAATTTTGTCCAGAGATGAAAAGAGACCAATCCAGTTTTCAGAATGTGACACCATGCAGGAAGAAAACATGTTACCTAAACTGCCAAGGTCCATGATTGGAACCCCCGAGAAGACAAATTCACATTACAAAGAGTCTATTAACCAATCTCCTAACGAGCCAAAACATAATGAGGATAAGAAATTGCCAAATTCAGTGATAGCAATCGGTAATAAGGCTGCTCAGACATCAAAGTCAAGAAATGCTTCCTCATCATCTCATCCTATTGTGAGGGCAAAATTGAGAATGGAAGGCAATGTATTGCCTAAGATGCCAACCTTAGGAAAAAATGTTATGTCTTCTGTCAAGGGAATGAGTGAACAAGACAATTCAGGGGATCTGCCACCATGGTTAAAGTCTAAGACTTCCTTTCTGCCCCAGCTGTCAATGGCCAGTAAAGACGGTGTGGAGAGCTCTAATCATCAGTCTGATAATGTGGTAAATAGTGAAGCTACTAGATTGCCTATTCTGCACAAGTCTGAACCTAATACATGTACTGCCACTGCTACTCCTTTGTCATATGCAAAAGCTGACAGTCAGGGTGTCAATCCTTCAGAACCCAACCGGAAAGATGGCTTTTCCATCTTGCCATCAAAACCAAAAGTGTTGATTGACACTGGAAATTCTCAGTCTCTCACGGTCAGACCTACAACAAAGAATGCTACTTCAGATATTCTGAGGTCTCGCCACAGAGTCAGTGTAGTCAAGCAGAGTGGTTACTTGGACAGTGGCATTGCAGCTGGATTCCGTGGGAGTGCAAACAACAGAGATTTTAAATCCCAGCAAGAAATGGTCAGTGGTCAACAGGGACATCAAGGGATGGTGAACACTGCTGTAGGATCACACAGTGTGGTTAGTACTCTTCAGGGATCACACAGAATGATTGATGTTCCTTATAGATCACACAGATTGCAAAATACTCCTCAGGGACCACAAGGAATGGTCATGGCCCCTCTGGGACCACGAGGAAAGGCTGATGGATCCCCAAATATAACCCAAGACTCAAATTGTAATCCAGCAATACAACCCCAGAGAGCTTGTGCTGGTGCCGCTACCAACAGCCGGGTGAAAAAAGAACACCTTCCAGAGGGCAATCTGTCTTATACCGAAGGTAGTAGGAAAGAGAAGTGTACAGAACCAGTCAACTTTAGCAATGCAGATCGCCTCCTCAGTAAATATGATGTAAGAAACCTTGGGATCGGGGACAATGATGAAGAGGAAGAAGACATTTGTAAAAAGGCAGATCGTTTGTTGGCCATGCATGATATCAGGAATATTTGTTCAGAGGATAGTCTCATAGAGAAGGAGATATAAAAACATTTAGCTTTAGAGACTTTAAAATATGTGAAATTTTTATACCTTCAAATGGAAAGCAAAACCTAATACTTCAAGAAGAAGGGAAAAAAAAACATATGCAGAGGTTAATCAAAACATTTGAGGGCTAGGATCCAGGACCATTGTGAATTGTTATAAACATTTTAAGGCATTATAAGATTAGTAGTATCACTTTATCGATATAGTCAAGTCAAGTCCAGAGGTCCAAGAAAGGGTTGCTTCAGAAGTTGGGCAATTCATCAGGTGAATATTGATGTTATTGGAGGTGTTGTCTGTTAGTATTGAAATGAAGTTTCTACATTAAGATGTGGAAGTAATTCAAGATCGGAAATTTAATTCAAAGGGTTGCTTCAAAATGTTGACAGTTTTCTATCTATGCTGCTTCGCAGTTGGTCACAGTAGATTTGTAGTGACTGGAGATGATGTTACAGTAGATTGGTAGTGACTGGAGATGGTGTCACAATAGATTGGTAGTGACTGGAGATGGTGTCACAATAGATTGGTGGTAACTGGAGATGGTGTCACAGTAGACTAGTAGTGACTGGAGATAGAGTCACAGCAGACTGGTAGTGACTGGAGATTGAGTCACAGTAGATTGGTAGTGACTGGAGATGGTGTCACAATAGATTGGTAGTGACTGGAGATTGTGTCACTGTAGATTGGTAGTAACTGGAGATGGTGTCACAATTGATTGGTAGTGACTGGAGATGGTGCCACAATAGATTGGTGGTGACTGGAGATTGAGTCACACCAGACTGGTAGTGACTGGAGATTGAGCCACAGTAGATTGGAAGTGACTGGATATGTTGTTACAGTAGATTGGTAGTGACTGGAGATAGAGTCACAGCAGACTGGTAGTGACTGGAGATGGTGTCACAATAGATTGGTAGTGGCTGGTGATGATGTCACAGTAGATTGGTTGTGACTGGAGATGGTGTTACAATAGGTTGGTAGTGACTGGAGATGGTGTCACAGTAGATTGGTAGTGACTGGAGATGGTGTCACAATAGATTGATAGTGACTGGAGATTGAGTCACACTAGACTGGTAGTGACTGAAGATTGAGTCACAGTAGATTGGAAGTGACTGGAGAGAGAGTCACAATAGACTGATAGTGACTGGAGATTGAGTCACACTAGACTGGTAGTGACAGGAGACCAAGTCACAGTAGATTGGAAGTGACTGGAGAGAGAGTCACAGTAGATTGGTAGTGACTGGAGATTTTGTCACAGTAGATTGGTAGTGACCTGAGATGGTGTCACAGTAGACTAGTAGTGACTGGAGATAGATTCACAGGAGATTGGTAGTGACTGAAGATGGTGTCACAATAGATTGGTAGTGACTGGAGATGGTGTCACAATAGATTGGTAGTGACTGGTGATGGTGTCACAATAGATTGGTAGTGACTGGTGATGGTGTCACAATAGATTGGTAGTGACTGGAGATGGTGTCACAATAGATTGGTAGTGACTGGAGATGGTGTCACAATAGATTGGTAGTGACTGGTGATGGTGTCACAATAGATTGGTAGTGACTGGTGATGGTGTCACAATAGATTGGTAGTGACTGGAGATGGTGTCACAATAGATTGGTAGTGACTGGAGATGGTGTCACAATAGATTGGTAGTGACTGGTGATGGTGTCACAATAGATTGGTAGTGACTGGTGATGGTGTCACAATAGATTGGTAGTGACTGGAGATGGTGTCACAATAGATTGGTAGTGACTGGAGATGGTGTCACAATAGATTGGTAGTGACTGGTGATGGTGTCACAATAGATTGGTAGTGACTGGTGATGGTGTCACAATAGATTGGTAGTGACTGGTGATTGTGTCACAATAGATTGGTAGTGACTGGAGATGGTGTCACAATAGATTGGTAGTGACTGGTGATGGTGTCACAATAGATTGGTAGTGACTGGTGATGGTGTCACAATAGATTGGTAGTGACTGGTGATGGTGTCACAATAGATTGGTAGTGACTGGAGATGGTGTCACAATAGATTGGTAGTGACTGGTGATGGTGTCACAATAGATTGGTAGTGACTGGTGATGGTGTCACAATAGATTGGTAGTGACTGGTGATGGTGTCACAATAGATTGGTAGTGACTGGAGATGGTGTCACAATAGATTGGTAGTGACTGGAGATGGTGTCACAATAGATTGGTAGTGACTGGAGATGGTGTTACAGTAGATTGGTAGTGACTGGAGATGGTGTCACAATAGATTGGTAGTGACTGGTGATGGTGTCACAGTAGATTGGTAGTGACTGGAGATGGTGTTACAGTAGATTGGTAGTGACTGGAGATATTTGGCTAATGATTTATGATATCTAATGATATGATTAATGATTATGTACATGTACATGTGAAATTTGCAGATTAACTATCTATCAGAATTTATTTAACATGATGAATAAATAAATTGCTTTATAAGAATTAGAAAGTACTTGTTTCAGAAGGTCAAGTAATATTTGAAGTACTAGATTAAGGCAGCTTACTGATGAAGATTTAAATCCTAGAGAGGATAGGTATGATTATATGTCAATTGTATTGTATTTTTTATATTAGTTTAATTAGGCATTAAAATGTGAAATCACCTCTCTGGTTGTGGTTTTCCTGATTTTAAAGGAATGTACTGATTATAGTAGTAACGGAATGCCACTTTTTAGGTCCATTTTTCCTCCTTCAAATTCAGGCAAGGTTTTAAAAACAGAACAAATGTCCAATTTTAACATATTTTATATCATTTGTAATTGGATTCTTATTCATACATAAGTGAAATTGACAAACAAAATTATATTGGCACACAAACACAATATCAATTCATCACCCAACACATTGTTACCCAGGAATAGGTCTTTAGGTAATGAATGATGATGCGTAATTGGAACATTTTAAACCTGAGGGCAAGGGGTTTTGTAGATTACAACCAAGATTTGTGGAGTTTTTATATCTCAGCTTAGTTTTCCTTTTCTCCATGACACATATATATGAATATCAATTATTATTCAGTGATTAAAATTATTTCAGTAACATTCTTTGCATTACTTTAGTCCATGTCATTAGACAACCTTAAGTCTGACCCTTGGGATATATAAAAGGAGTTGCAATCTCAAATAAAGTTATCACGGTTTGAATCCTGTCATCCATATCATCAGGCTATATTATCAATCATTTGTATATCATTTCAATTTCTGTCAAATATTGCTTAATTATCGCTTGTGCAAAGAGGAAACACAATATCTTATTATTGGGATACAAGACAGCAGAATATCAGTACTTAATATAGTGCCACATCATCAAATACCAAATATGTCTTTGCTTTTGAACAATCTCTGCCACAGTGGATAACAGTTACTGCAATACATTGTGAGAGAGATTGGTCTTTTATGTCCTCAATTAAACTATATATCCAGTTCCATAATTTCCTCTATTTACAACGAAGCACTTCAACAGTTTTTATTTAATATGTAATTATAAAGTTTCTTGTACAATACAAAATATTTCATCTAGGTTATATCGAGTAAGACCATCAACAAAAGTGTGAAAGCATTTTGTATTCTCACTTTTTATCAAAAACATGTACTCAACTTCCAAATCATTTACTTCTATGAACACATTACTTCCAACTCAAAGTTGTTGGTTGGCTTGTTACTGGACCTCAAGGGGCTAACACATGGCCACTGACTCAAAATATGGAGTGGGCTTATTACTGGTTTGTAGTTGGATAGATACCATAGTGCAAATAAAGGATATGCAACAGTATGTAATTTGGACAGAATAATTCTAGTTTAATGTTACTTTTAGTGGTCTTTGATATCCGCAAACAAACATATCCAGTTCTATAATCAGTGGTACTTGAGAAACTAGCCATCTCGATAGTTTTTCAGATCTGAAATTCAGGTACAGGTTAGAGTTATAAAAATTAAATGTAGAATATGTGATAACATCTTTATCTAATGCTCAAAATGAACACTGAAAGATAACCTGTTGAAGGGTTCTGGTATGAAAATACACCTTAATTTTTCCATAATATTTTTTCAAACATCATTAGTAAACAGAATACTAGTATTTCATGTTTATCCTTGGGGCACAATGCAACTTCAATTTGACTGGACTGTCAATATTTGTGACAATCAGACCATGAAAGTAACAAAGAAATTAAACAAGGTGGAAGTTGACTCAAGTGTGTCTTTCAGTTATTTCTAATTTTCCAAATGATATACAAAAACAAAAATTCTAATGTTTGACACAAATTCTTTATGCAACATAAGTGGCAAAATCTCTGACACATTTAAAACAGAAGACAAGTTTAAGTGACACAACAAAGAACACTGATCTGCATTGAATTGACTGGGACTTTTTCCATCAGAAAAATTTTGCATTTCAGCTACATATAAAATAAAACAGGAAGCAGAAGTTTACCTTATTGTCACGAGTCTATACTGGAAACTGGTAACTGAGCATGTTGGAATTAATAGTTTCCACTTTAGACAATAAATTAGGGAGCAGAACACCAAGCGAGATCAAAAGTTGTTGAATGGTTGGTGATAATACTGGTACAGTGTGTTATCACTGTAGCCCTGTGAGGGTTGAGGAGTAGGCGAATCGGGCAGTCCCTGGGCTTGGGTTGTGGGTAGACCATGGGTATTAGAAGGACTCTGAACTAACTGACCCTGAGACTCAGTATTAGTATTCTGAGAGTTCACCACATATGTTGTCAGTGGAATTTCAGAAGTAACAGGTAAAGCAACCTGTTGGTATGATTCAAGAGACGTTGACACAGAGGTTTGCCCTTCATGTTTTGGTTGTATGGTATCCTTGGCCCTGTCCTGCATGTTGAGAGCCTGTTGGACAAGTGTGACTGGTGGTCGCTCTGCCATCAACAGGGCCTGAGAATCCTGAATGCGCACCTGTCTCTCTGGAACCTGTCCATGGGAATCAGTTTCCATGGCAACTGCTGTCCCTGTGTGAATCTGAATGTGAACTTGTTGACTTACATCAATCATGAGCCGCGGAGATACATTTTGAAGCTCTGTGGTAGAATGTCCTGAATTTTCGTGCACAGATGCATTTTTATCTGGGGTTATAATTAGCTGATCCTGTTGTACCATCTCGTTGGCTGGTCGCTCCACATACATGATCTGGTCGTGACTTTGACGTCGGTTAGTAGAAAGGTTGAGTTGTTCTTGGTCTGTGATTAGAACCTGCTCAGAAGTGATACTTGTGTCCTGGAGCAAGCCTTGGGAATCTTGTACCAATATGTGGGCCTCTTGGCCTCTTGGATCTTGTGTAATTTGGCCATCTGCTGTACTCAGAAGCTGGACTGTGCTTTGTCCTCCATGGTGTGTCTGTACCAGAAAGTGTCCTGCCAGTTGCTCACTACCTTGCACTGGCTGAAGTAACACTGGAATCTGTGCTGTCTGAGCATCTTGTCCTTCAACACCAGCAGTTGTCTGACTTTGTTGTAACTCTCCTGTCACCAATTGCTGGCCATTGTATGACTGCAATATAATGTGTCGATTAGTAAGGTTTTCATCCGTGTAGATAAGCTGACTAGCCTGGCCCTGTTGATTGGCTACAAGGATGTTGCTCAGATTGGAAAATGTATCCTCCCGCTGAGATGACTTGGTGACATCACTATCTATCACACTTGTTGGCAGATGCATTCCCACATGCTCCTCCACTGGCCTCTTGTCAGCAACATTAAGTAGGTTGGTTTCTTCCGTCTGAAGATTAGTATTTGCAATGAGTTCTTGGGGCAGACTCTGCATTTCATATGCCTTACTAAGCGTCTTAATCTGGTACATCATACACTTAATATCTTGTGAATCGTATTTGTGTTTGTTGGTGAGATGGAGTCTCATGTTCCCACGAGTGGTGCTCTTGTAGTCGCAGTCAGGGCAGTGAAACGGTTTTTCTCCGGTATGTATACGATGATGTACCATTAGCTGTGTTTTTGTCTTAAATGACTTTTCACAATCAGTACAATCATGTTTCCTAACAGAATTGTGACGATGAAACACATGGCTATTGAGACATGTTCGACTTTTAAAACCTTGACCACACTTTTCACAAATAAATGGTGTTTGTTCACGGTGTATGAGTTTGTGGTCTTTCAGCTGAAACTTTGTAAAACATTCCTTTCCACAAATGTCACATGTGAATGGTTTCCAGCCTTTCGGTAGTGGAATGCCATGTCTAAAGTACTTGTGATAATGGATGTAATAGAAGTTTGGCTCTTTGGTCTCATACCCACAAATATCACAAACCCTTGGGGATTTTTCAAACTTACGTATTGTAATATAGCTCAAAACGTCATCTGGGGAAATTTCATGTGTGTTTATCAAATGAGTAATGCTTCGTTTAGGAAATACAAATTCATTTCCACAGAGTTTACACTTAAATTGACGTTCACTCTCTGGGATGAGTTCTGCATTTCTGTCCAGCTCAGCGATTGCACTTGTAACCACACTCTTGAGAATAGTACCAAACGACTGCTTTTTCCTCTTCTTCTTTATTTTCTTAGACACAGGTTTCTTTTTGGCTGTTAATTCAGGTGTCAAAGATGCTGACATATCTAATACTGACAAGTCTAATTTACATTCCATGTCTTGAAGTATTTTATCCTCTTCAGATTTGGCAAACTCTCTGGCTCTTTTCTTTGGGGGTGGTCTCAATGGAATATCTTGTTTAGGTGCTGGAGGAACTGGTGTTTTCCTACAAAAAATTGATATTGCTTAAGTTTTGTGGAATATTATCTTTAGATTTTTTTAAGATCATCTATTTGAAAAATGGACTACATATAGATCAATCATAGGGAATTTAAAGATTATAAAGGTCTGACACACTTCAAATTTTTTCTGCTCTACAATTACTATATCATACATTATATATATATATATTAATGAAACAGTAATTCTGACAGAACATCAATGGTAACCCTGACAACAAAAGACTACCACTAGTAATTATAAGGAAAATCCTAGCAATAGCTAACAAGAGGCCCATGGGCCTTAACGGTCATCTGACAAAAAGCAAGCCAAACCTAGAAAGTGGGTTGAGGTCATTCATTTGAACAAACTTGGTAGCCTCTCCTCCAAGCATCTTACAGGCCCAATATCAGCACTCATGGACTTTTGCTTGTTGAGAAGAAGTCGTTTGTATATTTTAACATATTTGACCCCTATGACCTTGAAAGTGGGTTGAGGTCATTCATTTGAATAAACTTGGTAGCCTTTCCTCCCAGCATGCTACAGACCCAATATCGGCACTCATAGACTTTTGCTTATTGAGATGAAGTCCTTTGTATATTTTAACATATTTGACCCCTGTGACCTTGAAAGTGGGCCAAGGTCATTCATTTGAACAAACTTTGTAGGGCTCCATGCCAGCATGCTATGGGCCAAGTATTAGCCCCCTAGGCCTTCTAGTATTTGAGAAGAAGTTATTTAAAGATTTTGACATATTTGACCCCTGCGACCTTGAAAGTTGTTCAAGGTCATTCATTTAAATAAACTTGGTAGCCTTTCCTCCCAGCATGCTACAGACCCAATATCGGCACTCATAGACTTTTGCTTATTGAGATGAAGTCCTTTGTATATTTTAACATATTTGACCCCTGTGACCTTGAAAGTGGGCCAAGGTCATTCATTTGAACAAACTTTGTAGGGCTCCATGCCAGCATGCTATGGGCCAAGTATTAGCCCCCTAGGCCTTCTAGTATTTGAGAAGAAGTTATTTAAAGATTTTGACATATTTGACCCCTGTGACCTTGAAAGTTATTCAAGGTCATTCATTTAAACAAACTTGATAGCCCTTCATCCCAGCATGCCACAGGCACAATATCAGCAATCTGAGCCTTTTGGTTATTGAGAAGAAGTTGTTTAAAGATTTTAACATATTTGACCCCTGTGACCTTTAAAGTGGGTCAAGGTCATTCATTTGAACAAACTTGGTAGTCCTTCATCCCAGCATGTCACAGGCCCAATATCTACACTCTGAGCCTTTTGGTTAATGAGAAGAAGTTGTTTAAAGATTTTAACATATTTGACCCCTGTGACCTTTAAAGTGGGTCAAGGTCATTCATTTGAACAAACTTGGTAGAGCTCCATGCCAGTATCCTCTGTGCCAAGTATTAGCCCCCTAGACCTTCTAGTATTTGAGAAGAAGTCGTTTGAATGAAAAGTTTACGGACCGCGCACGGCGGACGGCGCACGGCGGACAACGACGGACGAAGCATGATGACTATAGGTCATCGGACCCTTCGGGTCAGATGACCTAAAAATCCACAGCCAATCAACAAAAGCATGAAGTAAAAACATTGATAAAACAATTTGGCTGTTAAATAGTTTCAAAAGATATTTCTGACAAATAATTCACATCTTAACAAAGTTGGAATGATGAATGGTTTGAAAATCTTGCCACGACAAATCCAACACTTTGCTGTTATGCATTAGACTGAAGCAATGTTTTAAAGAGGAAATCTGATAAGCTTACAACATTAAATATCCTGGATTATGGTGAATGAAGCAGACTTTCTGTACTTACTTTTGTCGTCCTTTTTTAGACTGCAATTTCTTGAGGCTTTTAGATGCCTGTTTTAGTTGTTTGAACTTTCCAGTAGTACTGTCCTCTTGGTAATCCTCATCACTGTCATCTGTTTCCTCATCTTCTTCATCACCATCCTCATTCTCATCTTTTCCCATATCTTTGTCCACTTCGAACGTTTTGCTGACCAGATCTGTATGTTTGCCTGGGCTTGGTAGTTTGGTAGGTGAGATGTCTTTGACTTCTCTCTGTGGTACAGCTACTTCCTTATCCTCCATTGGATACATTCCTGGTTTCCCTTGATATGTTGTGGCCCCTCCACTCTCATCTGTCTCTGTAACCTGTTTGAACACTTTTGCAGCAGATGCTGCTCGAGTGCCATAAAGATGTGATACCTTGTGAACAGGTGTCTCTATTGGAGGTGACACAATTTCCTCTTGTTTCAGTTTTGTGGGTTTTTTTGGTGTTTTCTTACTGGAGTTTTTCCCTTTAGTACACACAAGTTTTGGCTGTAAAGGTAATGCTGGTGGTTTTTGTTGAGAAACCATATTACTTTCAGTGATTTCTGTTTTTTCTGTCACCTCTGAGACTTCTGTTTCCACCATATTTTCCTCCACACTGAGCTTGAGGTGCCGCTTTTTCAGAGCAACAGGTGATGATCTTGGCTCAGTGGCAGATACACTGATATCTTCCTCCATAACATTAAGCAACGACTCGTTCAGGTTAAAGCAGTCAATGAAATCCTCACAAATGTTGTACAGGTGTTCCAATTTAAACAGATTAGCCACACGTGCAAATTGTGACACATTGTCAGTTGTAAGAGTGATCTTGCCATCGTACAGGTAGTGAACAAGCTGTGAAGCTACCTGTAGGGGAATGCCCATTGGGAGTTCAACACGCAGTGAAGTACTGGGTGTAGTTTTAGACACCTTGGACAGCAGAAAAGGACTGGCTGCAATAAGCACCATCTTGTGTACCTGTTACAAAATAAGGTATCAAAGTTAAAACAAAATGTGCATAAGGTTTCTGGAATATTCATAATACTTATAGCTTTATGTTTCTGTGACCCCATTACAATGAATATACTTGTTCTCAAAGGTCTGAGTTTTTCCTTATGATTACCTAAATACTTCAAACTAAATTGAAAACAAGATCTGAATGCAAGGTCTTACATATGACATAAGTTCAGCAGCTCTGACTACTTTATGCACATACAGCGAATTTTTGTCAGAAACTTTCAAATTTTTCAACCTCACTTCAAATCTTTCTTATCAAAAACTTTTCTAATCTTACCCTGATTTCCTTATTGCCAGCTAGAATGACTGCATCACAGAACATTCCCTCTTTAAGGAGACCAAACATCTTTCCCATGAGTTCGCGTGGCAGATTTCTTTCGGTGTAGTCTTTGGCTGCTGATTTAAGACTACCATCATCCCCACGCTCCACCTCGACACCCTCAGACTTACTTCCTCCTCCTGTGTGTTGAGGTAGACGATGAGTTAAATCTGGAGCTTGTTGACCTGGTAAGGAAGCACCTCTAGCTACGCTGGCAACCATCATGTTGTCATGGGAACCTGGTATCAGAGTGGCACCCTTTGAGCCAGGAGGAATATTGTTTAAATCATTGTGGGAAGAAAGACTAGCAGAGTTCTGTTGTGTGATGGAACTGTTGATAGATCCAGTTCCATCTTCCATGTAAAAGTGCACAGGGGCATTACGCTGTGTCACAGCTGGATGGCCAGACAGTAACATATTTCCATGTCTTGGAGAGTGAATTGTCTGTCTCTGTGCTCCATGTCCCTCCACCCTCATACCATCCTCACATGATGTGTGAAGTCCCATATTGCTAATTCTAATGCTTTCTTCACCCGCTCGAGGTCCCAAAGTATTTGTCCGTATGCCTTCATCACCTGAGCGCTGAGTCATATTCATTATATTTCCCACCATAAGACTTTCTTCGCCTGGGCGTGGCACAACATTGCCATTCCTCATGACGTCATCACTTGGGTGCTGACCAACACTGCCAGACCACAGTGACTCTTCCTCAGAATGAGGTCCCAATGGTCCTGTTCTGGACTCATCGGACATCCGGCTGGGCATGGCTTGGGAATAGGACTGCTCCATCACTCCATGAAGCATATTATAGTTTTCCTGGAGATGAATTGCAGTGTTGTATCCCTGACTAGAGTTTCCTATCCCCACTCCAGGGGCCTCAACCCCATGGCTGGTAGGCGTGTCCATTTCTTTTATACTGCAAAATGCAAATAAGAGATAAATCGAAGATGGCAACCTGATGCATTGACAGTACAATTTCCCATGATCCGTCTCTAAACTGGGCAAGTACTTTATTTAGGGACCCGGGCATAAAATAAGCTTACAATTATTATAAGAGATTTAGCTAGTGTCACATGGCAAATATTATCAACAACAAATTAAATTTCTAAATCAAACAGATGGCTACCTCATAGCCATTTGTTTTTCTTTCTGTTCAGCCTCAAAACCAGCATGCACAATATAATGAACAAAAGAGTACAATGCCCCTGTCAGTTACTTGTACAATCTTGCAGTCTCAAAATTCTCGATCAACATATGTGTACAACTACAGACTGAGGGGTACCTTCAAATGAAATAAAAAGATAGGAGAGACAGATGGGACAGGGGATTTTGCATCAACATCTAATTTCATTTGATATACTGTACTTTGCTTTAGCCAATTTTGAGTTTTCTAACCCACATCTTAGACTTTCACAGATCATGTTTAAACCCAGAGGGGTAAAAGTTAAATTTTCATTCACACATTCCTTAATTAGCAGAACTTATTAATATGTACATGTTATACATACAGACCCATATCAGAATTTTAGGCCTAGGACTCGTTGATTGAACCTCATCTCTATGTTTTAATCTATTTTGTACAGGCCTATTAAAATATTCTGAGAAACTTAATCATAACAAGAAATATACTATATAACAAATGACTGATTAAATGTATGAAATTTAGTACGGACTACAGTTTAGTGACCTTGAGAATTGACCCAGTTTTTCTCCAGAACGAAATTATGTTTCGTATCATATAAGTACTTTGTCTGCCAGGCAGGAATCACAACACTCCTCTAAATACTAATAGACTTCTCAAAGTAACTGAAGTTAGGTTCATAAACACTTAACAGATAAGTATGATCTCATGTAACACCATAATTTACACATTTGATAAATATGAGATGCATTTCTTGTCCCAAATCGACAAAATGGCTTCGTTCATGTGCAATGCAATCTTCTTTCTCTCGGACCAAGCACCAAGTGCACGACAATATACCGGGAAAAAGACCGAAATTATGGGTGACAACACATTTTGTGTCATGCGTGAAACATTTTCGATACAGACTTACCCATAAGAATTCACATGAAACTGATAATCTGTTCATATACAAATATATTCCACGAGAAAAATCGCCTTCTTGAAATGAAGGAAGGATTTGTGTTCATTTGCATATTTCGTATTAAAAAGGAGATTTCGAATTTCATTGGCCGATAATTTTAGTATCGGGGACCGGCTATTTATAAGATATAGTGAAACTCCGATATATAAGTTGTGCTAAATACAATTGTTTCAGTCGCAAACACATATAAAAATATTTGAAGACAATCGAATGATGTCGCAACTATGATATTGAAATTTCATTTTGAATTACCCGTCAAATAAAATTTAGGATAATGACGATTTTCCAAATATTCACAATAATGTCTCCTGAATCTGCGGAACAAAGAAGCAAGATGGCCGACTGACCATGTTCCAAGGATGAAGGAGAAGAGATTTGAGCGTTTGAAGCGCTAACACTCTTATTCAAATAACTGCAAGAAGGCATGCATTTTCAATTTAATATTCTTAATATAATGACAATAGTTGTACTTTGGAAGAATAGTAAATTTTACTCCTTCAATGCTTATTTTCTTGCCCATCTTGCTTTACGCGCCGGAACCGAGATCACCAGTACCTATGTCGATGCTGGGGTTCTTGTTTGTTTCCGGATCATCATCAAACTATGACCAGTAAGACATATTGTCAAGACCAGAACACCATATGCTTCAGGTATTGAAGAGGCATGGAGGCCATCAGCTGGTGGCCGAAAAACTGCAATCCATTTCGAAAAATGCAGTTCAATAGTGCTTACCAGTGATTTCGCCTGTCTAGATAGAAACATAAAGAAAAAGATCAAATACTAGATGGTAACTATCAAACAAGTTCTCAGTGGAGCCCCAATATACAAAACAACTGCCGCAAAGCAAAAAACACATCCAGTGTTAGAAATATGCTTCAAGGATTTGACTGGCATAACCTTAAAGACACAAACTTCTTAAGGGATACAAGAGTTATCATGATGTACAAATTCACATACAGCATGGTTGCCATCAGAAAACATAAATTTCATGTCCAAAAAAGTGGTCAAACTTTTTCACACATTTTCTGATTTGGGGTACCAAATTCATTGCAAGAACTGGTTTTTTCCTGTTCCTTTTTCCCAAATACTGTCTGACTGGATCAGACCTGTGTTTTATACCACTGCCAACTTATCCCTTCTTATACAAAGTTTTGCACACCTCTTTAGTTCTCTAGTTTAGATCTTGATAGGGTCTTCATAATGTTGAAGTTCAGGTAAAAAAATCAATAGAAGTAGAGAGACACTTCTGTAAACATTAGGCAGAGTGGATGTGTGTGGTCATATAAGAAAAAGTCACCTTTACATGCTGGTGTTAATTTCACTGAACTGTTGGAATTTCAGTTGAAGCTCATGGATGGATCTGCGGTGCAATTTTCACACATTTGCAGAGACAGACCAATATCAGATATTGAAATGCATATATCTGACATGATGCTTATGACTTAGCATCCTTGACATATTTTATATGGACATGCATAACATTATCAGTTACTTGATGTTAATATATCCTAATGATTTTTTTCTGCTTTCATTGTTAGGTTTAGACCATGGCCTCTGACGGTGGGAGTCTAACCAACTCTCCAATGCTGGAACAAGTATTTGTCAACCCCGACCACTCGAGCCAGGTTCTGTACCAACTGTCAGAACTGTGGCGGGACAAGAAACTCTGTGATGCCACCATTGAAGTTGGCCCAGTCAAGGTTTATGTATGTATTGACAGTTTGACTTGAAAAAATTTCCTAGTTTTCCTTAGTGATTGTTTCTGGCCCTTCTTGACACACGTCCTTGTGTGACCATGATATTTATTAAAACCCTGTGAAAATAAAACATAGAAAAATCACTTTGTCCATAAACATTAGCTACATTATTTTTCCTGCTTCAGAGGAACTTTGGCAGTTTTTCAATTAAGAGTAAAATCCTACATATTTCTTGCATGGATTTCCTATAGTGTAACAATTGAATATCCAGTTTGTATTTTGAAATTAAGATGAAGTCTGTGTTCCAGGATGTGAATTATAAATCAGATCATTTTAATAATTTGGTATTTTATTGTGATTTGATATTTAAAATTACCTGAATATGATGTTTCAAATTCGTGCAAGGGAAGATAAGCCTTAGTTTTTCTGGCCACTATGAAAGAGTGAGATGTATTCCTCTGGTGTCCACCATGATGTTCAGAGCTATTTGAAAAAATTGTGATTTTTTTTTTATTTTAAGGTTTAGTATACATTCTGTAAGTCGAGGATACTTTGAATTTAATCTTCATTTTTATTAATGTCAAGAAGTCATATTTGGCTCATCTCAGACAATAGAGTCCTAAATCAACCAATTGATATTTTTTAAATCACAGGAAGTACTGGCCAGACCCACCAAACACAGTGATTAGGAATACCAAGGTTCAAAGATTTTGAATTGCATGAACATGCCATTTTGTGTTGCAGGTTCACCGTCTTGTGTTGTTGGCTGCCTGTCCATACCTGTTGACAGTGGGTGGACAACATGAGGTATCCATTTTGGAAGTGAAGCTGCCAATGACAGTGGGCCTGGAAGGCTTAAACGTCTTCCTCACCTACTTGTATGATGGGGTCTTGCATCTCACTTCAGCAAATCTCCGATCTGTTGAAAAACTGACCAAGATCCTTAAGGTGACTAGTATCCAGAAATTCTGTCAGGAATTCCGTGATTCTAATAAAGAAACAGGTACTGCTGATAAACTAGCAACAGACTACAGTCTTAAAATGACAAACTCTAGCTTACAGATCATATTTTCAGAAATCCAAAATGAATTGAAACGCGAAAATATAGAACAAGAAACAGAAACACCAAGTAAACGACCAAGAATGAACTTGGACAAATTATCAGCAGCATTACAAAAAAAGACTAGTCAGTCTGATTCTGTTAAAGACAATGGTAGAGGTCACTCTGTTTCCAATGTGTCATTATCCGGACCCAGTGAGAGCCAGAGTGACAAAAAAGAAGTCACTTCAGATCCTCTTGTGATGCATGTGAAGGAGGAGCCAATGTCTGACTATGAGGATGAGGATGACGCCAGTTACAGTGAAGATACAAGTGAATCCCTCGGCTACAGTGGAACGACAGACTTTGTGAGGCAGGCACCTTATGACACTCGACCATTTCCTGATGAAACGTCTGTAACCAGTGGAAATAAAATGATTGTTGCCATTCCACCTCCCCCATCATTACAGAAACGTCCTTCACTTCGACAAAAATCATTCCCGCCCAGTGCTCAGCACGTCTCACAGACTAGTGAAACAGTTTCAGGTTTACCCAGTGAAAATGTGAACTCAGGGGAGTTGGGGGCTTCAGATGAAGGCAATGTAGATGCAACCAAGGTGCTCAAAAACATTGTTAAGTCTATGCCTGAGATGGCGATGAATCTAGGGACATCGTCAGAAATTGGAGAAGATAACAAGCCAAGGTAGGGTTGATGTACAAATTTGTTGCCATCTACATACACAATCTGATGTGCTACATATCAGTCATGTTAATTTTCACATCAGCAACTATTTGCTTCCATCCAGGGATCTCTGGTACATCAGTTAGTCCTTGTTTAAAGTATGATGGAAAAGGAAACATTGAAATTAGTTCTGAAGGCCAAAGATTCCTAAAATGATGTTCACTATGGTAATCAAAGTCCACATTCTTTATATTAGTAAATTGCAATTAGCTTCACTTTATTCTGCCATACTGAGTTCAGTTAAAGATTTTATTGGTTTAAAATCATCTAAATGATATTGAGATGCTAATTGGTTTTAGAATGTAGTTTAATGGTAATTTACTAGATCTTTAACAAGAACTATTCTGTATGGCAGCAGTATTGTCATCTTTGATGTGAAGGATAACCTGATGTTTGTGTATTGACCAGATTGACCTACATATACAGATTGATATCAGTTAAAAATAAACATAGTTAAGGATGAGTTTCCAGGATTTTTCAGTGTTTTAAAGTATTGTTCATATTTATTTGTTATTGTTATGCATGAAAAGAATTGCATACAAACACTACAGTATTAAAAGAGGAAATAATCACATGACTTTTCATTAGGATATTCCACACTGACAGATTGTGCTTACTGTTGAGTGACACAGGTTCTGATACATTAATTTGTCTGTTTTTGAGGTATGGGTTTTATCATTCCTTGTCATTAATATTTTAATAACATCCCAATCCATGCTTTCCTTTTTATCAGTTACATCTAGTGAATGAGAAGCACTTAGAACATTATAGTTAAAAATGAATTTGATTATTTATGTAACTATACATTATATTACAGGGGGGGTAACTTCTAACATAGCTATGATTTTTAATAGTTATAAATGATACTCTTTGTTGTATTGGACACTCATAGAACTGTAGAATTTTCCTTCACTGAATGTAATTCAATCTTCTAACTTTTTTTTGATGTCTTAACAGGTACTATTTATAACCTTTAAAATATCATTTTTGATTGGTGACAACAGTGCAGTAAGTCTGGTGGGAACTTGTCCTTAACATGAAGTGCATACATGTACCTGTATTAAAAAATACTTTTAAAGCAAAGGCTGTTTTTACCAAAACTACGCAATGAAATATTTTGAAAAAAATCACTATCTTTTTATATGATTGAAAAACTGCCATCTTTCTTAGATGGTTTATTTTGGTACATGTGATGGAATTTCTTTGACTAAGTTTGTCTTGACCATAAAATGTTTTTGATCCTGAAACCTAACTGATATCAATCTGACAACATCGATCTCTTTCAATCTACACAGGTATAAGGAAAAGTTGTACTGATATTGATGGATACATTAAGTTATATGAACACAGTCAATATTGTAAATCATTTAATTTTTGTGGTTTTCTACAACTTCATAAATGTTTTGTTTTGAATGTTTAATCTATAAAAATATCAAATATTTACAAAATAATTCAATAGATAATACAAGGAGTTTGTCTAAATTTATACAACTAATGATTACCAGAAATCTTAAGTGATTTACAGTAGACTTCACTCATCATTGCAGCAGGGACTGTGTTATAGAGGTAGGTGCATCATAGAACACAGCTCTCTTATTGTACAAGCACACTTTTATTAAGGACAAATAAGATGGCTGACCTTCACCTCCAGTCCCTATGCATGCTGACCTTCACCTCCAAAAAATCGCTGTTGATTTTGAATTTTATCTATTCTTTGATTTATTCTTAAAGTACATTCTGTGGTTTTTCAAAGTCTGATCACTATTTTGAAGGACACTAGGTAGTTTATTGTCACATTTGTTGAAAAATATTGAATGTTTCTTTTTTCTGTTAAATGTATTTAGACATTCAGGGGAGGAAAAACAACAAAAAAACAAGGGATGCTTATTTGAAATTAATATTCTAATACATTTATACTTTTGACATCTCAACAAAAATAAGGTTTCAGGAAAATGTTATTATTCTGTTATAGAAAGATCCGTTTTCTATCATATGCACAAGAATATCCACTGTGTACTCTTGTAAAGAGCACGTGGTGATTACAAGTAAATGATGAAACCATTAAATATATAACATATCTGTGAAAGTGTGGGTAGCTCATCCAACCAAAAATAGGCTGGTTGCCATAGTTATGAAATCATTACTTTTTTCTTGTGTGACACTTTTTCATATAATGATTGTTTTCTAAAAATGATTATATGCTGAATACGTGAAATCATATATGATTTGTAAAGGTGCTGAAAATGATACCTCCACAAGACATCATATGGTGAGGATGTGTCATTTGTTGTCTCGGTGGATGTGATGACAATTAAATCAGTGAATTTACAATATATACGCTAGCTACTAGCTCCAATACTTCACCTATATGGTTGTGTAGAGATTGTGATAATATTGGTGATGATGACAGGTTCTACTTTAAACTATTACCTAACAATATCTGTGATGATGACAGGTTCTACTTTAAACTATTACCTAACAATATCTGTGATGATGACAAGTTCTACTTTAAACTATTACCTAACAATATCTGTGATGATGACAAGTTCTACTTTAAACTATTACCTAACAATATCTGTGATGATGACAAGTTCTACTTTAAACTAGACGATAAGGTAATTGTATGATTAAGACATTGATGATGATTGACTTGACAAGATATCTGACCATGTACTGAAAATGGTGTCACAATTTGTTTTTGTGACGAAAAAATAACTGCTGATGAGCTAGTTTATAAAATTTATATCTGGATAAGACATTAACAAAATAAAATTATATTGCTTAAATGTTAAAATACTCTATATTTTCAAGTCACTTTGGAAAAGAATGGATTTCTGTCAAGGTTTTTAATTAAAAAAAAAAAAAGACTTATGAAAGAAAATCTAGAGTTATCTTTCTTGTGACAGAAAAAGTGGTATGTATCTGTTCAGTGAATGTATATTTATATATATGGAATCCTATCACAAATGTTTAATATATGTGTGGGTTTGTGTGTGCTGAAATATGAAGACCATCATGACATTTTCAGGAGAAGTTGAACATTGGTTAAATTACTTTTCAAGATCTGTATGTGGGCATGCCAGAAAGTAAATATGCCATTGTATGTAAGATTTTGTCAAGTTAGGAAAAAATTAAACTATTGAAGAAAAACATATGTGATTAGGAATTAAAGACCAGCAGCATCAAAGATTTTGGTGAACATCAGCTAATCCTGCTGCTATCAGGTCCCAGGAATACACTGTTGACTGAGGTATGGGTTCACCTTGGTAAGGCATTTTGTGATATGTTAAAAGTAGATCACTCTGATCTACAATTGGATCTTTGACCTACATCCAAAAAAAACTCTTTCTCCCACACAAACCTGTCCCTTGAGCTTCATACTTGGGGATATGGGTTCAACTTAGTGAGGCCGCATGTTGTTTATCAAAAGTAGGTCACTCTGACAGACATTTCAACCCTTGACTGAATTCAAAGAAAGAGGTTGTCTGGACTCCATTTCCTTCACTTTTTGTCACTTAAACTTAATACTTTTGGCGTGGGTCAGCCAAAAGTAGGTCACTGACACCGTTTGACCTTTGACCTACATTAAAGAAATGTTTATGTGAGCCTGCATTACTGGTCACTCTAACTTCTTACTGTGGTATGAGTTACTTCTGGTACAAGTTTATTTGTATTGAAGAAAAATGATACTTGCTTTTCCAATAAAATGGATATTATTGAATTACTCCACATTTATACCATATACTGTAAAAACCCATGTAATGTCCGCACTTTTTTTCACCGAAAATGAATCCAAAAAAGGGGGTGCGGACATTACAGAGATATAGAGGAAATGACACTTTTTTCCTTCCGACAATTCATATCATATCTCCTTGAATTGTGTTCTTAAAAGCCAAGCATACCTGATATTATCGTTCTATGGTTTTTCCTATGATGTTTCCTCAACCAAACATGATTATTTATGATTATTTATTATAGTTTCCATGGTTAATTCCTTCCATTTTCTCGTTACAGGTTCGTATTGTGTCGTCCTTCGTAATAGGAAGCCATTTTGTTTGACTTTGTCACATGAATAAAGTTAGAGTTATTCCCCTTTCCCCATTGAAAAACCATACCCATGAGCATATACAAAATAACACAACATTTTCATTCTACATTTTATTTACAAAATAACAATAAATAACATGTACAAGAATAAAATAAATAATCAGACGTTTTATTGATTATGGATCGTTTATCAGAAAGTCTTAATACATAGCAGGCCGTTTTAATCGCGTTTCTCGAAACCCCAGAAGTCATCGTCGTCGTCACTGTGGAAGAACTCCTCGGCGTTGAAGTTGTCTTCCTCTGTCTGGTCGTTGTAATACATGGCGTTCTCGTCGTCTGATGGTGTGTCAGTAGGGTCAGTGGCGCCGTGGGTCATGGGCGGGTCATGTTACTGTATAGTTATCGTTAATTGGCTAATCACACGCTGTCACTCACTCACACTCGAGGTGAGGAGACGACCCAAGCTGTTTATAACACTGCTGGGCTAACCCTTATCAAAACACCACTTATCGAAATGAGGACTTGTCATACTGGTAAGCTTACTGTACCATTATGGAGAATAACTGTTATAAACAATTAAGTGAATTCTTGAATAGTACCTGTATGTTATACACAATGCGACATGCTATCGGCCATTACGACATTAGCGTACGTGAAATGAAATCGGCAGCTTCAATTTGCATTTTTTACCCGCGGACATTACATGGAAAGTGGGTTTTTTCCCCAGATTTTTGTGTCAAAAAAGGGGTGCGGACATTACACAGATGCGGACATTACGTGGGTTTTTACGGTATATGGTATATTTTGATATAAGATGAATATGTCAAACATAGAGTGTCTAGAATTTTTGTTCCTGTACAGATTCATTATCTATACTGTGAATCCATGGCCTATAAATTCTAATTCAGTTTTAGAAACTGTAATTTGTCTGGTTTTTGTTATCATAAATGTAGTTCTAACTTAGCCATCCTCAGGTTACTTGTTTGGTAGGAACTCAATCCAATATGTATACAGTACTGTTTGTGTGGGAATTTTTTCCCAGAGTAGTATATGTGCTAATATCTATCATGGCAAATCGATCCTGAGATAGCATCCTGTAGCTAGTCTTGCAAAATGTGGTGATTATAATTTTCCCGAGTGTGATCACGTTTTTTCCAAGAAGGTTGACCTTTGGAGACATGATTTCCTTAATAATTTTGTCACGAGTTGGAAGGGTACAAATGCCAAAAAAAAAGTGTTTGTTTATAAACAAGGTTTAGGATACCATACAGACAAAAAAGTGTTTGTTTATAAACAAGGTTTAGGATACCATACAGATAAAAAAGTATGTTTGAAGAGAAACTGTGAGTCTGGTCCAGAATTGAAGTGTCAAAACTGCAAAAATGTATTTAAAACACAAAGAAAACTTAAAACAACATGAGAAAATCCATGGTGAACATGCTTGTCATATTTGTGGGAAAACATTCATTTTGAAAAATAAGTTTAAAAGACATGTTAAGCTGTGTGTTTAATGATATGATGTCAATAACACATCGTACACATCAGAAGCAGTGTATTCAGATACATGTATGATATGTCAATAACACATTTACTGTACACATCAGAAGCTGTGTATTCAGATACATGGATGATATGTCAATAACACATTTACTGTACACATCAGAAGCTGTGTATTCAGATACATGAATGATATGTCAATAAGACATTTACTGTACACATCAGAAGCTGTGTATTCAGATACATGTATGATATGTCAATAACACATTTACTGTACACATCAGAAGCAGTGTATTCAGATACATGTATGATATGTCAATAACACATTTACTGTACACATCAGAAGCTGTGTATTCAGATACATGTATGATATGCCAATAACACATTTACTGTACACATCAGAAGCAGTGTATTCAGATACATGTATGATATGTCAATAACACATTTACTGTACACATCAGAAGCTGTGTATTCAGATACATGTATGATATGTCAATAACACATTTACTGTACACATCAGTAGCTGTGTATTCAGATACATGTATGATATGTCAACAACACATTTACTGTACACATCAGTAGCTGTGTATTCAGATACATGTATGATATGCCAATAACACATTTACTGTACACATCAGAAGCAGTGTATTCAGATACATGTATGATATGTCAATAACACATTTACTGTACACATCAGTAGCGGTGTATTCAGATACATGGATGATATGTTAATAACACATTTACTGTACACATCAGAAGCAGTGTATTCAGATACATGGATAATATGTTAATAACACATTTACTGTACACATCAGTAGCGGTGTATTCAGATACATGTATGATATGTCAATAACACATTTACTGTACACACCAGAAAAATAAAATGGCTGACAGGTGGCCATCTTGGATTTTGCCTATGAAATTTCATTATTACTATTTCTTGAGAAATAGAAATTGGATCTTTTTCTTTTTCCTGTGTGTTGATTTCCTTGGGTTCCCTAGTGTGCCTTTTCCTTTTTTTGGACTGATCATATAAACCAAATGGCTGACAGACAGCCTGTTGAATTTTGATGAGAAGGACTGAATTGACCTTTCCCAAATTTTAGATTTAAATCCCTTTGGTCACTACTTGTGCTATTTTTGATTTGAGGACTGATCAAAAAGCAGAATCGCTGACTGGCAGTCATTTTGAAATATGACTATAAAATTGTGATAGTGCCCTATCATCTGTGGACTCTAGATCTGTTCGCTCATGAATGAATACCAATTGACCAAATATCTTAACAGTGGAATGGTATTCAAATATTTGATGTGATATTTACCTCCCTTTAATCCCGTGGTTAGAATTATGGAGAAACATAGGCACTGGGTATGGAAGCATTTCCAGCTGAATTCTGACAAATCTAAAGCTGAATGTAAGCTTTGCTCGTCAGACAACGTAACGTTCGGTTTAGTATAAAATCACATTTATAAAGCAACAATTCTGATATGAATAAAATGCAAAACACATGAATGATAAGATATAAATATGTTTCTAACATGAAAGAGTAAACAAATGTGAAAGTCTGCTATTTTTTATTACCTAACTGTTGTCATGTGCTGGGCCATGTTTACGTATATATGGTGCATAGTAACAGCTGGAAACAAGAATCCCAAAAATTCACATCAACTGATTGGTTCTGAAAACGGAATTTTAAATAACCTATATATTCTTCCTTTTTATGGTAAGGTTTCCTACGAGTTACTCCTGGTGTGTTGGATTCTAAAGAGTAATTTACATCAGTGTCATTTAAACGATTAAGTACTAACTACGTCATACCTAGTTGCAATCGCTCAGTTGACAAAAGAAAATTTTTCCCATGTAGTCAATTGCTGTACTTCTTTGTTGTAGCATTTTGCTAGTATATATATGAATGTATGGCATTGACTCTGAATGTCAGGACATTGTTTGTTTTCTAAAAAAACAAAGTGATTGAAAAGCATGTCTGATGATTTGTGGGAGTCCACTAATATTATTCTATGTGCTATTTATTTTTGATGATTTAGATGATATGTGATTCACATTTAGATTAATATGCCCTCTTATGGAAGATTTTGTTATCCCCCATCCCACTAAAAGGCTAATGCAAAAGAACAAACATATTAATGCATTCAACACCAGCAGTAGTGTCAGCTATATTCTGTTCTATCAGGTGTCAAGGATAAACCTATTTCCCTCACAAGCCAACTGACCCCAGACATTTCTGATATTTAGTAATCATTCACATTTTGGTAAGTGTAACTATGGGTCGACTTATTGATGCATTGCTCTAGCTCTGCACATGACAGCAATTGGTCGATAGCATATTTTCAAGTTGTTAACTATTGCAATAGATTTTTAGTGCTATTTTTTTTTAACTTGATAAAAATACTACTTGAAAGCAAGATTTTTCACTGGGTTATTTCCAAATAGCTTATTTATTGACTTAGGGACTATTATTGAGTCACTTGTCTGTTGCAATAATATTGTAGTAATAATGATAGTTATTTTACTATTGCAACACTATCATGATAGTTTTTGGCTTCACCCCTTATTTTGATGTGCTGTAAGTTGAAGCCCAAATTAATCTACCATGAGTGGTAAACCACCTTCAGGGCTCTCACACCCCATTTTGGGGCTGGGGCACAGGGCCCCTAGAATTGGGAAAAATAGCTGCGTTTTCCTTAGAATTTGGAAAACTTGGGGTCTAAATTGGGAAAAAAAGATACTATTTTGCATTGGGAATGTGGTCGAATATTGGCCCCAAATCTGGCAGATCAAGAGCCCTGAGCCCTGCAAGAACTCAATTTATTATATATGCAATACCAATTCTGTTTTTAACATTTCAAAGTGATTTGTGGAGAATGTGGTAATAAATACCATGACAGGTTGGCCCTGAAAATAAGTTATACTTGCATTAACATGGTGTTTTTGACTGTCCTGAGTGTGATCAGGTTTTTTCATTAAGGCTGAATTCCTTACACATCATTTCTCAATCCACAAGCACGAACAATACAAATGAGATAAATGCCATAAAGTGTTCAGATACAAAACAAGTTTAAGATATTATACAGTAATAAAATGTGGCCCACATTTTGAACTTTTAATTTAAGTAAAAAAAAAAAGTTTGTGCTGTGGGACACTACCTCCTATAGTTCAAGTTTCAGGAGCATCATACTTTGGGTATTGATATGTCAAGTAGCACGGAGATTATAATGAATGTTGATGAATATATGTCTTCTATAGAGATATGGAAAGCTGATGAACATGAGTTTTGTACAGAAATATGCTCATGGAACTTTGATATAGAAATATTTAAGTAATTTGTAAGGGCGTGTATAGTCTTTTTTTGGCCACTTGTCTTGGTGTTTAGCATAATGAACAACAAATGTTTCGCTGTTGTTTAATCTTAGAATGACCCCTGACTTTTATAAGCTAACATTTATACAAATGAATTATCTGATCTATTTTCATACTGTCTAGTTGACTGTTGCATTGGCTGCTGGTAACTGCTTGAATAGCCTGACACTTCAGTGTGAAATTGTGTCAAATAATGATAAAGATTTCCTTGTATGAAGTGTTTGGTCAGGTTTAACGGAGCTTGTCTTTGTGTTAATGAAAATTAATCGTCATTTTAAGCAGGTTCTATCTGCAAAGCATTTTCTGTTTAATCAAATGAATTGATGACAGTTGAACCATTCCATAGCTATAGCTGTGACTGTGATTGTCTATGATCTATTGGTGGTTCGACTTATACGAAAAATGACAAATAACAGTTAGGATTCGGAGCAGAGTTGAATATAAGTTAACCATATTCTGCCCTACCTTGTTGACGTTTTCCCTTTGAACTCTGGTTGATGACAAACTTTTGCTTTCTCCGGTCACCAGGTCCCCGCGGACGACGCTGACTCTGAACCAGAGGATAGAAGTAATCAGGTAGGGATCAGCTCAATTGAGATGTATACTTGTACTTCAGGCCAGTGTTTCTAAATACTGTAGGTCAATATTAATAGAAGTATAAGGTCATTGTTACTAGATACTGTAGGTCATTGTTACTAGATACTGTAGGTCTATGTTCCTAGATACTGTAGGTCATTGTTTCTATATACTGTAGGTCATTGTTACTAGATACTGTAGGTGTATGTTACTAGACACTGTAGGTCTATGATACTAGATACTGTAGGTCATTGATACTAGATACTGTAGGTCATTGTTACTAGATACTGTAGGTCATTGTTTCTATATACCGTAGGTCATTGTTACTGGATACTGTAGGTCATTGTTACTAGATACTATAGGTCATTGTTACTAGATACTGTAGGTCATTATTACTAGATACTGTTACTAAATACTGTAGGTCAATATTAATAGAAATATAAGGTCATTGTTACTAGATACTGTAGGTCATTGTTACTAGATACTGTAGGTCTATGTTCCTAGATACTGTAGGTTATTGTTACTAGATACTGTAGGTCTATGTTACCAGATACTGTAGGTCATTTTTACTAGATACTGTAGGTCTATGTTACTGGACACTGTAGGTCTATGTTACTAGATACTGTAGGTCATTGTTACTAGATACTGTAGGTCTTTGTTACTAGATACTGACGGTCATTGTTACAAGATATTGTAGGTCATTGTCACTAGATACTGTAGGTCATTGTTACAAGATATTGTAGGTCATTGTTACTAGATACTGTTGGTCATTGTTACTAGATACTGTATTACTATGTTACTAGATACTGTAGGTCTATGTTACTAGACACTGTAGGTCATTGTTACATACTGTAGGTCATTGTTACTAGACACTGTAGGTCTATGTTACTAGATACTGTAGGTCATTGTTACATACTGTAGGTCTATGTTACTAGACACTGTAGGTCATTGTTACATACTGTAGGTCATTGTTACTAGACACTGTAGGTCTATGTTACTAGATACTGTAGGTCATTGTTACATACTGTAGGTCTATGTTACTAGACACTGTAGGTCATTGTTACATACTGTAGGTCATTATTACTAGACACTGTAGGTCTATGTTACAAGATACTGTAAGTCATTGTTACATACTGTAGGTCTATGTTACTAGACACTGTAGGTCATTGCTACTAGATACTATAGGTTTATGTTACTAGATACTGTAGGTCATTGATTCTAGGAACTGTAGGTCATTGTTTCTGGATACTGTAGGTCATGGTTACTAGATACTGTAGGTCATTGTTACTAGATATTGTAGGTCATTGATTCTAGGTACTGTAGGTCATTGTTACATACTGTAGGTCTATGTTACTAGACACTGTAGGTCATTGTTACTAGATACTATAGGTATATGTTACTAGATACTGTAGGTCATTGTTACATACTGTAGGTCATTGTTACTAGATACTATAGGTTTATGTTACTAGATACTGTAGGTCATTGTTACATACTGTAGGTCTATGTTACTAGATACTGTAGGTCATTGATACATACTGTAGGTCTATGTTACTAGATACTGTAGGTCATTGATACATACTGTATGTCTGTTACTAGATACTGTAGGTCTATGTTACTATATACCGTATGTCATTGTTACTAGATACTGTAGGTCTATGTTACTATATACTGTAGGTCATTGTAACTAGATACTGTAGGTCATTGTTACTAGATACTGTAGGTCATTGATTCTAGGTACTGTAGGTCTATGTTACTAGATACTTTGATGTTTCCCTTTTGAACTCTGGTTGATGACGAACTTTTGCTTTCTCCGGTCACCAGGTATCCGCGGACGACGCTGACTATGAACCAAAGGATAGAAGTAGTCAGGTAGGGATCAGCTCAATTGAGATGTATACTTGTACTTTAGGTCAGTGTTTCTAAATACTGTAGGTCTATGTTACTAGATACTGTTACTAAATACTGCAGGTCAATATTAATAGAAAGATTAGGTCATTGTTACTAGATACTGTAGGATACTGTAGGTCTATGTGACTAGATACTGTAGGTCATTGTTACTAGATACTTTAGGTCATTGTTACAAGATACTGTAGGTCATTGTTACTAGATACTGTAGGTCTATGTTCCTAGATACTTTAGGTCATTGTTACAAGATATTGTAGGTCATTGTTACTAGATACTGTAGGTCGGTCAATGTTACTAGATACTGTAGGTCATTTTTACTAGATACTGTAGGTCATTGTTTCTAGATACTGTAGATCATTGTTACTAGATACTGTAGGTCATTTTAACTAGATACTTTACGTCATTGTTACTAGATACTGTAGGTCTATGTTACCAGATACTGTAGATCATTGTTACTAGATACTGTAGGTCATTGTTACCAGGCACTGTAGGTCATTGTTTCTGGATACTGTAGGTCTATGTTACTAGATAATGTAGGTTTATGTTACTACATACTGTAGGTCTATGTTACCAGATACTGTAGGTCATTGTTACAAGATACTGTAGGTCATTGTTACTAGATACTGTAGGTCATTGTTTCTATATACCGTAGGTCATTGTTACCAGATATTGTAGGTCATTTTCACTAGATACTGTAGGTCATTGTTACAAGATATTGTAGGTCATTGTTACTAGATACTGTAGGTCGGTCAATGTTACTAGATACTGTAGGTCATTTTTACTTGATACTGTAGGTCATTGTTACTAGATACTGTAGGTCATTGTTACTAGATACTGTAGGTCGGTCAATGTTACTAGATACTGTAGGTCATTTTTACTAAATACTGTAGGTCAATGTTTCTAGATACTGTAGATCATTGTTACTAAATACTGTAGGTCATTGTTACTAGATATTGTAGGTCATTGTTACTATATACTCTAGGTTATTGTTACTAGATACTGTAGGTCATTGTTACAAGATATTGTAGGTCATTGTTACTAGATACTGTAGGTCATTGTTACTAGATATTGTAGGAGTATGTTAATAGATACTGTAGGTCTTTGTTTCTGGATACTGTAGGTCTATGTTACTAGATAATGTAGGTTTATGTTACTAGATACTGTAGGTCTATGTTACTAGATAATGTAGGTTTATGTTACTAGATACTGTAGGTCATTGTTACTAGATACTGTAGGTCTATGTTACTAGGCACTGTAAATCATTGTTACTAGGCACTGTAAATCATTGTTACTAGATACTGTATGACTATGTTACTTGATACTGTAGGACTATGTTACTAGGTACTGTACGACTATGTTACTAGATACTGTAAGTCTATGTTTCTAGATATTTTTAAGTCTATGTTACTAAATAATGTAGGTCTATGTTACTTGATGCTGTATAGGTCAGTGTTACTAGATTCTGAATATTCATTATGTTTGTTTTCATCTTTTTTATTCCTTTGATTGGCTTTCCTTTGTTAGAACATAATAGTGACATGTATGGTTAGCATTTTGATACATCATAATTTTTGTTAAAAAGTGAAAATTTAAATGGTTTTGTTTGAGTTAACATTTTCATAAATTACAACTAGTTGTTTTCATTGCATGAAGACACCACATATCAAAGTTCTGAAAGAAATGGTTCAATTGAAAATATGAAATGGAAAGAAATCAAATATTGGTTAAGGAATACTGTAAATTATAGGGCTGATATTGTTCAATGAAGAAATATGGAAAAAACAGAAACTAACAAACGAGATTATAGTCAGACTTTAAAATTTCACTTGGGAAAAGAAAAACTTTGGTTTTATTTGATAATCCTGGAATGACCATTAAATATGGTGTTGGTATATATTTATCTGCTTTTTTGTCATTCCTGATCTCTTACAGACTATCAGAAAATGGCTACAGTTCCCGCATGCTAGCTAAGCACTTCCAAGTTGGTCGCACACAGATCCTCAGAATTCTCAAATATAAGGAGAAGTTATTGGAAGTGTATGAGATAACTCCAAACAAGGACCAGTGGAAACGTATTGGGCGGCGGACGGAATATGAGGACATTAACAATCGCCTGTGGAGCTGGGTGCAGCAACTGATGGCATCATCTGCTAGTATCCGTATCTCGGGTCCGCTTCTCCGAGAAAAAGCACTGGAGATTGCTAAAGAGACCAAAAACACAGAGTTCAAGGCATCCAATGGCTGGCTGTCATCTTTCTTAAAAAGGAATAGCCTCCATTTAGACAGCCGCTTCAAGTGTCAAAATATTGAGCCGTCAACATCTAAACCCTCCACTCACCACAAACATTCTACTGTTGATCCTGCGGATTTAAAAGATACATTCCAAACAGATGGTTCTTCAAAGGACTTCTCTGGAAATATCTCAGCATATGATTGTTCCCCTGGATCTTTTGAAGAGTTCTCACAAAGCTTTTCTAAAAACGATGTCGCCATCAATGATTCAGTAACACATAATACTCCCACAGAGGACTTCCCTGTAGAACGAAACGATTTCATCTATGATAATTCAGTGAATGACTGCTCCCTCTGACATGAGGATACTGATGATTGATCTATTTCTGCTGAAAGTTGTTTATAATACTGGCTCAAAGTCAAAAGAACTTTATGTATTGGCTGTGATATGTTAAACATTTGTTGGTTGTTAGTGTCCATTGAAGGTAGAATAATGACAGATGCACTCTAAATGAACATGGAATAGTAATTCATCTTTCTGTCAGACAGGTAAAGAATGTCTGCTTACATAGATATATTTACAGTTGCGTTGTATGTTGTTTAGATGAATGGGCTGCGATGATCGAGTGTTTAAGGCGTCTCGCCATCTTTATCACTAGCCTCCCCCCCACCTCTGGGTTGTGGGTTCGCGACCTATGTAAGGCAGTCACCAGGTATTAGCTGCAGGTCAGTGGTTTTTCTACCGGAACTCTGGATCCTGAAGTGACCCTGGTTGTTCGTAGGACGTAAAGCAACAATAAGCCATCTCTAGATGAAGCTTGTCATTGCCTGTATTTATATCAATGATAAAGGTACATGGCTATTAGGTTTGTGCGAGAGTATGTGATCATTTTTTGTATGTGAATGTGAAATGTTCATTTAAATGTGAAGGTACATCTAGATGTAATTTTACAAGATATCAATTAATTGAAATAAGTAAATAAAAACATGAATCATTTACTTTTGAAACAATTTTGTTGTTGTAAGTGTTGTCAAAGACAGCTAAGGTATTGCCAGCTAATGGTTCTACTCAGTATTGAACTCAGTGTTGTTCTAATAAGCTACGTACCAGATAACTTGTTTATTCAGTGTTTTAGGAACTGTCCTCGGTTACTTTCTTCTGTATCTACATCCAAATTTATTTACAATAGTGTAACTACATATTTCACTTGGTAGATTAAGTTACCCAAACTTAGAAATGCTAAGAATAAACAATCTTAAGTTGATCTGTCTTATACTCACTCAGGGACATTATCAAATGATAATGAATGAGATTATTGTGATATTACTGTATACATTAAACTTTCTCAGTAGTTCAACTTTTACCCTTTTGTCAATCTTTCAATTGAAATTGAAATAAGTGTTTTTTATGTATTTTGTGGGAATTTAAAATGATTAAAAAATGAACAGTTTTACTCGAGGTGATAAAAATACCCTAGGTAAATGATAATCTGGAAAGAACAGAGAGCAACCGAGGATTACTTTACAAATGGAGTTGGAAACCATGTTTTCTTCAATAAATGAGAACGATATAATCATGATAATGTAAACGGATTTAAATGATCAGATCAGGTCTTATCCACAGATGAATTTTTTGATGACATGATGTTAGCAAACATGATATCAATACAAAATACTCATCTATAGTCAATTATTGTATAAACTCAATGATACCAACATTAACAGTTCAAACTTGTGAATTTGTGGTTTAACTTCTCCCGGAAAATGGTATGTGCAAGAACCATAAAGATGATCATCATATACTTGAATGCTTAGGAAATTCAATATGAAGTGTAAAATACAGAAAAACTCCAGTTTTTGGACTTCATTGGCTGCTGGTATTTGGGAAAATTGTAAAAACAAATTGGTACTGTCAGAGTTTCTATAAATATCCCCTGTAAGTTTGGTGTAATAAAGATGCGTTAATGAAGCCTGAAGTGATTATCATTCATCCTCTGAGGTTTCAATACCTCCATGATAGCTTGGTGTTTTGACTAGGGCATGGTCATCCCACAGTCTTTAAAAGTAGTGTCTATGGCATTGCTGGATAATTCACTAGTGAAAAAAGTGATCTTTTTTCATAACAGATTGCCTAAAAATTTTGTTGTAAGCAGGTCTTGTTTTAATGCAATTTGATTAAAAATGAATAAATAAAATCATAGTATGGTCATGAAAAGAAATGTTTAGTATGTTTTATTCTAGTGAAACAAGGATTATTTCACTTTTTCAAATCATTTTGATGTATTGGCATATTTATGGTATACTTAAAACTTGATATGGAAGTTACTTGAAAAAGGCTGAATTCTGAAGTGAATAAGGAAACATCAGTTTTATTACTGATATTGAAATGTGCTTAAAAGTGATAGAAACAGAATATAAATACATGACAGTCTGCTTAAAAACTTGTGAATGTTTTTCAGAAACAGAAAGTCTTGTCAAGATGGGACTTCCACTAATAAGTTTTGTATGGTGCATAAATGGCCCTTTCTAAAATTGCATTGCAATATTCAAGATGGCCACCATGACTGCCATCCTGAAATTCTTCCTATCATAATCACTGCCTACCCCCTACAATGAATTTAATGGTCTACAATTGATCTCAACTGTGGATTTAAGTCCACTGCTACAAAATAGACCAAGGATTCCATAACTTTTGAATATTTCATTTTCACTAGTTCCCTTGATCCAGGAAACAGAAGTTGCACCAAGCCAGGACCTTAATTAATGAGTTGTGTATGGTCCAAAGCTAATGATACTGACTCCTGTTCAAATTTGTGTTACTGTCAACTTGACTTCCAAGGCTGCTTCTGAACTGGAGTTGTATGAGACAGATCTTTGTGTGTGGTTTATAAATAGTAGCCCTAACTGAATTTGTGATATCTCGCTGATTCCAAAAGGCAGAAACTCGTACCTTCATTTCTTCTGAATAGAAATTTGTATGGAGACAGGACTTTAACTTGTTCTAAAGCATTTAAATAACAAGCAAAGTTATATACATAACATTAGAAAAAAATGCCTTCGAAAAGTTATTAACCTCTATAATTAACAGCAGGCTGACTAAATTAGCAAATGAAATGTTATGTTAGAGGTAATGTGTTGGCCCCCTGAGACCTTTCAAAAATGTGTTTCATTTGTAAACAAAGAGTGCAAATGAGTCTGAATGACTTTTACTATTCAGCAAATGGACGAAAGTGTCAAGTCAGCTGTCAAGTTGTCTGGACACATTTTCATCCTAATAACACTCTGATGCTGCAGGCAGTCTGGGGGACAGTTGATGTTTCTTTCATTCTGCACCTTATTACAGGCATTAGAGGAAAGATGGCTGTACTTGTGGTGATTTTGTGCAAGAGCAGGTGTTCGTTGGTTGTTAACCAGAATTTTGATAGTCAGGTTCTACTGTGATAAATTGTTTTATTCTCAAAGAAGCAAATGGAATATTTAAGTATTAATGCAATGATAAAAAGTAACACTTCTTGAATAGGTGTTCACCATGGATTCATGTGTAAAATTTCTCTGAAATGAAGAAGTGCCACTAGTACTCTGACCGGAATGACCTCTTTTGTTAATGTGTAATTGTATGAGGAACATATATTTAAGTTTAGTTGTCTTACCATAGTTCTCAGAAAAGTAACATTTTCTCACACCTATAGACATTCTTACATTCTTAATATTTCATTCAACATCTCACAATATTTTTAATTATGTAAAACAATAATTTGATTTGTATATTTCAAATTTACAATACATGTGTTTTGCTAATTTTGTTATTGTAGAATTTTTTTTTTTTTTTTTTGAAAGTCACAGCCATATTATTGTCAAATATTGTATTGCTGAGACAAACGGGGGTAAATTTCACATATTGTATTCGAAAGTTAGAAAACATTGAAGCTGTAGTTGTGACTTAATGTTGAGACCGTCTCCTTTCCTTTCTAGTTTTGGGGATGAGGACTGGGCAATGTACATGGTGCGCCCTCAGGCTCAGAAGAAGAAAACTCGCATGGAGCTGCCACTGGAAAAGAAAATTGAACTGATCCGAGAATATAAAAAATCACCCAAGCCACGTCAAAAAGCCTTCGCCATGAAGTACGGACTTGGACGCTCGACAGTTTCAGATATCCTTAAGAAATCTGATTTCTACATGAAGCAGTATGAGGAAAATGCCGATTTGAATAAGCGCCGGTTCCACAACTCATGTAAGTTTGAACAACTTAATCGCTTCATGTGGAGCTGGTATCTTGAGGCTCGAGCACGTGGGATCCCTGTGTCGGGCACACTCATACAGGAACGCTCTCTAAAGTATGCACACGAGCTCAGAATGCCAGATTTCAAGGCATCCAATGGTTGGCTGCAGAGCTGGAAGTCCCGCTACTCAATCAAATCCTTCAAAGTGTCAAACAATGATACGGTCAGATCACGAGTGGACTTTGTACCAAACAATCCACAGGATGACAGTGCTAGGATAGAAGTGGTGCCACATGTATTGGATATGCCTGCTACAGGTGTGGCACCACCAATGCCTCCAGGAATTGCCTCCACTATGAGCCCTGGGGCCCAGGACTGTAGTAAGATTGGACTAATGCCAGCCAATCTCCTGTACCACAAGCCATCAGGATTGTCAGATGGAGAAAAATCTGAGGGAAAAACAGGAGGTAGTCAAGATGATATATTGCCACAGAAAACAGATATTGGGGTTGATAGTGAAGATGAAAAGGAAGAGGATACTGACGACACTGATACAGAGGATAGCGAACCAAGGAGTCAAGAAACTGTGTTAAAACAAGATTTAACAAACGAAGACTACAATACACCAGCAAGGAGCACAGATATTGCCTCTAGGGCCCAGTATCCTCCCCCAACATCAGCTAGCTATCAAACACAACAGGCACCCAGTAGTTATTTATCAAATACTGTAAAAGCCTATCAGTCAGCATATAAAGAATACCCTGGAACTCAAAGTACAGATTACCACATATCACCCAGCGAGTTTGATTTACATGCAAAACACTACTTAGAGAAAAATTTTCAATCCCCCCGTACTGATTTCCAACTGCAGACATCTTTTGATCCCCAAGGAAAAGCATACAACCTAGGTGGTCCAACAAATTCTCAGTCGCAGCACTTTAAAGTACAGTCCTCTGGCTTTGACAGTCCAGGGCAGCAGTCCTCGCCAGGTTATATAGCTCCCAATACGACCAACTATCACACACCTCACCATTTCAGTGTACAACCCTCAGAGTTTGAATCTCAGCACAAGGATCCGTGTGATTGAAACCCAATCACTACCTGTAAATCAATATTGTGTTACATGCATTTTGTGTAAAACTAATGACTATTTAATTCAAAAGGCCAAGTGATTTGTTTTTTTTACAAATAAGTAACATGTATACATGAACAAATAACAAATCCAAGGACATAATTAATGACTGAATATTAACATGTTGAACAAGGAAATGGGTCAAAATTTGAAATGGGACAAATTCCTTTTTGTAATACTTAAAAGGAAATGTACTGAACATATATATCATATTTATCATTTTAGATTTTGTTACATTTTTTTAATCTAATATTTATGACTTTTTGATAATGACTTTTAAATGACATGAAATGTGAATTTCAATAATTATACAGAGGTCCACTTTGTGTTAAGTGCTGGCACAACAAGGACCTAATTTTGCTTGGCCTTAGCCATTCTTTTGACATTTACTATACAATCATCATTTTATTGTTATTGAAGGTGCAAGAAGGGAAGGAATTAAACTGGTTTTGATATGGTAAAATAATTATTTTTCTTGGGGGATCATTTTTCATTTGATTTGTTGGTAATCCAGAATTTATGTCCACGAAATGATGGATAAAA